TAGCAATAGCAATAATAACGGTCGGGGTAACTCGAACCGTAGCGGTCGTAGTAGCCGCGGAAACAATAATAACGGTCGAGGCCGCGGTGGAAGCAACTAGAATAGTTATTAGTCTAACCGTAAGAAGTGCGCCTATTATTAGAAGTCGCACCCTTCTAACCGCTGCTATACTAAGTACCCTTACCTAAAGGAGGAAGACCGACTTCGTCGCGAGAAGCAGAAGGCTAAGAAGAAGTAATAACAGGCGTTAACTGCTTAGCAACAATAGCAACAGCCGCTATCTAGTTAGAATAGTGCTTAGGGCCTATATGCGGCTAATACTACCCCGGGGGTGCTATTAGACCTAAACTACAATTACGCCTTTATAGCTACGGTTACTGTAAGCGACCTAGTTTCTACGGCTCTTACTACTAGCACTCGTACTACTAATTAGGTTGTCGACTTAGGTACTAGTATACACATAGTTAACGACCCTTTATTGCTTATTAAATACGAAGGCTGTTACATTCCTATCCGGTTTAGAGGCAACACGAAGCACGCTACGATAGTTGGTATAGCTTAGATAGAGGTTGTTAATAAGCGTGGTATAAGCAACATAAAGTTGTCTAATACACTATATATGCCTAGTCTAGCAGCTAACCTTCTGTCTACTAAGAAGCTTGCTAATAAGGGTTGTTTCTACTATAATAATAAGCGTGTGCTGTTTACGATAGTAGAAGGCAATAAAGTTACTATCGCTTAGACATACCGTAAGAATAGTCTTCCCTACCTCTATATACTAACCTCTAGTCTAGATAGTGAGGTAGTTGCCCTTATGTTAAAGAAGGGGGTGCCTAAGAAGGGGGTGCCTATAGGCACTATAGATGAATGGCATCTGCGATATAGCTATATTCATTACCGTAAGCTACTAAGGATAGAATCTAAGGGTCAAATTGTTATTACTAGTGCTAAGAAGGACTTCCGCAACTACATTGCCTATCGTATAGCTATATTATATAAGGAATATAATCGGCTGCTACGCGTACGACTATCTACGATCTATTATATTGTCTATATAGATGTAGTTACTATTACCAACCCTAGTCTGTTATAGGAGCGCTATTTCACACTGTTTATATACGCTAAGTTAGGCTATCGACACGAATATGCTAGTACGCTCAAGTTAGGGGCTATAGTAGCTATTTAGGACTATCGTATATATATCCGTATATAGACTAGCTATTCGATCCTAATCTACCGCCTCGATAGAGGGGGTAAATACGGCGGAAATTAGCTATTAAGCTAGGCTCGTAATTAGGGCATTGTACTGCAGGTTACAGCTCCTCATTCTTCTACTTAGAATAGCCTTGCTAAGGTTAGCAATTATATCGTGTATACGACTGCGAGAAAGATAATGCTATAGGCTAACCTTCTAAAGTCTCTATAGCTATATACTGTTACCTCCGCTATATAGGTCCTTAATATTACACCTAGAACCCTAGAAGGTCTTAGCCCCTATACTATTATAGCTAGGGAGCTCAATTAGTCTCGAAAGTAGCTACGCCTTTAGCACCTTCGAGCCTATAGCTATACTGCTATTATATACGATTACAGTGTAGCTCGTAGAAAGAAGATGGACAGTAGAGGCCTAGTTAGCAAGCTAGTTGGCTATGCTAAGGGCTCTATAGACTCCGGAAAATACATAATTTACCTACCTAATTAGCATAAGGTTATCGCTTCTAAGGACGTCTAGTTTATTAAGTTAGGGGGTAACCTTAACCTCCTACTTCCGGATAGTATAAAGCTATATACTAACACTAACGACTTAGCTAAGAACGAGTTTGTTACACTCGAGTCTATTATACTAGCTTTATTTAATTCTATAAGCAACGAGGCTCCGTCGCCTGCTAAGGCTGCTAGTATAGTCTAGCGGCTTCTAGCTTAGCAAGAAGAACAGCCTATATAAGGACCTATATAGGAAATAGCCGATAAGGTCGCTAATCCGTTACTAATCGAGGACGACCTTCTAGACGTTTAATTACTAGCTTCGAGTAATAAAGATAGCTTCTAATTAGCTAAGGAAGATTAAGCTCCGCCCTTTAATCTAAATACGAAGAAGGGTGAGCCTAGCTAGTTACTAGAGTTTAAGCGACCTAATACGATAGGCGCTCGTTCTACCTATATAACCCGCAGTAACAAGTTAGCTCGTAACCTATTACGTAGCTATCTAGCTAATTATAGTATTAAGCGGTCGACTCGACGTATAATAGCTAATATACCGATAGCCTATATAAAGGGCTTTATAGCTTCCTGCTACATTGCTAAACAGCCTAATAAGCCTAAGGACACTATTCCAATTCTAAAGAGCTTTAAGGCCGCTAAGGAATTACAACACTAGCTATAATAGAAGGAGGCCTATAAGGCTAAGTACAAGTCGTTAATGGACAACTATACGTAGGTACACGTTTCTCGGCTAGAAGTGCCTAAAGGTCGCAAGGTTGTCCGTAGCCGATAGGTGTTTACTATCAAGCGCGACGCTAATAGTAATATTAGCCGGTTTAAGGCTCGTTAGGTTGTCCGTAGCTTTACTTAAGTTGAAGGACAGGACTATAACGAGACCTATGCTGCAGTAGCTAAGCTAAGCACACTGCGTGTCCTATTTGCTATAATTGCTTACTATAACCTAGAGGCTTAACAATATAACATCCTAACTGCCTTCTTAAACGCACTTATTAGCAACAAGCATAAGATCTACGTTAAGCAGCTACACGGCTTTGAAGACCGTAGTAGAGGCAAGGGTATAGTGTGTCTACTACTAAAAGCACTTTATAGTCTAAAGCAGTTACTAATGCTGTAGTATAAAGAGCTCCGGAAGTTTCTAAAGAGCCTAAACTTCATCCCTATTATAAGCGATGTGTGTGTATTCAAACACACTATTAGTGGCTTAGTTATCGTTATCTACGTAGATAATATGATTATTATTGCTTATTTAATAGCCGCTCTCTAAGTAGTAGCTTAGTTGCTAAAGGATCGCTTTAATATACGGGAACTTAGTAATCTTTACTATTATCTCGGTATGCGCATTATTCGCAACCGTAAGGACCGCACTATCTATGTAGTGCAGGACGCCTATCTAAACCGACTTAGTAAGAAGTATAGCATATAGGGCCGTATAGTACCGGCTACGCTAATAGCACCTCGATACGTTAAGATATCGATTTAGCGTGTACCTAAGGGCTATACTGCTAGCGCTGCCTTTAAGACTTAGTATTAGGAAGGTGTTAGTAAAGTACTATAGCTAGCAATAATTACTTAACCTAATGCTTGCTATACTATAGGCCTGTTGTTACGATATATTTCTAACCCGACTAAGGAACACTATGCCGCACTTCTCTAGCTTATTAAGTACCTAGTTAGCACTCTAAGCCGTAGTCTGTGTTTCCGAGGCATACAGAGCGATAAGCTCAACTTTGCTGGATATTATAACGCTTCCTAGGCAGATAATCCGGTTACTCGTCGCTCTATAGGAGGCTTCTACTTTACGCTCGCTAGTAGACCGCTACTATACAAGTTAGGCCGCTAGACCTTAGTTACTCTATCGTCTATAGAAGCTAAGTATGTTTAGTTAACAACTAGCGCTAAGGAAGCCGTTGCTTTAGCTCGGTTGCTATAAGAGATTAGTTACAAAGGCACTATTAAGCCTATTACGCTATACGAGGACAATTAGTCCGCTATTGCTATTACCTAGTCGACAAGCGTTAATAGCCGTACTAAGCATATAGATGCTAGGGTCTACTATATCCGTAAGAAGATCGCTAATAGCACTGTCGTTATTACCTAGATTAGTACATACGATCAAATCGCTAATAGCTTTACTAAGCTACTTAATAAGCTTAAGCATAGTCGATTTGTTTAGCAGTTAAACTTAGTAGATTGTAAGGCTGCTATTAAGAGCGCCGCTTAGCCTGCTACTAAGTACTAAATAGATAGAAGGCATTTATATTTGTCTAGTTTAACTACTTGTCTGTTTGATTGCTTTATTATAAGGGCCTAAAAGTGGTCTAGTTGTTTCTATACCTAATACCCCTTTGTTTGCTTTAGTAGTTTGCTTGTTTAGCTATATATACGCGATAAGGGGGTGACTTAGAGAGTATGTATATAGCTAGCTATTACGTATATAATGCCTAAGGCTGCAACTGTACATACTTCATCTTTAGGCTTTCTATAGATTAGCCCTCTTCTAAATACATTATAGTTTATATTAAGTCCTAGTCTATTCGTTAGTCGCTGCTCGGCGCTGTTCTATAGCGGCCTCTTCGTCTAATTCCTCTTTACTACTATCGCGAGCCTCGAGGTCCTCTTTATCGTTAGATATCTCCTCGTCGTCCTCGCTAAGGTCTTTATTTATAAATACCTTATCCTAAAAGTTACTAATCTTATCTATTCCGGCTAGTCTAACTAATTTATCTAGAGGGTTAGAGAGAATGCCGCCGCTACTTAGATAGATTAGTAGATCGGTTTATACGCCTATAAGAACAGTCTGTTCCTTAGGTCCTCTAAGTAAAGCAGTATCGTCGTCGTCTAGGCTAGTTATATTCTTATTATAGTTATAGGCGATAGTACTACCGACTAGGTTATTATTAGATAGTAGAACCGAGGTTAAGGAGGATAGATCGTCGCTCGATATATTAGCAGTAGTAGCAGCTATAGTAGCAGCTATAGTAGTAGCGGTACTAGCAGCGGTAGTAGTAGCGACTTTTAGGTATTTTAACTTTAGCTTTAGAGTCGCGTCTGCTATATAGTAGCAACTTAATAACTATACCTCGGGTAGACTTATGCTATATATAAAAGGTGTTTAGAAATAGTCTATAAAGGACCTCGAAGTGTCGAGTCGGCTATAGGAAGGTTATCGATTACCCTCGAAGGCTATAGAGCGGTTAGTAGGCATCGGACGGAATTTTCGCCTACCTAAATAATAATAGCTAGGATTAGGAGAAGGACCTCTAAGTATTAGCTAGGCGATGCGGTATGTTTTATATTAAGGTGTTTCTAGTAGTGTAGCTAGCCGCCTAGCAATCCGGATAGCTATAGTCGAGTCGGCTTAGTAGAATAGCGAAAACTTAACGCGCTAACGTCGTACAGACTTTTTTAGTAGGTAGAATAAAGCGCAATTAGTAGGGCTACAATCTCCGCTATTTAGATTGTTATATTTGTATAGTCGCGAAAAAGTAGTATATCGCAGGCTAGTTTGCTACGGCTTATTCTTAGGCTTGTAGGCGAAGAATTATTAGGTGTGTTTGTAATTAGCTAGTCGGAAAGTTCGGAAGCTAGCCCTAATTACTAATCTATTACGTGCACTCGGTCGCAGTTTGATTCTTCATGCCTACAAGCCTGATGGGAGGTAGCATACCCCGCCGACGCTGACAATTATTTGGTCCGTACCGTACTAACCCCCCACAGTCTACACACCACGCAGAAAACAATACAGCTAATCTTTGGGGAAACGATATAGTTCCACCTTTCATCAAGCATGATGGCCAAGACGCGCTGGCACTCGACCTCAACTCTTCCAAATGGAGTATCATCGACTTCGGGTCTGGTCAAGGCGGTGCCATCGCAATCATCGAGAAGGTCATCAATCACGGACGTGACTCTCCCATTCCTTCCATCCTGACCGATCTCCATCCTAATCTGGATGTCTGGATGGAGCTCGCAACTCATTATTCTCGCGCGCTATCTTTCATCCCGCAACCCGTCGATGCTGCGAATCCTAGGTATGCGGCTATCAGTACCACCACGAGAGGTGACGAGGAAGCTGCGTCACAGGCTGGGTTTGAGAGCAACGGGAGGAAAGTCTTTGGATTGTTCGGTGAGAGTTTCCGTCGTTTCGATGATGCATATGCAGTCAACGTGTTGAAGAAGAGTACATTGGAGTCTGCTGATGCGTTTGCGATTGTGGAGTTGCGAGAACGTAGGCTGTTTGCTCTGGTTGCAGAGCTGCTCGAGACGTGGTTATTCTTGATATTTTGGGATGGATTTGGTTTGCAGAGGACAGGGTGCATTGGATCTTCATCTATCTGATACCGATATTGCCTGTCATGCAGTTGTTGGATGGGCTTGTGAGATGCTTGCGGACGCAGACGTTTGAGGAAATGATCATATGGAACAAAATTTCCAACAGACACAGACTTTGTGCATAAACCCTGGCGAAGGTGTTCTGCAGCCTGTAGGTCGTTCTTGAAGTAGAAGAGACCAATGTTACGTAATCCACCCCTGGTAGCAGTGAGCGTGTCACAGCTTCAGCTTCACCTTGTACATCTTCTTCCTCCGGCAACAACAGTCGTGTCCGGACTTCCATCCTCAGGAGCATCGCCCGAACACTGGCATCATGCTACCTGACATCTGAACTGAATAATTGGAAGGGTCGACCATCGGCTGGATGCTTCTTTGAGAAGAGGGGAAAAAGACGCTCCTACCCAACTGCATCTTCTACAGCACAAGATGGGCATCGTATTGGTTTCTGGATTCGACAACAGCCTCTCCAGCTGTACGCACATACTCAGCCGCACGATTCGCCTCGAGATACGCCGGTGAAGAAGGCTTCCGACTGCCATCGCCTTTCATTGTGATGGGGGAACTGCACGGTGTTGCTGTCGCTATCACAAGATCATCGCCTTTCCAGCTTTTGTAAAGATTGCGATCTGGCCATTCAGAAGCACTTCTGGACCACCAGCCGAGGAAGAATCTCGAGATTGATGCGGCCACCATTACTACCTGCGTAAGCTGGTTCGGAATTCCGGTTCATGGTTTGAGACAACAACAAGCATTCAGGCCTGACGCGCGTAGCCTGTCACGCTCCTCGAATCATCCGAATATTCAGTCGGCAGCTTATCGCCATCTCATATCTGAAACGGATGCCGGATCGATTGATCGAAAGCCTTTGTCCGCTGCCATGTGCTCAAATTCGTCGGTACCCGATGCCTTGTTTCGCACCTGCTTTGCCTGGAGCATGCTAGGGCACGACGGAGTGCGCTGTTATGCCTGTAGGATAGATCATGAGTGGTTAAAGAAACCTGTTCGACTCGGGACTGGTTGAGATTACAAGCATACAATTTCGGTCTTATTTGCATTCTGACCACAGTTGCGGCGAAAACTGTCGGAGCCCGCTTTGTGTTATATCTGGAGGATCGCTTCTCGTTCTTGGCTTCTTCCTAGTACCTGATCGTTGGTCACTGCTTCTCAACATGTCAGAGAAAAGCCTGCCTCTGATTCCTCGAAAGAACCACCTTGGTCATGAGACATCTCACAGTACAGAGCCTACCATTCCAGAGTGCGATGAAAATGCCGATGCCGCCCAGAATCCTTTGCGGCAGAGTCCTCACGTCCTGCTTGTCAAAGAAACAACCCCGGCGGAGCTTTTCTACGATCTCTTCTTCGTTGCGAATCTGGCAGCTTTCACTTATGTTCACTCCGTGACAGATGGTCGGACTCTCGAGCAGTACATCTGCTTCTTCTGCGTACTATGGTAAGAGGAGAAATCGAGCTACCACAGGCAATGCCTACTGACTCTTGCATCTCGTGTATGAAGGTTCACTTGGTTTCAGGTAAGCTTATTGACATTACACTCCGACTAGAATGAAATACTGATCAGTGACAAGGTCACTCTGTATGACGTGCGCTTCGCTGTCGATTGCGTTGCAAGCCGCATCTGGAAGGCCTTCCACTTCTGGTATGCTTGGCACATCACGCTCGCTCATCTCTGACTAGCACTAATGTTCGCAGTGTTATGATGGGTCTGGCTGCGACTGGTACGAAAGCAATGGTGATGAATGAGACATTCGCTGACCCACAATTGTCGCTATATAGGACCCATGTTCAAGCTCGGCAATAAATGGGACGACAGAGGGCTTGCGATCGACAACTACCTCCATGCTTTGACCTTGGTCCTGATGGCGAGCCGACTTATTCTTGTCCTACAGTACTTGCAGACTGGTCTTTTCATCAGCAAATATAAAGAAACGCGGATGCCAATGCTGCTACTGCTGGCCCTTTACGCAATTGCTGCGACGATATATGGATCGCTAGCTGCCACTTTTCGTATCAGTCACGTCGATGGACATTCCGACCCTAATTGGAAGTCACACAATCACTCCAACAACAGATCCTGGCTCGCATGGTATCTCGTCGGCTTCGCAGAGTGTATTCTCGCCACCGCCGTCTCCTGCAAATGGCGCACGATAGGCTACAAGGGCACCCATCTGGTGCAAAGAATGTCGCTTCTGACCCTGATTATCATCGGAGAAGGTATCATCACGCTGACAAAGTCTTGTCAAACCATTGCACGTGTCCACAGCATCACTTGGAACCCGGTCACCGTTACTGGTCTTCTTTGCGGAGTTCTCATTCTCTACTTTATCTACATGCTATACTTCGACTGGATCGATGAAGGACACCATTTCGGCTCCATTCGACAACAAGTCTGGGCCGGCCTACATTTCATCCTTCATCTAGCTGTCGTACTAGCTGGACAAGGTCTCAGTCTATGTCTTCTCTGGAGTGCACTCACCTACAAAGCCAAGGCACTCACTAACATGTTCAAACACTGGCTGGGCATTCTAAATGGCCAAGGCTACAACAGAGAGAACTTCGACGAAGCGGTCCGTCAATGGACTGACGTAAGTCGTAACATTACCGAAGACGAAGGCTACGTTGCCAAGGACCCGGCAACAGTTCTCCGCGACTTGAACGATGAATATTATATTCGAGAAGCTTTGAAGTACATGACGTACCGGAACGAATCGTGGACTAACGCGATGCAACTTATATTCTATACCGACTTCCTCGCCATCATGACCATTACAGGCTTCAACAAAGTCAAACTCTACGATGAAATCGAAGACTTGAAACTTATCGATGAGAAGCTCGATATCCCGAACTGGACCCTCGACAAAGGCCGCGTGAAGGAACTGGCAAAGGTGGCAGACATGTTTCGCCTTACATACATCTACTTCTTCCTCTCTCTGGGTATTGTCGTTCTGGTATGCACGGCACTGGCATTTCTAAGCCAAAGAGAGAAGCAAGTGTACCACAAGGCACGACTCTCTTGTAGTATGCTGGTGGGAGTTGGACTTTGCTGCATGATCAGCATGGCGTTTGGACATGCCGGAGCTTTTAGAAAATATACCGGAAGTCCCATGCTCATCCCATCTGTGGCAATTCTCTTATTGCTTGGTAAGTCGGCGAGTACCTTGCATGATCGATATTCAACAGAGCTGACTTCCACGGTAGTCGTCATCCTCAATAACGCCAAACCTATCCTACCTTGGGGAAGGAGTTGCAAGAAGTGTAAGCAGAGACAAGTGTTTCCACACCGCAAGATCGAAGGCGAAGTCACTGATGAGGAGGATTCGGGTGGATTTGACGATGCTCTGAGGCAGTGTTCTACCTGTACCATCCAAGAAGAACGACGAGCATGGCGCACATGAGAAAAAATCCAACAGCTGAACACTGCCACAACTAATTATTGCCCGCTTAGACTAGGAACGCGCTGTACATAGAATTCAATATAGACAGGTTTCGCCAGCGAGGGAGCTTCTGAGATGACACATAGGATCGATCCTGCAAGGCTATGTTGGGGCGCAAGATATCGAGACAGCCATTCTCCCTGAGGGAAAGCTCATCTAGAAGTATCTAATCGGTAACGACAGTGGGTGGTACTAAGCGTACAGATAACACAAAACCACAGGCAGCTAGCTGCAAATCGCCTCCTCGAAGCTTCCGAAGATGCATGCAGGCCAAGCGATCGATCCATCAGAATCTCGAATTATCACAATCCACCCGCAGCGACCGAGCACGCCCCCCATTCCCATCGTTGTTGCCCACATCGAGGCAATCCCGCTCATTGGAATCGTTGATCCGTACCGACCGCACCAAGCGATTCGTCGAGCACCGGCGACCGTTGTAGAAGTTCAACCGGCAGTTTCTGTCAAACGCATTGCGGTCGAAGAATCTTTGGAAGGAGGCGCTGAGGATTTCGTCGTCTACGTTAATGCACGCGCTTCGTCTGTCGGCGTTGTTCGACCTATCGCTGTTTCCGTCGTTGCGAGTGAGGAAGGTGTCTATGAAGACCCTTTCATCGTAGTCCACGCGGCGGCCATCATTGCGCCTGTTGGAACGACATTTTCGCTCGTTGTGTAGGCGGACTGTGAGGATGCCTGGTGTTGCTAAAGAATTGAGTGGACAAGTCGTGTCGTGCTCTGGGTAGGTGGTGGGCTTGGTGGGGTCGTAGTCCTTGAGAGTGGTGGTCTTGGGCTTTTCCTCTTTCCATGTGGACGTCGGATAGTGAGCAATAGGGGTTGAAGGGTATTTCTGGCGCACGGCGGAGTCTCTCGCGCCTGTATCGTGGTTGTTGAAGTTGTTGGCGTTCCCATTGTCATTGGTTTGCCGGCCACTTTGTTGATCATTTTGTTGCGGAAATGCAATTGCTTGAACGGTAGCGCTGGCTACAAGCAAGGCGAGTATGGACTGCTTCGGTCAGCCGAATCCTCGCTTCTGGGAACTCACGTTATACTTTGAGCATATCGACTGCGATTCTGAGACGTGATGAGAAACGATGTACTATCCGACTGAGAAAGGGCTTGCTGTTCTCTGCATCGTAGAAAGCATCGTCTTCTTGTATGCTTCAATGATTCCTGCCTTCCTATGCGCCACTACTTGGCAACCCCTGTGCATTATCGTCCAAGAAATCAGGAGATGAGTAGGGGAAGAAATGTGTTCGCCGTGAAGGACTGCAGTCTCGACACGAGCGCCTTCAATACAGCCTCGTCCACTCATCTCAGGCATGCTCTTCGAGAAGTTTTAGGTGCATCATCATGATTGAGAGACCCGGTTGCCAGTCCCGGTCAAGCGTGAGAGAAGTCTGAATTGGCGTGGCGGCTGTCACAGAAGGCTGCGGTATGTACAACACCACCGCGGTAGAACTACTGTGGCAGCGCCAGGAACACAGCTGTTCCTGGGTATTCTATGGTTCAAGCGGCCGCATGCCTTTGGCGGCCTTGTGATTCTCTGTCCTAAAGTGGCCGGAGAGAATGACAAGCCCGGCCTCAAATTAAAATGTGCTGTGGATTGCTGTGCAAGCAATCCAAGAATTACGAAGCGGCCGCTCGTGGGTGCAATATGAATGTTGGAAAGTCAGGCATCCAGGCACACCCGGGGTTTTGATTTCTACTAGTAACCAATCATAGCGAAGGTTAGGTGCCTAGAGGTCGCCCGCTTCGTGAACTAAAAGAGGTGTAGTTGAAAGTTGGAGCCTAAGGTGTCCAGCGTTTTGATTTCTACCAATCAGAACGCGCCAAGAAATCGGACCACGTAGTATAACCCACGAGCGGGCTCCCCTTGGTCACCTGACCTTCGCTACGCTTTGGGAGGTGCCAGAGGTCGCCCGCTTCGTGAACGATCGGCGAAAATCAGTCTCTCGGGAGTATTGGTGTCAGTCTTGTATCTCTGCTGTGACATGACCTTATACAGTAGTTCTTGTTGGCTCTAGCAGGAGAAGATGGTCCACGCTGTGTCTAGTAACGACATACACTGCAAATCCAAGCTTAAAGATTCCACGCAGGGTGAGGGCTGTTTTTCCGCAGTAGTGCTGTCCTTGGTCAAGATGATGGTGGCGGTGGTGTTGTTGTTGTGAAAGTGGAATCGAGGGGCCCAAGCCAGGATCCTTGGAAGCTCGCAGATCGAACGTCAGGAATGATCACGGGAACTTGTTTTCGTCGCACACATGATGATGTCCCTCTTACTTCTGAACTCCATGATGGAGAGATGCATTGAACTTCGCTCGGTAGACCAACACATGCTGCCACACACAACCACAGGTGGAACGCGAGAGTAGGACTCTTTACAACGCAGAAGGACATCGAGGCAAAGTCGCATTTCGCTGTCGCCCATAAATAATGGCTGCCACCGCTGGCAAAGATGGCCCAACACGCGAGGAGCTCCTCGAGACCATCAGCGCCATGCAAAAGATGTCGCAACTACAAGAGACGGCACAGCGTCTGAAAGACAAGGCGGCCGCAGTATCTAATCCCAACGAAAGAGAAAGGCTATTGAAGGAAGCATATGAGAAGGAGGTGGAAGCTAATGGCCACAGTAGGATGGCACGCCGAATGCAATCGGGTACATGGCAAGGCCTTTTCGGCGGAGGAGGCATTGGCGCTGGAGTAGGCATGGGCCTCGGTGCAGTCTTGGGAACACTAGTTGGCGGAGTGGCATCTGTTGCAACCGTGCCTCTCGGCGCCTTGACAGGAGCAGGTGTAGGTGCGTGGCATGGTCCGTGGATCAAGGTCGGCAACATACAAAAGCGCTTTGAAGATGCTTCGCCGGAAGAAGTGGTTAGTGCGCTGGAGCAGGAAAAGAAGCAACAAGCTCCAGGTTCTTCTGCACAGCATGATGATGGCCAAGCGGGGCCGACGAATGGAGTCCCGGCGCAGAAGAAAAAGCCGCGAAAGCTCGAGTTACGGTCCCAGAAGACATCGGAATCCGAGATCAAACATTCAGAAGCTACATGAAGGTGGACAGGAAAGAGGTCGTGATCACCTCATCTTTGTTCACCCATAACTCCTGCATGGACTCTTGATGGCTTCGCTCTTCGAGATACCAATTCGCCGATTCACTGAATCTGAATCTGGGTCGTTGCTGTGGCTAGTGACACGCAGAGCGCAGTTCTTCAGCACACGCTCGGGAAGACCATTGCACAACGACAGCCCGACATATTTTAGCAGGTCCATGACTGCCATGGGCGAAGGTCTGGAATGCTATCTTTCTGCATCTTTGCGGACCTAGATGCACTTGCATGATATGTGTGCAGCCGTAGCTATCACGGCTTATTACCTGCAAGGCCGGGCAGAGATTGCAGAGTCGAAATATGCTGCTATGCGGAGCTCGTGTCAAACATTGGGGACGAGAACGTTTTGGCCGCCTTCGACCAACAAGAGCTTTGTTTCAACTTGACCTGCTCTCCACATGCAGGTCGTAGACTGGGAGCCGAGTATCAGAATCATGAGTCCTTTCTTGTGGTCTGTGAACTCGACGCCAAGAAACGTATTGTCTTTGACACCATAGAGCAGCACACATGTGGTACAGTACAGACTCATCAGCCGAATCTGTGAAGAGCATCACTATTAATATGGATTTTGACGATCGCGAGCGCGATGCACGGCGGATGGACCAAAATCCAGATCCTTGTTCTATTCATAAGCTGGGTTCTGCTGGAAGCTGGCGTTCGGCTCCCCAACACAGCCTCTCCGGCACCGAAGAACGCACAACACAGCTGCCAACTCCGACACCCCCAATCCTCTCTGCCTCTCACACGCAGCGAACCACGTAAGCTTGTCCGATAAACGATGGTTGAAGACGTCAATCCCCAGCTCTCCAGCCCTCTCCAGCCCCGGATGTTTTGAAACATGACAAGGCTTCGCCGGCTTGCTTGCGTTTATAGAAAAGGCTGCCGCGCGCGTCGGGTAGGTAAGCAAGATTTGGCCCATGCTGCACGGCGGTGCTGTGACTCTCTGCATCTGATATTACTGTCACTGCAGCTCCTTGCGAGGCCTTTGTCGTAATCACACTCATTCCTACACGCTTGTCAAGAAAACAACACTCATCCTTAGGCTTGGACAACCACAGTACCTCGACTACATTGAATGCTCATCATCTGCTAGAAACAAATCCAAACCGACGATGAAATTCAGCGAGAGCATAGCACTGCTCGTGCTCAGCGCAGCTTCGACATATGCTCAAGGATTCGGTGGATACTACGGCGGCAATCCGTATTCTGGCAGTGACGGCAGTGACGGAGGTAATGACGATGGAGACAGCGGGTTTGGACGTGCTGATTTTGGTGGTTTTGGTGGTTTTGAGCTTTCAACGTACCGGACGAAACTGATAGCACACGCTGTACTTGCAACTCTGGCCTTTGGATTCTTCTTCCCAGTCGGCGGCATCATGATCCGATTAGCATCATTCCGTGGCCTGTGGTGGATTCATGGTCTGTTCCAGATTTTCGCGTACATTTTATACATTGCTGCTTTTGCTCTCGGTGTCTACGTAAGTCGCGAATCTAATCTCTGTCATTGCATGGCAGCGAGCTAATGATTCCGCAGATGGTCACTCAGTCACCAATCGACGACATGCTCCACAACGTACATCCGATCATCGGCATTATCCTCTTGGTCCTCATCTTCTTCCAACCCATTCTCGGCTTCCTGCACCACTTGATGTTCAAGAAGTATAGCAGACGCACATTCTGGAGCTACGGTCACCTGTGGCTAGGCCGCATCGTCATCACACTCGGGATCATCAATGGTGGACTTGGCCTTCGATTCGCTCGCCAGTTCCCACTCGCACCACCATCGAACGGCGCAATCATCGGGTACTCGGTGGCCGCTGGTTTCATGTGGCTATTGTATGTGATCTCGGTGGTGATCGGCGAGAGGCGTCGGAGCAGCGTCAAGCAGGTCGCTCCTCCAACTTACAAGGAGGCATCTGAGACTGGTAGCGCTCGTAGCAAGCGCAGTCGCCAAGAGTACGCGTAAGGGAGGGACACGATCAATTTGCTTCGTTGAGATACCAAATATTGTTAAGATGACACTAAAAATGCTGCTATGGCACAATTACATCTGCGGTAGTATTATTAATGTTACGATGGAAATGGAAAAGAGGGATGTAATGTTTCAATCGCAGTGACGCCGAACAGTACAGTTCTAAGCATCTCGCGTATCCTTGCTCGCTTTGTGACCTCGGCTTGTTCACATGAAGCCGCAAACGGAGCGACGTTCATCCTGCATCTTCCGTCCTAGTCTTCCGGTCTATCACATGCACATTCTAGCTGGGATGATGTAGTCGTCGTCGCCTCTATGAAACCTCTGTTCGACGCAATTCTCAATCGCCAGCCGTCAGCATGGCAGTCTCATCCCTCCCTGCGACCATCAGCAATCGTTCGCTGAAACAATTGCTGAGCGACCTCACCTCACTCTACGTGAGACATCGGACAAAGGTCTCGCGAACGATATACCTCGCGCTGGTTCTCGCGCTCATACAGCGAATACGTGGTGCTATCAAAGAGCAGAAAGCTGCCTCGGCGCGCGCAGCTGAGGCGCGTCGCAAAGGACTCGTGGGGCAAGATGATGGCAAGAAGAGGAAGAAGAAAGTCGAGTTGAACAGAGAGTTCTTTCGCAGCCTGGGAAGACTTCTGAAAATATGCATACCGTCATGGAAGAGCAAGGAAGCGAGGCTGCTTGCCAGTCACTCTGTGTTTCTGGTCCTCCGCACGCTGATCAGCTTGTACGTTGCCGAACTGGATGGTCAGCTTGTCAGCGCCCTGGTGAGAGGCAAAGGAAAGGCGTTCATCAAAGGCTTGGTGTGGTGGATGCTCGTTGCTGTACCTGCGACTTTCACGAACTCGATGCTGTCCTACCACCAAACAACACTGTCATTGGCGTACAGGACACGGCTCACGAATTACATTCATAATCTCTACCTAGGCAACATGACATTCTACACGCTTTCGGCCTTGGATGATCGGATCAAGAATGCTGATCAGCTCATCACCGTCGATGTGACCAAGTTCTCGAACAGTCTGGCTGAGCTGTACTCGAGCTTGTCAAAACCCATGTTGGACCTCGTCATCTACAATTGGAGCTTGTCACGAAGTGTCGGAGGAGAGGGTCTATTTGCTATGAGTCTGCTGGTGCAGATTAGTGCTAGTTTGATGCGAGCGTTAACACCTCCATTCGGCAAGTACGTTGCTGAAGAGGCCAGGTTGGAGGGCGAGTTCAGAGCAGCACATACTCGGTTGATTGACTACAGTGAAGAGGTGGCACTATACAACGGTCACGAGGCGGAGAAGGACACTGTTGACCGAGGATACTTCACTCTGATCAAGCATGTCAATCGGATACTACGGAGAAGGCTCTATCACGGAATCATGGAAGAATTTGTGGTCAAATACTTCTGGGGAGCATTGGGCTTGCTGCTCTGTTCAGTGCCAGTATTCTTCAAGCTACCAGGCGCGTCACCTGGTGGAGAGAGTACAGGCGACAAGACCGAGACCTTCATTACGAATCGACGCTTGCTGCTCTCATCGAGTGATGCTTTTGGTCGACTAATGTTCTCGTACAAGGAGATCTCGGAGCTCGCAGGGTATACAAGCAGAGTCAGCATGCTGCTAGACGTCATCGCCGACATCCAGCGAGGACATTTCGAGAAGGCGCTCGTGTCTTCAGCATCGACTGAGTCGAATGCTGCCATCCTTGCAGGCCGAGGCGAGCTAGAAGAAGGCGAGGACATCAAGTTTGAAGATGTGCCAATCGTTTCGCCGAATGGAGATATCCTGGTCAAGGCATTATCATTCCATATCTCTCAGGGTGATCATATGCTGATAGTTGGCCCAAATGGTTGCGGTAAGAGCAGCTTGTTCCGCATCCTGGGCGGTCTATGGCCAGTCTATGGTGGAAAAGTTCGCAAGCCACCGAACGAGGACATCTTTTACGTCCCTCAGCGACCATATTTGAGCAAAGGGAGTCTTCGTCAGCAAATTCTCTATCCCGACAATCTTCTAGATATGCGAGCCAAAGGTATCACCGATGTGCACCTCATCAACATCATGCGCAAACTGGGCCTCGAATCATTGCTCGACACATCCAGCTCACGAGGCGGCTACGACCCAAGCGAGCCGAACAGTCCAGTCGACAGCAGATCGGGGCAAGCCACCAGCGACGTCAGTGGCCTCAATATCGAGCACGAATGGGCCGACGCCCTCAGTACTGGCTTCCAACAACGCATCGCGGCTGCTCGATTATTCTACCATAGGCCCAAATTCGCCATCTTAGACGAGTGCACCTCCTCGCTGACACCGGAAGTGGAGAAAATCATGTATGACGAAGCCAAAAGGCTCGGAATCACTTTGATGACTGTGTCTCATCGTCGGTCGCTGTGGCGGTACCATGGCTGGATCCTGCAGTTCGACGGTCAAGGTGGCTATGTCTTTACCCAGCTTGATGCAGATGCGAGGTTGAAGCTCGAGGACGAGAAGGAGGAGTTGGACCTTCAACTCAGAGCTGTGCCGGAATGGGAGAAGAGGATTGCGGAATTGGAGGCGGGTCAGCTGAAGTAGTGGCGGAACACATGTCACGAATCACGATACACACCGCATGTGCGACTACAGTATAGTGTACTTCGGAGTCGGAGTGAGTGTACCTGCAGGGTTTCCATGTGCCATAACGATGCGAACCATCATGCATGCTCGTGGTTGCCTTCGACATGAGGCCGGCCTAGCCTTCACTCTTTTGGGACGGGGCGCAGTTCGCCCTGCTGCAAGCAAGTGTGGGTATCAATAGGCCACTTCTTAGTGTCGGGTCAAGATTCAGTGGCGAATGGGATCGCCTCCGGAGCCAATGCATGTGATGTGATATGAAGTCGTATATAAGTAGACAACTGTATGAATAATCGCACACGGAATCATGGTGTTGTGCCCACGATTTCTGCCTCAGGCTTGCCGGCCTCCCTCTAATTTCCGACAACCTGCTAAGGCTCCAGCCTCCTCTTCCTTTCGTCACCTCTGTCTCGCATGGACATGCCATCTTACAGAGGCGAAAAAGCATTCACAAGTCGGTCAATTTGGTGTTCAAGAATGTAAGACAATTGGCAACAAGACATGACAGGACAGAAGCAAAATCGCACGCTAGAACGCCAGCAAGGTACCCATTGAACGCGAAGAGGAGTATTGACCCCGAGGAACAGACAGAAAAGTCCAGTCGCCAGCGACTAGCAAGATGTGCTCGGAAAAATCATTCGTTATGGGAGTTTCAGCGATGGAGGACGTAAGAATCGCCGCCGCTGCCTTAGCCAGCACTTCGAGGACTTCGATAGTCTTCTGGTCTTCGCTCTCGTCGACGATCTCTAGAACTGCTGTTGGACATCAGATATTCGCCGGAAGTGCTTAGCGAGCCCGTCTGTCTAGCATCTGTCAGTCTTGTCGCAGGTCATGGTCGAAAGCGACAGTGCAGCTCACCGGAGCATCTGCTCTTGTGCATTTGAGATGATGCCATTCCTCCAGAGATGCTCGACGAGACTTGATCTCGGCCTCGCACTGACTCCGCTATTTCGAAAGGGACAAGTGACGATATGGTTCCAACGCAGTCCCCAGGCCACCGTACCGCTCTCCCCACGGAACCTTTCATCGCAGCCTGCAAACGGGCAATGAATAGAACGTGGGAGGTGACCTCCAAAGTGGGCCTGGTGATGTGTCTCCCACTCTCTTGGATCGCCAAACCATTGACGGCAACCAAGAAAGGCCAAAGGGCATTGGAATTGTCCTTGTCTAGACGTCATGTTGTCCCGGACTACTGGAGTTCTATCCTCGTCTTCCTCCAAGATGTGCTGGTTGGGCATGGAAGCGATGGAGTCCGTACGAGCAGTGTAGACACCAGAATGCGGATCTGTCCTCGAGCTGATTACAGACGGAGGCCGACTGGATGGGAGAGAATCATAATAGCTGCTCCGGGATGCTGCGGTCATCGCCAACGACGACGAATCAGATATCGGCGAGCGGGGCTCACGGCGCGGACCACTCTCATCTGAATATGAATATTGGGGTACTATTACCCTCTGGTGAAAGCCTTCATCTTCGTTGCTGTACCAGCGATCGATTCGGTCTATGCGAGAGTCTCGCCGCAACTGTGGGCCGGTCTGACCAGCAGATGTGCTGGCATAGTTCGGTTCGGTGTCACTGTCCGAAGTATCGCCGGCATAGTATCTGTGAGAAGCCATTGTGAAGCTAGGTCAGTGAAGGCTGAGTGAACAAAGACTATGAGACGACAGCTTTGGGTGTTGCGATGAGCATATGGGACCATATGTGAGCATACTGCTGGGGCAGTGGCGCGTTCTTATGCCCTCCGACCCCCTGCGGAACATGCTTGCCAAGCCTGTTGCTCATCAGTTGATCAGAGAAGCAGGCTCAGAAGCAGGCTCCAAGGCTGGTCTCATCATAGACAGTATATTGATGAGTGGAGATGATCGCTGTGTCGACAACAGCATAGCTGAGCGGCACCGGGCTGCTTGAGAGACTCCTGGTTCGCCCGAGCAGAACCTCACGACGCGCTACGAACGCCGACCTACCCTGAGATGGCGTGCTTTCCTGGGATGCAGGTATCGCTAACCACATCACGCGGATACAGCAGGACACCTTCTCCGACGACTGGTATCGGTTCACGACAGTGATTGACCATGCAAGATCTATGCGGGCATCCGCGTGCTCGACTTTCTGGTTGATCAATCTCTGCCGCCTTAGCCGTATGCTGCTCCTACGCATCCACGAGCATTCAGGCCAACCTTGCCAAAACCAGGTCCGTTCCTGTCTGTTGCTGCCAGACTTCCATGATCGGGGAACGCGATAGCCTTCAAAGCCATGCCGATCCTCTCAGTAAACGATGCCTATCGTACAAGTGGATCTGCTCTGGTGTAGTATCATTGCCGGTACTGAGCGCTCGACTACGTTATTGTTTCCAGGGTCAAGGTTCGGTGTTATCGAAAGGTGCTACAGCATGTGAAAGTCGAAATATGCGACGGATTCTGTTCAGAGAAGAAGGTTAAAGCGAGAGCCGAACAACAATTGTCCTCCTTATTCGCTGAAATGCTCACCGGTTTCGAGGGATTGCGCTATCTGGTCGGCGCTTGGATTGCTTGGATTGCTTGCATGGATTTATCGGAATAGGTATAGCACGCTGGTCCTGCAAGCTGCTTGATGACGTGGACGCGGCTCAATGCTGAGAACGGAGTCACCTTCAAAGCGGTCGCATTGCTGCCATCGAATGAGTGTGTATGGATCAAACCGTCTTTCTTGACAATGTGCGACTGGATCATCGTCAACCAAGGACGAAACACTACGCAGAAAGCCTTGCGGAACGCTAACACGCCTAGAACAACTATAGCTCCGCCATATGCGAACCTGGCTTGAGCAAGGTAAGTTTTATTGAACATCTGATGCATTGACTAGCCCGCCACGTGGATCATCATGAGGCTAAGTACTATATAGGTTGGAATTGAGTTCAGAGGGCAAGCAACGACCTGTCAGGCAAGAATCACTTTCAGCGAATCACTCCAGGTGTAATGGTCAGCGACACGCAACGACAACGACGCTCGATCAATCGCTGTAACGTGACCTGCCAGGGATCATTTGGCAGGCGACTGCGTATCGCATCAATCTACTGCAAACGACAGGATCGTACGAAAGTGTCATGTGTGCTCGTCGCGAGTCCCAAACGATAAACGAGAACTCGAAAAGCGCCGACAAAACGAAGTCAGACCAAATCATCTTGCAACGTTCTACGTTTCGGCTTTGCGCTTTGCCTAGTACTTGTATCGATCTCGCCCTGGCAAGTAAACCAAGAGATTCTCGGAGATCGCTGTCCATAAGTCACCGTTCCTGTCTCGCGAGACATGGATTGTATTGACTCAAGCGACTGCATATCATTGGAGGTGCACATCTGGATCGACAGGCGCACGAGAAGAACATTTATCTATAAGATGTTACGGAACAAGGAAGTAACGGTCCAGGGGTTAGCTAACTAATGGAGCGACGGCTCTACCTTTATAATTAGCCTTCCTCCTCTATATAATTATTATTAATCTCAACTTTATAACAATTAGTAGCTTCGCTCGTACTAAACCCTCGTACTACTAGGAGTTATTCGAGACGCTACTAGGACGAGGCAACTAGATCGGGCTAATCCGACTAAGAGCCTAACTACTTCCCCTTACTACTTTATTACGACTATATATATAGGGCAACGTATATCTATATAAACTCTATAGACGACGACCGCGCTTTCGCTATATATACGCGAACTAACCGGATTACTAACGCGGAGGTTAGGTCTTATCTAGGACGCTTTCTATAGGACTTTTAGGCGATAGAGACCTATCCCCCTAAGTAGCTCGACTTACCGGTATACTAATAGCCTATATAGAACTCTTTCCTATAGTTCTATAAAAGAAGATATAAGCTAAATTCCCTATCTACGACTACTACTACGAGTAGGTTCGGAAGGCACTTACCTACGAAAGGGAAGTTACTTTCTAAGCTAAGAGCAACTGCTTCTAAGTCGCTTCTACGGCAATCGCCTAATATAATAATAATAATAGCGACCTCTGCTACTAGTATACGACCTTCGACTATGTCGACGGCTCGACTTATAATAGTAACTATATAGGTAACGAGCGTCTAGCCTCCTACTATAGCGGAATAAGGAGACGGTATCTCGGCGGAAATAATAGCTGCTATTTAGGCGGTAGTAGCCTAGGCACTAGTAGGCTAGACGCCTGCTATAGGCAACGGTACGCCTGTCTTTAATAAGGCTAGCAACCTAGACCGAATATAGGACTAGGAAATTAGCTTCTTCTAGCTAGACCTACTAAAGGGAGACGACGACCCGAGTATTATAGGATCTAATACCTTCTTCTAAGACGTTAATATCTTTATCGAGCGACTTAAGGATATAGCCGCGTATCGTAGTAACGAACGAGTTAAGTCTAGAATCCCCGCGGTGCTACGAGGAACAGCCTTAACCTAGTATACTAACACGCTTAATAACCTAGCGAAGTAAGGCCTTTATTACGTACTAGATCTAGACCTTTAGTTTATAACGCTACGAGAGAATTTCTAAGCGCTACTATCTAAGTCCCTTAGCGAGCTAACGCGGCTTAAATATACGTTGTCCGACGTAGGTAACCGACGTAGTATAGATGCCTACCTTAGCGAGGTAATACGCTATATATACAACGCCGGCCTAGTTAATAAGAGCTAGTAGCTAACGTATATATAGAATAGCATCGATATAGAGCTACAGCGTAGCATTTAGCTACCGAGAGAAGAGGATACTATTATATTATTTAGATAGAGGCTTAAGAAGGAGCAACCGGCGTAGGCTAAACTAGTACGACGACTAAACCGACGTAATATAGCAACTACTATTACTAGTTCTTTATCGAAACCTTTCCCTACCTACTTAGTAGGTAAGTAACTATAGCGTAATCGAGACCGGAACTTCCGATTAAGCCGTTAGTAGACAGACCGATAGAAAGGCTCTAGGAAGCCTTAGACTAACAACGTACGTGCCTTATAGTAGCCGCTGCCTTGCCGCGACTAAGGTCGAAGCGACTAACGCTTTCGGAAGCCTTAAGACTGTTAAGAATTAGTAAGCGACAAGTTATAATTAAGGGGCGCTAAGAAGACTTTCGATAAGGCTAAGTAGCCTATAAAGCCCTTCGCTTAGCGTAAGAAGCAAGACTCTTACTAGGTAGACGACGAGCTAGAATTAGAGGGCGAGGAATAGGATGCTAACTACGTCGACTCTAATAAGTACTTATTTAATAAAAGAGGCGACGACGATACTAATATAGACGCTAATATAGTAGATATTCTTAACGTAGGACATCTAAGTCTAGTATATAACAAATATACTTACATAGTATACTATTAGGAGTTTAAGACGTCTAACTAGCTCTATTCGCATTTGCAGACTAAATACCGCAAAGGATAGAAACAAAAATCCTAGCGGCTACTAGATCTAATAAGTAAACGGGCACAACTGCTAGATACGCAACTGTATTAGCTTAGATAAACAATATAGCAATAGAAATATACCTAGATAGTAGTAACCTAATTACTCTTATAGATTAAATATTAGCCTAGTAGCGGTATTCTAATAGAGTTTCTTTAAAGGCAACGCGCCCGCGACGGATCCGAGGAGTAGGCAACAAGATTACGAGCCTGTCTAACAAGATGCCTATTAATATAGTTTTTAATAACAGAGTTACAATATTAATAAGAGTATATTTAATTAATAGGCTGCTAGCTAGAGTACTATTAGGAACGCGTCTAATAGAAAAGGAAAAGTTAGTACTGTCTTTCGCTAATAGACAAATGCATTTCCTAAATAGTACCGTAGTAGCGATAAATATCGCTTAGAAGGGACGAGCCCGAGTGTTACTATGTTTTATAGTAACTACCGAGTGAGAAGAAGACAACGAGTCGCTACTGCTAGCGTAACCGGGAGCAAAGGAAAAGCTAGGCCTAATAGGCGCTATACTATATAGCGACGACGAAACGAGGGCTAAATACAACGCCTTACTAGAGAAATATAAGTAACTATTTATCGATAACGGCCGTTTTGCGAAGGTTCCTAAAAAGGACTAGATAACTATTCCTTTAGTTAGCGACTAGAAGGCTACTAGCGCTAAATTAGCGTATAAGGTATACCCTATAGGCCTAAAGGAACGAGAGATTATTAACGGCGTTTACGATAAGCTATACGACTAAGAACAGATGTCTTAGACGAAGGAACTAATACTCTTTAGGTTCCCTACGTTCGTAGTCTAGAAGGAATTAAAGAACGGCCGTAAAGGTAGAGCGGTTGTCGATATCCGTAGACTTAACTATATTACGATAACAGACGCCTACCCGATACTACTATAGGGCGACGTTTTAGCTACTATCTAAGGCGCTAAATTTATTTCGACGATCGATATAAAGTCGTTCTTCTACTAATAGTTAGTAAAAGCGGAAGACCGATATAAGCTCTTAGTAGTCTCCTATAGAGGCTAGGAAATATACAATGTCGCCGTAATAGGCTATAAGAACGCGCCGCCCTATATATAGCGATAGATCGATAGGATCCTACGAACGGAAGAACTTAACGGATTCGCTAAGGCTTTTATTAACAACATCGTTATCTATAGTAAGACGCTAGAGGAATATCTATACTATCTCGATAAGGTATTCGATGCCTTAAACCGATACTAGCTAACTATAGTACCTAAGAAGGCTTTTATCGGATACCTATCGATCTAGCTATTAGGGCAACGAGTCGACGCCTTAGGTATAGCGATACTAGCCGACAAATTAGCGGCTATTACTAAGCTTAAGTTCCTACGAACGCTAAAGGACCTAGAGCACTATCTTAGACTAACTAGATAGCTAAGAACGTATATCGAGTACTACGCTTAGCTAGCGGAACCGCTCTAGAAGATAAAGACTAAGAGACTAAAGGGCGTACCTACTACTAGCTAGATACGTCGACATTATATAGTAACGATACTAATCGAGGAAACGGAGGAACGACTAGCTGCGTTTTAAGCCCTATAAGAGGCCTTTACTAAGCTAACGATACTATATTATTTCGCGAGACACCGGCTGCTATATATCTATATTAACGCGTCTAAGAAACGAGGCTTTAGCGTAATAGTAGCCTACGTCGAGGGCGACGCTATTACTAAAAATCCTAGTAGGACAAAGACGCAACTAATTTTGTTTTTATTAAAGACTCTTTCTAGTACAAAGCGACGGTACTAGCTAACCGAATTAGAGGTCGCCTGCCTAGTATAGACAATTAAACGCATACGATAGATAGTCGAGGTATGCGAGTTAGTAGTAACAGTACTTACGGATTATATAGTAACGCTAGGGATTGTAAGCTAGACTACCTTAACTTCGTTATTAGTTAATAAGCTTAATAACCGACTAATAAGATCGTCGCAATATCTTTCCCTTTTCCTACTAAAGGTAGTCTATAAGCTAGAGCAAGAACATATCGTACTAGACGCCTTATTGCGCCTAGAAACGACAGACGATTATCTTCTAGAGGGCGACGTATTCGACGAACTAGTTTGCAGAGTAATAATGCTAGAAATAGACGACGCATTTAAGCAATAGCTTATCGAAGCATACGAAGAAGATAAATACTAGAGCAATATTAAAGTAATAGTATAGAACGCGGAACTAGGCTCTACTAGCTTCTTAGTCGACGACGAAGGCCTAGTATAGCTCGATAAGCTCTATTTAGGCGACCGACGATTGTGTATCCTAAAGGCATTAGAGGGTAACATTTTTAGTAGTATATACGATAACTAATACTATATCGGCTTTTATCGTGCCTATGCCCGTATAAATAACTAGTACTATATCCGGAAACTAGCTAAGAGACTAAAAAAGTATCTAAGTTACTATTAGGACTGCTTAGAGTTGCAGACTAAGCGATATAAGCCGTATAGGTCCTTAAATCCTATACTATCCCTACTAGTACCCTTCTATACGATTACGATTAACTTTATAGTATCCCTTTCCGCTTAGGAAGCTAACGCTATACTTATAGCAATAGATAAGTATACGAAACAGGTACTCCTAATTACTAGCAACGATACGTACTTAGCGGAGGCTTAGGCTAACCGCTTGCTCGACGAGCTATTCCGATACAATTAGGGCCTGCCGACTGTAATTATCTCCGATAGAGACCCGAAGTTTACGTCCGAGATATAGAAGGCTATTTTTAAGCGGATAAACGTTAAGCTTCTAATAACGACTGCCTATTACCTATAGGCTAATAGCTAGTCTAAGAGAACGAACTAGACTATCGAGATTGCCCTACGATACTTCCTTGCCTAATATCCTAATAGAGATCTAGAATTAGAATACGCAACGCCGTATATATAGCTAGTCCTTAACAATTTAGTTAACGCCTTAACTAGTATGTTACCGAACTAGGTATTAATAGGTTTTAACCCTAGGGAACTAGCTTAAATAGTAACGATAGGCGAGACAGATTTAGCAAAGGAATAGGATATCTACCGAGCTAAGGTAGAGAACAACATCGCCTATATATAGGCCGCTATAAAGCAACGGTACGACTCTTAGTATATTACCTAGAAGCTAGTAGTAGGCGATATAGTCTATTTACGGCTTAAGAATTACGCTATCCTAGGAGTTAGCAACCGAAAGCTTACGCCTCTAAGGATCGAACTATATAAGGTAACGAAGGTTATAAGTACTAGACTAGCCTACTAGATTAACCTGCCAAAAACGTAGAAGATATACCTAGTAGTCTCTATTACGGAACTCGAGCCTTATCCTAATACTAAAGACTTATATAAGCGAGCAACGAGGCAACCCTTAAGGATACATATCGAATAGAGAGACGCTCTACTGGAAATAGAAGCGCTAAGAGACCGACGAGTCCGACGAGTTAGTTAGTATAGGAAAGAGGTAGTAGAATATCTAGTTAGATAGAAGAACGTAGGAGCTAGAGCGGACGAATAGGTACGAGCGGAAGGCATTCTACTAACGATAGTAAAGGCCTACGATCGTCGCTACTAATAGAATAGCAACGGAGTATTATATAACAGACTTACCGCATATGCATTTCCTCTAACAACAGGTCGCGTAGCTTCTACGTAGTTTACTTTACTTCTGTAATAGATAGGAGCGCGTATACTAGGCGCGCGCGTATACTAAGTTTACTTTATTTTAATAATAACTTCGCTATAGTAACTTTACTATAATAATAACTTTCGCGAACACATTGCTATCGCTAATGCGAGAGCTTGCTTACGATATTCGATACTGTTTCTAGTAGCGTAAAGCAATAGAATACGATAGGAAATAGGAAACGCTACCGCTACCGCGTAATACGTCTAATATACGCGATATAGCTCTATCTAACGACCTCCTTACGTATACCGCCGAGGCTAATAGCGAAACAGCCGCTACTAACGATACTGCCTTAGGCAACGTCGCTAACGCTAACTTCGGTAACGCTAGCGACTATGCCTTCGACAATCTTTCGGATATAAGCTTCGACGCCTATCGATATAGCGAAAACAACGATAGCGACATTACCGACTATTTTAACGAGCCTAACGACGACAGCGACACGAGAGACCTAGTTACTAGATTCCGAAGTATAGTAGCAGTATTAATAGAGCCTGTCCTAGATAACGAGCCGGCTAACGAGCCTATCCTAGATAACGAGAACAAGGAAAACAACGAGATAGTCTCTAACCTAGAACCTATCTTATAGAATAAGGTACCGGTTCTATCGTTTACGCTAGTTAACGCCTATCTATCGTTTACGCTATTTAATACTAACGAGGAGACGCTATCGAAATCTAGTACTAAGAAGAGAAAGAATAAAAGTAAGGGCCGACTTATTAATAAAGACAAGGTAACTCTAACTCCTCGGCTAACAAAGAAGGCTAAGAAGGCGATACCTATTACTCTAAAGGAATCGCCTATAATAGAGACGACGTCGTTAAACAAGAAGAGAGCCCTAGCTAGAGCCCTAATAGCTTAGCCTACTAAGGATCGGACTTCGAGGGCAGAGCTAGCTAAACTATCGCCTAAGAAAAAGAATAGGCGTAATAAGATACTTAGAGAGCGGAGAGACATAATACGAGATATCGAGGTTAATATACTCTATCTAGCGCCGAACGAGACACTTAATATCGACCTAGTTATATAAAGAAACATAGCCGACGACGGCACTAAGCGAGTACCTAAGAAGGTTAAGAACTTAATAAAGAAGCTATAGTCTAAGTATAACTAGCTATTATAGAAACTTATCTAGCAATAGTTTATAGTACGTTACGACCCTAAGGCCGTATAAGTTGCGTTTATTAGGCGATAGTATAGAGTAAGACAAATAGTTACTAACGACGAATACTCCGCAGACCCTATAGACTCTAGAGTATTATTAGCTAACTTCGAGGCACTCGAAAATAGAGATAACCGCCGCGCGACTAGGAAGGCTACTAATAATAGGGATAATAATAACCTAAACCCGCCTAAACAAAAGTCTAGAAAGGAAGGCTTATTAGTAGTAAGTTAGTAACGACTAAGGCTATCTAGCTAACGGACGACCTTAGCGCCGAATTTAAAAGCAACTAGGTACTCTACCGCTATACGGGAGTATAGACCGATATAACTAACCCGTCCGTAGAGCGATATACTAACTAATAGATAGTAGCTAAGAAAGAAACGCGACGAGCGTAAGTCTAGGCCTAGTTAGAACGCGAGGAGGCAGCTATAGAAGCTAAGGCTAATAAGAAGCGAGCGGAATTCGTAGAAAGGAAGGCTAAGGCACTAGTATACCTTTAAGTAGATACGAGTAGAAATAAGAATAGAATTATACCTAAGTAGTAGACGGCCTACTAGATAACTAGTATCTAGGCAACGAGACTAGCCTAAGTAGTAGACAGCCTACTAGATAATTAGTATCTAGGTAATAAGAGAGTTAGAGTAACAGTACGAGGGCGTGCCTTTTCTTTTATTTAGGGTAAACTATTATAGAATAAGGAAGTAACAGTCTAGGGGTTAGCTAACTAATAGAGCGACGGCTCTACCTTTATAATTAGCCTTCCTCCTCTACATAATCATCATTAATCTTAACTTTATAACATAAGAAGTCAAGAATGACACCTCAAGCAGGGTGCATTGAGCTTTACGAATATATCTAGAATGTAGCGTTCGGACAGCAACGCACTCATTCCGCTTTCCCAGCAACGCTTACCTTCATCAGCATCCAAGTCTTGAATTTCATTCGTCCTTATTTCATCCAATGTCTCCTCCATGAAAGCATCATAGCTGGTGGTACGCCAGGAACAAATCATCTATAGCCAGTCGTTTACTCCCGCTTGCGCCGGTGCCGGTTCATGGTATGCTTCGTAGTCAGCCGGGTGAAACGGAGCGAATGGTGTGCTGACATGCCAATACGTGACGGAAGCGCTGCACTTTGGAGCTTGGTCATCAACGCTCCCCCTGGAGTGCTCGGTCTCTTATCTTGACATTATACTCGCACTCAGCAGCGATATAGTCGTCGATTGTGATATATTGTTCCTGTACGAAGTCAGGAGGGCGATGATCGATGATGCATGTTGCAGGTGACCTGCTGCGGCTCGGGTGTCGGCCGTTGAGCCAGCGATCCCTATCCGTGTCTCTTGCCAAGGAATCAGCTGCTCTTCCGCCTTTCACATGCTGCTTCGCTTGCCCGCGAGAGTTCTCAACTCTCACCTCCAACGGCACGCTGGACGCGTGAAAGCCCCAGCGAATTCTGCCCTGCTCAACACGCTTCTGCTGCACTCAGGAACAGCGGATTCCACTCGAACGACCTTCTTCACCTCCACGCAGCCGTGTGCACGCCCCGGCCGAGTCCAGACCGTCGTCCTGCCTGCGCTTCTCCGCTCCCTGCACCGCCGCGCACACAGAGCCTCGCACACACCTACACACGCCCTACGACTGAGCGAGATTGGCACGACATTCCTCAGAGGGAGCATACTTCTCGACCAGCTGCGATATAGTGTCTATCGATATACCCTGTCGCTGTCGCACACTGCTAGTCGAACGATGATCGCTCTCGCCCACAAAACCCATTCAAAGGTCACAAGAACATCCTTGCAAAACTGCTCGTAAGGCGGCAGTGGCGATATCCGCATCGGAAGTGTCGCGCAGTAGCATAAACAAGTGGAGGTTGATATCAACTGCAAGTGGCGGGCCCGTGCCAGGCTATGGACGAGAACTTGCAATTGCGACAGCAGCAACGGTCCCAGCAGAATTTCCACATGGCACAAGTTCTCTCCGCAAGGCATTTTCCCATCGCGGGAGGTATGTTTTGGGTCTGACAGCGTAGATCAGGTACTGATGTCACTTAGATGAGTCCTTCACTTTCGGCGACGCTGGATTTCTAGACCAACCTCACGACCGGCCGCTACTGGACAATTCGGAGCAGAACATGCTCAATAGCTTCTGGGACCATCCGGACGAATTCAAGGACACTGGAAAAGCGCCCACTATGCCATTTGGATATATGCCGTCACAGGATGCCACGGATGCCAGCGCCAATGCCAATGCCAATGCCAATGCCAATGCCAGTGCCGCGTCAACGTCTGCCTCACTTCACTCGTCGCGTGTGAACTTTCATCACATGCTAGCTCGGCACATGCTAACACAGACAATAGGAGCGCCGACAATAGCGCCAATGTGACGGGCGAAGATATAAATGCTGCCTCTCTCATCCACAACATCCGCAACAATTCATCATCATCATCGACTAACGGCCCATCGGCTTTCACACTTTCAAACCCTGGCGACTTCAGCACCATTGGCTCTTGGGGTAGCTTCCTCAATCCTATGACTACTGACATGAGTGGACATCTTGCAAATCTTACCATGACTTACACTCAGAACTGGAACAATGCGCACACCTTCAACTCGCACCGTCATCCACCGACTGGCGCAAGCTATGCCGACATGGGCTCGCAACTGATGCAGGCCAACATGGCCTCGCGCTATAACCCCCAGTACGCGCAGAACCTCACTGGATGGCCAGGTCCTGGCCACGCCGCGCAGTTCGCACAGCCTCACAATCAACCTCGAACCCAGTCAGCCGCTTTTGGCACCGACACCAGCTTCGCCGGAGGTCATTTTCAAACCACTAATGGAGCTTCCAATCACGACAATAAGGCGGGCAATCTGCTAGGCGTGCCTGGTGCACCTCAGGCTGCTGCGTCAGCTCAGCAGAATGGCAGCAACTTCACAGTCGTGCAGCAATCTCCGACTGCGCCAGCGGGTCAGCCATGGAGCGGACAGGCGCAATACAGCAATGGCGCCGGCCGTAAGCGTGGCAGAAGTCAAGCAGAGGAAGACTGGCAGCGAGGCCAGGTCGCGGTGAAGCAGGAGCAGGAGCAGGAGCAGGAGCACGATGTCGATGACTATGCTGGTACCTCGACAGGTCACAAGCGACGTAGATCAACTATGGGTGCTCAAGCTGTCCCGGGGCTTCCCATCGGCCAAGTCTCCAACTCTCCCGAGGGTGACGAGGAGGCTCGGCGCCGCGGTTTTCTGCCCAAGAAGAAGGAAAACCTGACAGACCAGCAAAAGCGCTTCAACCACATTCAGTCGGAGAAGAAGCGTCGTGAGCTCATCAACAACGGCTACAACACGCTCAACGTGCTTGTACCGGCCCTCGCTCAGGGCAAGTCTGGTCTGTCGCGATCGGAGTGTCTTTCCGAAGTCAACATGTACTTGCAAACACTCTCATCCGGAAATGCGGAGATTCTGCGACAGTTAGGTCTGCCAGCAGATGCGCTGGCAGGAGTTAGCCGTGATGGCTTCACGAGCATCACTGGAAATCCACCACAGACTCAGTTCCAGCCTCAGCAACAGGCTCCGACCCAGCCGCAGCCTCAAGCGCAGCCCCCCGCGTCGTAAGCATGTCGGCTTATACAGCGTGCGCTTTGGCCTTCAATTCCGCTTGCGCTTCCATTCCTACTCGAATGCGGCCCTTCCGCATGCACTAATCTCTACACCCATCGCCTACTGCTTCTGCGACTTCGAGCGACTCTGTGCATATTGATCTGATACTGCTCTGCACATACCCACGACGATACTCCCGATAGACGAGGAACGTCAAGCGGCTTGCTTGACTCAGATGACGCAAGCTGATTGACTGGCGTTATCTGGATATACCATGGATTGGTTTCTTCCTTTTTACTACGAACGACGATTCTACGATAGCGAGCTCATAGACTGGGATGGCGAGGCGTTTCTTGCGTTGATCATCACACCTGCTTGCTTTGTTCTGTTACCACTACTACTATTACGATTATTATCACGCATCAGCTGGGAGGATACGGGAAGTCTGATGGAGCGAAATCATGCGAAAGAGCGCATGTGTGATCGGGGCCGGCGAGCCGGCGGATCAGAAAAGCCTCCTTACCAGACTGATGCGATTCATGTACTTACTTCACCACCTTGCTACCGTCGCCCCGAGAGGGAGAGGGGCGAAAGAGCTCACAGAATGAGAATGAGATCTGAAAAGCAAGTTCTGCCTATTGTGTGCCCATGGCACTTTCGTTGTTACATGTCCTTCTGTTCCTCAATAGGTCGGAGCACTTTTGTGCACTTGTATTTGCCCTCAAACCATCGTTGACGTGACATGGACCGCTGTGCCTGCCCAGCAAAGCAAGTGGTGGTGATACGTAGCTGAGACTTTCACAGTGCCGGCGAATTCATAGAAATCCAGGCGACGGTCTCCACGGTGCACGAGAATTGCTGCACGTCAAGAAGGAATTCATTCCAGACGTATAGAATGTGACGGAACGTCAAGCGAGGCTATGCTAAGTGACCTGCAAGCTTTACCCCAAGGCTTCGAGATTTTCACTTTACCTTTGGCCACGCTGCCGAATTGAGGGACGGCATGTGGCTGCTTCAAGAGAGACTGCTGACTTGGCTTGGATGTCTTCAATCTCGTTTTCATCTTTTGATCTGTAAGCTGACATTCGAGCGCTTCGATCTCTTTCTTGTGGCCAGGGATGCTTTTCGCGTTGCGACTCCTGCCCTACTCTGCCCGTCCCGGATCTTCGTACCTTCCACTTCTCTTCCGGATTCCTCCCCTCTGCCTCCAGGTACACCGCTCGACTGCCTGCCTGCTACCAACGGAGTCCCCATGTCATCCATCATTCGCTTCACTAAAATCTCATGCATACTTGCTCGCTGCAGCGGCTGTCTCGCTGGCAGTGGGAAGCTGGCGCTTCGAGAATCTGAGCGTCTTTGAGACGACGTGCTGAGGAAGGCGCAATACACGCGATTGAAATTTTGTGCTTTCTTGCGCTTCAGAAGTAGGCCACATATGTGACAACCATCCTGGACTCTCGAGCTTGCTCATAGGTAGTCCTTCTTCTTGCTCGTCCTGGTGTATTGATTCATGTGCCATTCAACATCGCCGTCCTTCTTCTCCAATGTGCCCTGGCGAATCTCGAACAGTCGCATCGTCATGCGCGGTCCGACCTCAGCCAACTCAACGCTCTGATATCCAGTCTTGACAAATACGTGATGCCTGACTTCAATACTGTCCTCGATGTTTTTGAAAGTGATGACTCTTGATCCAAGGTTTTTGCCGCCATCACGAGGAGGAAAGAGATGCTGCAGGATCTTGACCACACGCTTTCCTAATTGTGTCGTGAAGCCCTCGAAGATAAGATGGGGGTAGCTTTCGCTGACAGTGCCTCGTGACGCGTTTGGAATATCGTGTCTCAGCACCACGTTGTGCAAGCTGAAGGAAGCAGTGGGTCCATGGGGGAGGTGCGAGACAGTCATCGCTGTGGGTGTACCTCTGTGCTCATGAAGCAAAATCATATCTGAAAGGCCGCTCGATTTTGCACTTGCTGTCAAATTGGGCAAGATCAAGTTACCGCGATTGAGTCGAATCGAGGTTGGGAGGAGAAGACGGATTTCTTTCGCGAAGGCAGAGAGTCTACTGCTGGGATCGCGAGAAGTGGTGACTAGGACTCGTGGATCGACGACGCCTGAGAGATAGCTGTATTCGTCGTCCAGCTCCAGCTCTTCTTCAGTCGTTCGGTCGGCTCGCGATTCATCGTACTTGTAGTCCTGTCGCAACTGCTTGTCGTTGGCGATGTTGGCGTCCAGCGGCTTTCCTGAGGCCAAGGAAGCCTTCAGCTTGGCTCTCTTCTCGGCCACCTCAGCATCGCGGAGAGTGAGCGCGCGACGGTAGAGGTAGTCTCTCCGTTGGCGTGCCTGCCGCCGTATCATCTTGGCTGTGAGAGGCAGAAGAAACTTGTCGCATGTGAAAGGCGAAAAAAGTAGCAATCGCAATCGCGAATCGGCTGCCCCACATGCTTTTGCTTTCGGCACAGCGGCAGCGGCAGCGGCAGCAACCCTGCTGCAGCACCAAACTGCACACACTGCATCTGATCCGCCTGCTTCTCCTACCAAAGGCTGCGCAGAGTCCTTGCCTCCGCCGAAAGGCCAGACGGGACGACAAACTCTCGCACGTAACACATCCACCGCCTGGCTTGAGCAGGCGGATATACAAGGCACGGCGGACCACAACACCGCCGCCACTCATCCCTCACCACCCACCACTGACCAGATCCCTCCGTTGCGAAACTCCGCCATTAGCACCGCCGACGCCGACGAGCTCCCTTTCCGAGGCGACACATTCGCCATGGAAGGAACCTTCACCAACGTCGGTAATCATTTGGTCGGCGATTCGGCCTCCGCCATCAACGCCGGCGACGATGTCTCCACCCTCGATGCTGCCGAGAGCGCACTGCATACGGAATACCGCGCAACCGCTGGCCCAAGGAGGAGAAGAGGCGGCGGGGGCGACGACGACGAGACTGACGTGTACGACGACGACGATGACGACTTGGAGTCACTGGCAAGTCATGCTGTGAACGGCGCCAACGGTCAAGCTCCCACTGGCCAGCACGAAGAGGTTGAGCTCCCAGCGCATGCTTGCGCTTACTGTGGTATTCACAACCCTAGCAGCGTTGTGAAGTGCCTCACTTGCGCCAAGTGGTTCTGCTCTGCTCGTGGCAATACTTCCTCCAGCCACATCGTCAATCATCTGGTTCGCGCTCGGCACAAGGAGGTGCAGCTGCATCCCTCCTCGCCGCTTGGAGATACTACACTTGAGTGCTACAACTGCGGCACCAAGAATGTCTTTCTGCTCGGTTTTATCCCCGCAAAGAGCGACACCGTGGTTGTGTTGCTCTGCCGTCAGCCATGCGCCGCCATGCCCAGCAGCAAGGACATGAATTGGGATACCTCGAAATGGCAGCCACTGATCGAGGACCGTGCTTTCCTGCCATGGCTCGTGAACGAGCCAACGGATCAGGAGCTGACACGCGCTCGCTATTTGCCCCCACCGGTCATTGCTAAGCTCGAAGAAATGTGGAAGGATAATAGCAGCGCCACGATCCAGGATCTCGAGAAGAGTGCTGGTATCGATGACGAACCTGCTCCTGTCTTGCTACGATATGATGACGCATACCAATATCAAAATGTGTTTGGTCCACTTGTGAAGATCGAGGCAGACTATGATCGTAAGCTCAAGGAAGCTCAGAGCCAGGACAACTTGATCGTGCGCTGGGACTTCGGTTTGAACAACAAGCATCTTGCTTCTTTTGTCCTCCCCAAGCTCGAGCTTGGAGATGTCAAGCTGGCAGTTGGTGATGAGATGCGACTGCGCTATACGGGCGAGTTGCGACCACACTGGGAGGGTGTCGGCTATGTCATCAAGATCCCGAACAACCAGAGCGACGAAGTGACTATCGAACTGCGATCGCGAGGAGACCACAAGTCAATACCGACTGAGTGCACGCACAACTTCACCGCCGATTACGTTTGGAAAGCCACCTCTTTCGACCGCATGCAGCACGCCATGAAGACCTTCGCTGTAGACGAGATGTCTGTCTCTGGTTACATCTTTCACCGTCTGCTCGGTCACGACGTGAACGCAGCTCCGCTGAAGGTGAATATGCCGCGGAAGTTCAGTGTGCCTAATTTGCCCGACCTCAACGGCTCGCAGATCAATGCTGTCAAATCCGTACTGCAGAAGCCACTTTCTTTGATTCAGGGACCTCCAGGCACTGGAAAGACTGTCACTTCTGCCACCATTATCTACCACTTGTCAAAGATGAACGGTGGCCAAGTCCTGGTTTGCGCACCGTCCAACGTGGCCGTCGACCAGCTCTGCGAGCGTATTCACATCACTGGACTTAAAGTTGTGCGTGTCACTGCCAAGTCGCGCGAGGACGCGGAATCCAATGTTGGATTCCTATCACTTCACAGGCAGGTTTCCATGAACGACACCAATGTCGAGCTTTCAAAGCTCAAGCAGCTCAAAGACGAGCAGGGTGAGCTGTCTAGTCAGGACGAGAAGAAATTCAAGGCCTTGACTCGCGCTGCGGAACGCGAGATCCTACAAAACGCAGACGTCATTTGCTGCACTTGCGTTGGTGCTGGTGACCCAAGACTCGCAAAGTTCAAGTTTCGGACAGTTCTTATTGACGAAAGCACTCAGTCCGCCGAACCAGAGTGCATGATCCCGCTAGTCCTCGGATGTAAGCAAGTTGTCCTGGTCGGCGACCATCAGCAGCTTGGTCCGGTCATCATGAACAAGAAGGCTGCCAAGGCTGGTCTTAACCAGTCTCTGTTCGAGCGCCTAGTCGTACTTGGCTGCGCACCCATTCGTCTGCAAGTGCAGTACCGTATGCATCCATGCCTATCTGAGTTCCCATCCAACATGTTCTACGAAGGCTCGCTGCAGAACGGCATTACTATGCAGCAGCGCTTGAGAAAGGATGTCGACTTCCCATGGCCCGTCGCTGACTCTCCCATGATGTTCTGGTCCAATCTTGGAAACGAAGAAATCAGTGCCTCTGGTACATCCTACCTGAACCGCACTGAGGCCCAGAATGTCGAGAAAATCGTTACTCGCTTCTTCAAGGCGGGCGTCAGCCCTTCTGCGATTGGTATAATCACTCCGTACGAAGGACAACGCTCTTATGTCGTACAGAGCATGCAACAGACTGGCACGTTCAAGAAGGAGCACTACAAGGAGATCGAAGTAGCGTCCGTCGATGCCTTCCAAGGTCGTGAGAAAGACTTCATTGTGCTCTCTTGCGTTCGAAGCAACGATCACCAAGGCATTGGTTTCTTGAGTGACCCTCGACGTCTGAACGTTGCACTCACTCGTGCTAAGTATGGATGCGTTATCCTCGGCAATCCAAAGGTACTTAGCAAGCACCCGCTCTGGCACTACCTTCTCCTTCACTTCAAGGAGCGCAATTGCTTGGTCGAAGGTCCTCTCAACAACCTCCAGGTGTCGCTGCTGCAGTTTAGCCGACCTAAGACGTCCTACCGCGGACCTCAGCGCTACCAAATGGCCTATCAGCACGCCAACCATATGGCCGCCGCTACCGGTAATCGCATGAATGGACGTCGCGATGGACCTCCGGGCGCTGACGGCAGCGTTGTCGGCTACATCCCTGATGATGTGTCTTCAGTACACTCTTCCGCGCTTGGTGGTGCCGCACTTCCCACCCAGTACCCGGCCATGTTTCAAGGCTTCCAAGAGTCGTGGCCACAGCTTCCAGCTGGTCAGCGCAATGGCCCGATTGGCGACAAGACTCACGCACCTCCAGAGTCCATTGCCGGCGAGAGTGTTGCCGCTAGCGAGATCACAGATGTGACCACGAATGGCTCTGTCAAGCCAGGCCAAGGAGGCGTCAGCCTTGCTGGCCTGAGTATCAATGATCTCAACAAGCAGGCATCGCTTTCGCAGTCAGACAAGCTTCGTCGCTACGTGGAGGGCCAGGGTGCTCCACAACCTCCTATTGGCGCCGGTCGCAACCGATCTACGTTGGAAGACGAGGATGCTCGCAGCGTTAGCACCGCATTTGCAAGCCAAGTCGGCGTAGGTGGCTATGACTGATTGACACGAAACAGCGAGCAATGCTCGACCAGCCTCTCGATATTTGAAAAGATTCTACGTGCTAATGCGTGCGACCTGAAGATGAGCTTTCTAGCGATTGCTGTCTAACACAAGATTCTGACATGTTAGCGTTATGAATCTGCGCAACAGGCTACGCGACATCATCAAGCCCCCAACTGGGTCCAGCTGGGATATGCCACCGAGCGAACGAATGGGCTTGCATTGCGAAACGATTGCTGCAAAGTGCTTGCGACGATTGTGATGGTTGTATCTGTAGGGACCAGCAGCGAACGACTCTCAGGCACGTCAGACAGTGTCAAAGGTTGGAGTCGTGTCTGATTCAAGCCAGCGTCGTGGCCGTCAGTGGTCTAGCAATACACAACCCACATCCTAGATCGCTGGGTCGGGTCATCTTTCGACTGCAGCACTGCATTCGCTTCCGCGATGAGTCCACAGAGGCTGGTATCCATGTGCGAGAACTGTTTGGGAGTGTGAAAAGATATGATCAAGGAACATGAACTAGCTTTAGTCACTCATTTGGAACACCAACAAGAAGAAATCGATCCTTGAGCAGTAGCCGTAGCTCCGGCTATTGCGACGTTGAGGATCCAGACTGCACTAGGACTTTCTATTTCTTTTTTCCCCTTTGAATCATACCGTCGTAAGTGATGTTAGATCGGGCGACTCCCGGTTGCTCAGAAGTTTGCCAAGAGTTGCTAGCGCCTCGTGTCGGGCATCAAATGCATCTCCGACGTCAACGTGACCTTTCCATTGCATTGGCATCACACTGCGTGGCATCTCCATCCTCATTCACGAACTGCCAAAATCTCAGGCATTGCTGCTCTGCTCAGCATCCAAACATTGTGGCGAAGCAGCACTGGCAAAGGCGACGGCGGAAAAAATCGACGTGTCGATATCGCATTGAAGCATTGCAGCATTGCAGCATTGCAGATTGAACGGGCGACTCGCTGCAACATGGATAGCCTGCCTGTGGAGTTACTGGCTTACGTCGTCGAATTCTGCGATCATGCATCTCAGAAGCAACTGAGAGGCGTGAACAAAGACTGGGAGGATCTCACGAATCCTCACGTCTTCGCACATATCTACATCGCAAGTTTTCAAGCAGAGCTATCCAGCTTCCAGACATTGGCGTGTTCGCGCCTCGCGAAATACGTCAAGAAATTGACGTACTTCACCGATACATTGCCGAAGCTTTCAAAGAAAACATACCAGGGCTGTATCGACCTTCGCCCAGACTTTCACAAGTTCCGCAATCAGAATGCAGACAAGTATCCTGACGAGCCAAGGACGGTTTATCGGCCCCACACCCGCAATGATGTGTTCTCGCGTGCATGGGATGCTTGGGCAGAATTGCCTCGTCACTCTTTCACGAAGAAACAGATCAATGAAGGGTGGGAAGTGTATAAGCGGCTTTTTCAGGAACAGAAGACTTGGAACGCCAATTTGCAAGGTCAGATGCTACAGCAGAGTTTTGCGAAGCTGCCGAATCTGACCGAAATTGAGATTGCGAGAGCAATGGCTGAGACGAGGAGTACGAGTGAGTGGCCATTGTGGTCAAGGATTCGCCAGGAGTTGTTGCTCGGGCCTGATGACTGGCGTGAACAATACACACCAGAACCAGACCCGCGCAAGATCGACTTCCCAGTCACGGAGCACGCAGTTCTGTGCTTGCTCGAAGCCATCGCGCAAAGAAATCGAGTCCTGGTTAACGACACTGATGGTGCTTGCAGACCAGTGACCAAGCTCCTGCTCCAACACCAATTCCTTGATCCATCCTCTCTATTAGCCAATTGGTCCAACTCATTATACGGAACTGCACCAGCAACCCGAGAATGGGCCGTCTCTCATACAGGCCGTCTTCCACTCGCAACAGCATTCAGCAACCTCACACGTCTGACCATGTGGCTTCACTTCGACGACGAGAGGCCTTTCCATTTCCAAGCCTCAGTCTTCGCCCAACTGCACCACTTCCTATACGCGGCTTCCAAGCTGCAGACGCTCATCCTTCAAATCGAATGCCCGGACCACTTCGGCGAAGATCTAGAAGACTTCAATGGAACGGCACCTTCCGCCAATGTCTTCGATACCACCGTCACCATATGGCCAGACATCACATATCTCGCACTATCGGCCAACGTCGACACTGACAAACTATTGCGCTTCCTCTACCTCCACTCCAAGACCATAAAACACTTACGACTCACCGATATGATCGTCCGGGACGTCCCCAAACTAATCGACCACCTCCCTTCGACCATCTCCCGCAACTTAGAAACGATCTATCTCCGTCAACTCTGGCACGAAGGCATCGAAAGCCTCCCCCATAACGAAATCCACGAAGACATCAGTGAATGGGACTTGTGCTTCCTCTCACAATCGACAGATTTCAACGCACCCTACGAGAAATCCGTAAAAGCATACTTGAGGGGAGAAACGGGTATAAAACCTGATTTGACGCTGGACTGTTTGGGCAGGCTTGGAGAATTCGAGAGAACTGATCGAATGGGTCCTCCGACGAACACGGTGTTTAAACCGCATAGTTTGCATGCTTTTAAGTTGGGGTTGTTTGATGCTTGGTCGTCATGATACTAAGAAAGGAGATAGATATGTGATGAAGGCTTGTTTTGTTTCTTAAAAACAGGAAAAGTTTATAGGTTTGAAAACATCGGGTGGGTTCTGGTCAATATTGCAAATCTACACTCTTATGCACGTTCGTCGTTCCCACTGGCTTTACGGACAAACACCTGGACTTCTTTAGCCATATATTGAGCCTACATATATATATCACCTTACTGCTCATTCTTCTTAATCCGTCGTTCCAAACGCTCTCTGTACCCTCCGCCTCTTCCTTACTCAACCTCCCTTGATTCCCTCTTCATCCTCTTCGCAACGTCAGCCGCTACTTGCTCCACGGTTCTCAATCCTGTCACTAGCAGACTGCTCATAGCAGTTTGGAGGTTTAAATGTATGATTAATTCGCACCAAGAAATCGAAAAGAACTCTACCGAGCGGATCCAAGAATACCGATGTTCTCCCTTTTGAGATGGGAAGAAAAGTAATAATCCTGTGCCACTTCAACTGCATTTCCTACGCACGTTATTAGCTGTACCTGCATCTCCACCACACATTCCAACCTCACATCTCGTCATCGCCAGCATCTTCTTTTTTTTCTAGATCCGGATCATGTTTCCTTCCTTCCTGGTTGTTCCTGCCAAGCGTCGGAGCCAGAAGCTAGCTTTTGCAAGCGGTGCCAAAGAAAGTTTCCCAAAGGGGGAAAAAAATCTTTATTATTGCCAGTGCACGCAAATCCGAAAAAAAAAGTTCATGTTGCTGCTGCTGCTGCTATAGTTAGGAGTGGTCAATTTCATAATAATAAAATTCTTGGACGGGAAGGAGATGAGGTGGTCGACGCTCGATCCAAAATCCTGTCCGGGAGAGGCAGCGGGAGGAAGTGCAAGGTCTTGATTATTTCTGCTCGGCTGAAGTTTGAACGAGCGAGCGATGAAATTACCCGCACGGGCTCCGTCGTTGTGCTCTCACGGAACGAGCACGGCGCGTAGGAGCGGCGTCATCTGATCGATAGGTGCTGCAGTCTGCCGGCGCGCTGGTCAAGGGTCGGGCCTCACCGACTGCTCCACAGCTTCGGACGAACATGCAATCTCAGATGAGAAGGATCTCGTCGGCAGAGAGTTGATTGATCACATATTTGTGTGTGTGTGTGTGTGTGTGTGTGTGTGTGTAAGAGAGTGGAGTTTTGATAAGATGCTATGAAAAGGCATAGCATCCCTGTCGATCTTACGCCGCGGCCCGCAAAGCGTGTGCTAGTCCACTTCGAGCCGAAGCACCGACACGATTTTGTGCTCGATCGCATTCATCATTCATTGTGTGTACGACAGAGTGAGGAAGGGTCAATTCGCGGGAGATTTGGCATCAGTGTTCATGACCAGCATAGGTGAAGTGAATGTAGTAATGCCAGTCTAGTGTTCATGCCCATTTGATCTTTTTCCGAGACAATCAATCGTACAGACCTTTACCGTGCGTGCTTTTGTCTAATCCTGCCGTTGGTAAAATGTAGCCGCTCCAACTCCGAACATAATGGTGTATCATACTGATCGCAAACAAGTGAAGGGTAATAAGAAGAAGGCGCCATCAGATCCAGAGTCTCATGCGCCAGTGTGCTCCTTTTGGCCTCCGTAAAAGCCTCCTGCCGATCCCACCGTGTGCAAGACCTTTCCCCATATTGCTTCCCAGACGCCATGCAGAATTGCTCGCTTAACAGCAGCCGTGAACGCTTCATTCCACAAAAGTCGGATGATTCTTGCTCAAAGGCAAGCTAGTTGACTTCGCCACCGCACGAAGGACACCGCTTGCCAGGAATAACCCAGACTGTTTGACCTCTGCCAAGGCAAGCCGGGCACCGTTTTCCAGGAACCTGTGCAATTGTCAGCTCGCCTTCAATTCCAGAAGCTTGACCACGCTCACCGGATGTTCTCGAAGAGGGATGTTGTCATTGAATGTTGAATCATAGCCACTGTCGGAAGACGCGACCGAGTCAATGGATCTTCGGCGCTCGAATGGTGGAAGCTGCTCGATACCGAGTCGCAGTAGTGTTTCGAATCGTTGGCTGTTATATGACATCTTGAAGGTCGTGAAGGGTCACGCGAGAGCTATGGTACAGATTAGGTACCTTTGGGGATGCCGAGAGTTAGGGAGACGACAGCGGACAGCGGTAGGGAGAAACGACTGTTGCAAGTGAGTGAGTTCGTGCGAAGGGGTGAGATGGCGAGCAGCATCTCCTTTATACATCTTCTTGTCACTTTCCCAGAATCGCCAGGTTCAAGCCTCGTTCAAAACGCATTGGCTCGGTCAGCTGCTGAATGCTAGCATACGCTGTGAGACGTGTGTAGAACAGGGCGATTGAGCTAGGGAGCTAGTCTGTCGTGACCTCGTTGACGACCAGTTCGTTGGGTTTGGGACCACCTCTCATCACACCGTTACCGGGTTTTTGTCTTTGTTGATGGCAGAGTGTGTTGCACTGGCATCGAGTGGGAGCGTTCCAGTTGGACCATGCGCATCTGATGTGATGCCTGAGACCTTTATCAACCTCGAATGTGTTTTCGCGCCAGGCTGCCGTGGCTTACCTCCGCTAGTTGAAGCAGCCCGCTCGTACAGACAAGGTTGTATATTCGTCCTTGCTCAGTCAATGGCAGTCCGGAACTGAAACCCAATTTGTGCAACGGGAAAATACGGCAGTAGGACTCGTCCACGCAGCTTTCCGAAGCAATGACGGCAGGTGGGATGCGTGCTGGCTGTATGTTGTGATCCATGCTGGCAGCCGCTTTGGACGCCGATTGCCAGGACATCAATCAGATGTTGAGCGCAATGACGGTCACATCTGTCAAACTTCAACAAGGATTGCAAGTCAGATTCCGCTCTCCACGGCGGCGCAAGAGGTTGTGGATCCTGAGGTGCACCGGCTCGTGACCAGTAGCAGCGAACGAGCCGGCCGCGCGCGCAGAGCGGCAAGAGTTGTACAGTAGCACCACCCACATCCCGTGCTCGATCAACAACCATGGCAACGGCGTTTGGACGAGCCTTTCGTTTTCAGACGTGTAGCTCGCCGCAACAAATAATAATGAGGAAGACAGATCGTAGATCAATCCCTGTCGCGCTTCTGCACACTCCCGGTTCCCGCAAAGTTGATCTCGACAGGGGGGCCCTCCACAAGTCTGCACCAGCCGAGAGTCTGAAATCTGTGACAGCTCTTCGCATGCAGTCTGCAGAATCCTATACAGTATGCAGGGCAGTTTCCGTTAGCCTAGGTCCACTTAAATCGAGTTTCGCAGAGCAATGTACGAATCCCTTCGCCCACTTACGTTGAGCCTCAAGCCGCGCGCCGTCACTTCCTGGCCAGGATGCAGCTCGCCGTGTGAAGTGCATTGCGGTACCGCATGGAGAAGTTGGTTGGTTCATGTTCATACGTATGTGAGCGCACATCGACGTGATTTCGCACACTCTAACCCCCTGCGTTCTCTGTGGTGCAGCTGGTCTTGCGCGATTGATGCTCATAGGACCACGTGTTGTCATTCCAAAGCACTCTACCTACCCATGTGAGATAATGAAGCCTGTCACTTCACATTGTATTCCGCACGTGCTACTTCCGAAATCCTTGTGCTCAAGTGGTGCCAATGCATGGTCGGTCCTTGAGTGCGTTGAAAAAATTGCGACACTATCTCCGAGCTCATCCCAAGGATTCCTTCCTTGTAGCCAGATAAAAAAGATCTCGGCGACAAGTTTTAGTATCTTCATACACTGTTCTCTCATCTTTCAGCGTTAGCGCTCTGGGTGGGTCCGATCAGGCTGTTGATGTTCGATTATTTTCGCACCTCGAGCTGCGATCAGATGAGACAAGCACCAGCGGTTGGATTCTGAGCAAATCTGCCCGCTCGTACACAATGAACATTGGCGCAGGACGGGATCCGATCGGTTGGTAGAGCATATGTCCCGGTAACTCATATGGTCCGTGACAACACATCTTCGGAAGGCGGAGGTAGGCGGGTACCTGGCTTCAGGAGGTGAGCTCCATCGTCGTGTCTGAATCTCTCCAACAAAGCCAGTCGCCTCTAAGACGATACAGTACTACCGCCGAGCGCAGTCTCAACGTGCATTAAGATCTTGCCCTGATTTGGGCGGGAGTCCTCGCCGCGAAGATGAAGAAGCACCAGGCCCTGTGGTATCCGGTCCAGGCGATAGCAAGCCCAACCAAGAAGGCGATCTTTTTGATAAGATACGTCGTCCATGACCTTGACCCTGTTCACGTTAGCGTGCGACTTTCACCATATTTACATTGGCTGCAGGCGAGTGACGATGAAGCACAAGACGATTTCCCGGCTTCTGCAATGCAGTGTGACTTCCTAGGTCGTCAGTCGCCAATGCCGGTAGCAACATCCTTGGGCCCGGGTAGCGGGCTGCCGCGACCACCTAAGCGGATCATACTGCGTGCAAGGTGCAAGACCTTAGTACTAGGCGATACACCGCGCGACCATCTCCGAAATGATGACCCCTCAACGTTGTCCTGTGTTGCGTGATTGTTCAAGGGCTGTGTCGGGGGTCGGTTTTCACACAGGCCAACGCATCTCTCCCCGTGCAACGGCGGCCAACTCCACACACGCAGAGACTAGCTCGAGCGCGAAGTCAAGTTGCACAGCAAATCGATGCAGAGCACACGCCAACCAGAGCACGGATGGTAAATGAGATGGCGGACATACCTCACAAAGGACAGAGCCGGTACGACTTCTTGTACATCGTCGAAGACAAGAGCCTCACCGCTCCAGTCGGGTTCCCGACCCTTCTTGACGCTCGACCGGAGTTTGCGTTCACCGCCTTTATTCTTGCCTCCTTTGGGTATTTCACCCTTTTCCGCCTCTGCCTTGCTCTCTACGTGCAACTCGCATTTAACGAAGCAGTTTGGAGTGTCATCGATGATGCCAAGACCCTGAGCTGCGAAGAGTCTGATCTTGAGATTTAGCGTCTTCCGCGTAATAATAGGCTCAGGACCTTCAACAGGAAGGTAGCCTTCGGGCTTCAACATCCAGCCTCCGCTGCCGTCAAACTGAGCTGCGTTAAGCATCATAGCCGCGTTTGGCTTCTGAAAATTCAACGCGACCTGGTCGAAATTAGCAAAGCCTTGAAACGTTTGCGACGTGGCAAATCAAACCATCTGCACGCCCACCCGCCAGAAGGGAGCAGGATCCAGGTTGCTGCTTCGTAGACGAGTACCTTTCGGATATGCACGCATCAGATGATGTAGGTTGTGGTTGAAAAGTTCCTTTGGTTTCTTCTCGCACGCCTCAAGAAGTTTGCTCTCTCCTAATGAGAATACGTGTGTAGGAATTCGGGACTCAGGCTGGTCGAAAGAATGGAAATGAAAAGCCCTCGTAAAGATGCCCATGTTGCTCAGGGACTCGATGATTTTGCCCCTTTTGCCAGCCTACGGAGATACCATGTCAGCACCATCCAGGGACGAAAGAGTACCGCACTCACCTCGTTCTGATCTTCGTCACTAGCAGAATCCTGTTCCCCGCCGGATCTCGAAGCAGCCTTGGCCGTTTCCGGCGGCGTGTATTTGACCTTGACGAGGATTTTCTTCCTCAAGGAGTTGAGCGATGGCAAAGGAGTGGTGTCCGAAAAGTTCTCCGGAATGCGTTCAAGAAAGGCGCCCCAGTAGTCGTTCATCAGCTCGACGACAATTTCTTGTTGCGAGGGACTGCAGTGGACTTCCAGACTGACTATCAGAGGCAGATCGCTGGACCTGAAGGCATAGTCGCGAACGGTGGCACACACAGCTCGGAAAGGAATCTCTGTCGTGGCCGTGTAGCCATGGTACACCACAGGCTCGGACCTCCCGCTGTCAGTTCTCCAGGGAGTTGGCATGAATGTCTGATCGCCAGCAGGAGAATGGGCTGGAGCTTCTCGGTCGGGGTTGGAGCGTGATCGTAGCCTATTGAGCTTTCTCTTCAGCAAACCGCCCAGCTTCGCGACATCGCTTTCCTCCTTGTCGCCACGTTCAGCCTCCGAGGAAGAAGGAGATGCTCCGTCCCAGATGTCGATTTCGATACATCTACAGCTCCGCTTGAGGACGTCTTTGTAGCAGTCAGTGCTGGACTTACTCCACAGCTGGTTGCCAGAAAGATAAGTGTTATGGCTGGAGCTTATGAAGTAATGACTCAGTGGATGGGTCGAGTCGAGGGGAATGGGCAATGGCGCGGAAGATGCAGGGTCATCGAGGCGTTCAAGGTAATCCTCAAAGCCTCCCGGTTGGGGATGCTTGTTGGCCTTGTCGAACTCGGCTTTGGCATGTTTTTGGATTGCGGGCGAGAGTGCATTGCGCGCGCTCGCGCTGGCTTCTCCTCGAATGGCTGCCATGCCTCGGAGACAAGTGTGGTGTGCTCAGGTTGCGCAGTGAATGCAGCACGCTATGGGAGTATTTAAAGTTGGTGGCTGCGTTGTGCACAGGGAAGGGAAGGCTGAGGGTGAGGGTGAGGGTGAGGGGGAGGAGGGATGGGTGCGGCTGCGGCTGCGGCTGCGGCTGCGAGCTGAACAACGGGGCGTAGCAAAGGTCGCAGAAGGCATGCCGGACAGAGCGGGTAGTCAGACTTTAGTAGGGCAGGCGGTGACTCCCTCACGTTTGTCTCTGCTGTGTGCATGAGCATAGATCCGCTCTGCTTCTTGATGTCGCTGTGCTGTTTGGCGTCGCACCTGGCAGGCAAGCATGGCATGGATGTCATTATGCGATAAGCGGGAACTTACGCACGGGCTCTCGGCAGTCCCGCTGCAGGGCAGAAGTCAAACAACGACAACTCGCATCGTGGATTTGCTCTCCTCTCTGATCCTCCACCGCTTGCACAGACACCCCCGCACACGAACACGCTCGTTCAGATACAACCGACATTACAGAATGGCCACGTTAGTCCTCCCAAAGGTGCTCCAGCGTCACCCGACCTTCTCATGGCCCGCATCCAGCACCTGGCATGCGAGCATTGTTCTGTTCTAACCTTCTGCTAGCAACATCACCTGGCACGCAGGTCTCACACGCAAGGAGCGCATTGAGCTGCGCAAGCAGAAGGGATGCACAGTCTGGTTCACTGGTCTCTCGGCGTCGGGAAAGTCGACCATTGCTACAGCTCTTGAGCAACATCTCCTCCATCTCGGCAAGCAGACGTACAGACTGGACGGCGACAACGTGAGATTTGGACTGAACAAGGACCTTGGCTTCTCGCCCAAGGATCGCGAGGAGAATATCCGCCGCATTGCAGAGGTGCAGAGCCTACCCACAAATGGCTAAAAAATATATTGAAACTAACGTTGAATCACAAAGGTTGCCAAGCTCTTCGCCGACTCCACCACAATTGCCTTGACATCTTTCATTTCACCTTACAAGGCCGATCGCCAGCTCGCTCGTGAGCTTCACGCCGACACCAGCAACACCGACTCCCCACTTCCTTTCATTGAGGTCTTCGTAGACATCCCAGTCGAAGAGGCCGAGAAGCGCGATCCGAAAGGACTGTACAAGAAGGCTAGAGCTGGCGACATCAAGGATTTCACTGGTATCAGTGCGCCATATGAAGCTCCGGAGAATGCTGAGATTCACATTCACTCGGAAAAGACAAGTGTAGAGGAAGCTGTACAAATCATCACAGACTACTTGCAGAAGCAGGGTTTGTTGGATGCATAGATCCTGACTGGGACAGATTATGGAGATGAGTGACGCGCATGTGTACATTGAGATAGAGAAAGACGCGAATAGGACATTTGCAACAGGATCAGGTGTTCTTGGCTCTCATTGGCCCGAAAGTTCACTTGAAGCATTCCAGACCACCTGCATAGAGTCAACCTTAGACGGAGTAAGGTCTTTCTGCTCGATGGAGCGCCGGTCCATCTCAAAATCCTAGCTCTGCTTCAGCTCTGCATCCAGTCACTACCCGCATTACTCAAACCAAAAAAAAAAGAAATACACGCTCACGTAAAATCACCGCCAGGACAATCAGGCTGCTGCTTCCAATGCGCCTCAGCATCCACCCTCCGCTCCATCATAAGCAGATAAACGCTCCAAATTTTCGGAAAAAAGAGCCTCAACATCAAGCTCAAGCATCCAAGCCTTCCAAACAGCAGAAACCAAGCAAACATCAGCCATAGTGACGAAATCACCAAAAGAATACCGATCTTCCCCCCGATAACCGAGCTTCGTACACAGCAAGTCCCTTCAGATAAGCTTTCCTCGAAAATTCTTTCCCCGAACCCCCCAAGAGCCACCATGTCTTTCGATACACGCGTACTCGTCAGCCGATGGCAGTGATGTATGCTAGTGAGCGGAGTAAAGCTCGCTCTCGAGGATAGGCGTGGTGTTGAGTCGGGATGAACTTCGTCCAGGAATTCGATCGCTGCTAGCGATTGCGTGATGAGGACTTTGCCGTCTTCGCTCTGGAGACAGGGTACTGTTCCTGATGGATTTACGGCGAGATAGCTTTCGTGGTGCTGTTCGCCGCGGTCTAGGTCTACGTATATGGGCTTGTAGGGGATGTGCTTTAAATTCAGAGCGATTCGGAGACGGCTTGAGCAGGTTGATCGCCAATTCGTATGGAGTGTATATGGCATGACTTCTGGATCCACTAAGATTTCCTGGACGAGGCGTATTGGAAAAGTCCGCCGACAGCTGAAATGGTTCGCCTTCGTTGATTCTTATACCAAGGGTATGAAAGTTGAGCAGACGTATCACCTGTGTAGCTCGTACTTGGGACTCTGGCTAAAACTCATGACATCAACCCGCGACTTGTGCCTCGGTAGAACGCTTTACCAAAGACATGTTCAGTGGAAATGTCATGCCGTAAAAGCAGTGAGGGTAATCGACTCGATCTTGTCGTGGCCAAGGGCTTGGAGCCCCCGTCACATCCTAGAATTATTTCTGAACTCCGTGTAGCTGGGTGGAGCAATGTCAACATCATCTTTTCTCCTCGCCTTATTCGAGTGTAGTCGAAACTTCGCCTCCCCAATTCTTCTCGGCAGCGGATCTTTCCCAGGTGTCACATCCTCCCTCATTTCCGTATCAATTTCTGCATTCTTGATAAGTCTGGCCAAAGTAGAGAAATCTGCTACGAAGGATGCTCCGGTATCGAAGATTGCCCAAAATCCGCAGATGGCGTTCAGAATCGACAGCCCTATAGCGAGTCCATACGGAATCCAGAGTTTTGAGGGTTCATAGACGTATATGTTACCGTATTGTGCAAATGTGACATTTACTGGACCTGGGGCGAAGGGGTTTGACGAGTTGTATCTGAGAGCTGTGAGTTCTGGGGCCTAGTAAGAAGCTGGGAGACGGTGCTTACTGCAGAGTATCAGAACTCATGATCGAGACTGTGATGTTGAAGAATAGCTCTTCAAGCGCTTCCTTCAAAGGTTGGCGAGCCCGACTTTGGGTTCCAGGAAGCGGCAATAAGCCGTCTGCAATGTCATAAACTCGTCCAGAAGTCTTATTGGTAAGATCATGCGCATTCAAAACGCCTTTGTGAAGCCTGTTCATTTCAATGGTGTCCATTAGTTTGGTCGAGAATACCTGCGTTCTGTATGTGTCGTTCTGAAACCTAGCGCGGCCAAGCATGCCGTATGGCTCATTGCTGGCACCGAGTACGACATTGAGGGTAGCTTGCCACAAAGCTGTGTATGATAGACTCCGCTGCGAGTTCCGGGCGATTTCATCTGGCGTCGAGCCAATGGGCTCGTCGTCGATGGTCGTCCCTGTTATTGCTAGAGTTCCACTGTTGCTGATGTTGAATGCGAGATTGTTGAAGACCTGCTCAATGGTGGGTCGCTCGGGGACCGAAAATATCGATATGTGCTGCTCTTGATTGATATACGTGAAGTTGAGTGTGTAATGTGCGTTCAATAGCTCACACCTCAGAAGCGTGGCATTCAGAAGGTAACAATCCATCATCAAATTGGCAGCTTTGTTCCAATCTTCCCAGATGATAGGCTGGTCGGTAATATTCTGCGTGAGCAGGGTCTCGCTCCAATTTCCCGTCGGGATGATGTTGGCGTTTGGAAAAACAGCAACGGAAAGGTTCGAGCCGTGGGTATAGATATTTGACAACCGAGTCTGGTCAGACAAGTGCCATGCCTTTTCATTTTCAACGTCGTACTGGATGGGAGGGTTTGCTCAGTTGTGAAATTCAATCTATAGTCATCCATCCAGGAAAGATAGGAGAACATGCCCGAGTTGAGCGTTGGTCCGTAGAACTTGGGTGAAGGCACTGCTGCTGAACGGGAGCATCAAAGATGTTCCGTCGAACTTGGCGATACAGATCACCCTCAATGTCATAGCAAGACAATTCTTGGGGCTTCAAAACTCAACTGCCACGAGGCATTCGAGGAAGGAGGCCGAATCGGCAAGATCGATCCTCCTGATGCAACCGCGTTGACGATCCGAGCGGTCTCTTCACTAGGCCCACTCATTACGACTGGTATAGTGGTCTCCCAGACCCCAGCACTGAGCTCGAAATTGGACATAGCTACGCTCTCAAATGGTGGCTGCGGCACTCGCATCGAATAGACTGGCAAAGGCTGTATGAGATCGAAAACGACTGAAAGCGCAGCGGGAGAGAACACAGACGCTAATGGCAGAAGCCTGAGATTAATGTCAGCCGCAGATCGCAGGCCGGTGAGCCACGCCATACCAAGTCGTTAGAGCGACGAGAGTCATCGCCGGATATTTGTAGACCGCTGCTATGCTGAACAACGATCGAATATCTCCTAAGGCGGCGAACCACTGGTCCAGTGTCTTCAATCGGAAGTTCCGTGTCTGAATCGCTCGGAAGAACAATTGGATATACGCAATCGACGCACATAAAATCGGACTTGCTTTCACCGCAAAGGCGAGTAAAACTCGAGCGATGAAAGTAGAAGAAGCGGTGTTTGCCAGTGGATGTGTCGATGGTTCGTCGGTGCCATAGCAAGGAGATGAGCATATCTGTGAGGAGGACTAGAGCTGCATCGTCCTCGTTATCAAGAAGAGCAGCAACATACTGTGCCGCAGCGCCAAAGGTGGATGGGCGCTTAGAGAGGTTTCATGCTGGAGATCTCCTGCAGATTCTGCACATTGCTAGCCTGGGTAGCAGAAACTGCAGCGACCGCACGCATCTTGTTGTCATTACCTTAGTGAGCCTACGTCGTGTAGCTTGGAATTCTGGCTTCGAAGGCTAGAAGGCGAATCGGTCATCGACGGAGTCGTGATCCAGCAGGAAGGAGTTGCACATGCCATCGGCTACGCGCCTTGGCGCCAAGAAATGCCTCAAGTCTTATGCTCAGCCCGTGTCCGCCGTGGGGTGCATTGATGACTGACACACAGCGAAACGGGACGTGGAAGTAAAAAGCACGTGAAAGGGAAGAAACTACATTAGCTTGGGAACGGGGGTGAAAAGACAAGGTTCATTCTATGCTGCCAAAATGCAAGAAAACAAAAACTCCAAACGCCTTGTACACGACTTACTAGCAGACTCGTGAGGGTCGCTCATGCGTGAATATGCAAATCCAAAACTCCAGCGCTATGCAATGGTAATTCAATCAGTCTAGCCAATTCGTGCATCATCCAACTCATGTATCATTTCTTTCGTTCTTCCAGCCTAACCAGAGGACCAGAAGCGGAGGCTGACGAGCCTCAGTGTGATGGTCTCGCTTCGTAGTGGAGGAGTGCATGAAGCCTAGGCGGCGTGTCTCAGCACTGCGTTCTGAACATGACGACGGACGTGAGCGTGTCGCATGTCTGAACGCTTGCGGTACTGTTGGACTTCTGGGCAAGTAGTACCAGCGGCGAGTGCACGCCAGACTGTCTTGCCGTTGACTGCTTGACCGTATTCGCCAGCGTGGGCAGCCTTGCAGAGGATGCCAGAAGAGCTAGAGCTTGATCCGGTACCGATTGGTACAGCAGCTGAAGAGCTCGTCGTGACAGGTCCGTAAACACCTTCGCCGGCAGCAGGAGTCGTCTGTGGAAAAGCTGAAGATTCTGGTGCCTGCATGGAAGGTGATGCTGCTGAAGATTCTGGTGCCTGCATGGACGGTGATGCTGCTGAAGATTCTGGTGCCTGCATGGACGGTGATGCTGCTGAAGAATATGCTGGTGCGCCAACGGATGATGACGGAGCAGAATTGTACGCTGGTGCAGAGCCAGATGTAGCACTAGTGCCGCCGTAGCCGGCTGCGGATGTTGGCTGAACAGAGCTAGGTGCTGGTGCACTAGCAGACCCAGATGTACCTCCGTAGCCCGGTGCTCCGCCCGAAACGCTCTTGGTTTGAGCAGCTGCTGAAGCTTGGCAGCTAGGCCCAGTTGCAGCCTTGAGGGTGTTTTGCAGCGCAGTCATGTACTTTCCAGGATGCGGGATCTCCAGATCAGTGCCCTCAACGGACGAGCACTCTTCTGGTGGAAGGTTGATGAAGTAGGCGTTAGGAAGGGTGTTGTAAGTCTCATTGTTTCCGGAAGAATTTTCAAAAGAATGGGGCAACAATTTTGGTAGATTTCTCGGTTCCCAACCTTATTGTACCAAGTCCAGCTGAGTGTGCTAGGGCCATTGGGAATCTCCTTGGGAATGGAGAAGGTGAAGTTGCTCGCGCCGTCATTGCCATCGGCAGCCGTCGGGCATCCACCTTCATAGGTTTGGATGATCTTCCAAACGGAGTTCTCGTCAGGGTATTGATCGAGGCTGATACTGAGTAGGCAAGTACCACCGCCGTGGGATGCAGAGCCCTCGAAGATGAGCTTCTGCGTATCTCCGACTTTCATGTGATTCATGGAAACAGAGGCGTCGTCGTATTTCGGCCCGGCCTTGCCAACTTTGCAAGGAAAGTCTGAAGTAGCGCTGCCGGGCTTCACGCCGACTAGCGGTGAGTTGTTGATGGTCTTGGCGTTGAAAGGCTTGGGTTGGACCATGATCATATGTGCCGTGGAGGTGCCGCAAAGGGCGAGCGCCGCGAGGGCGAGTGTTGATGTCTTGGAGAACATGCTGGTTGATGCTATCGATGTCTTCGGAAGGATCTGTCGCGAGGGGATGTTGGCTGATGTTCTAGGCCAGCTAGAGTGAATAGTGTTTGCTGAAGAGCGGTGCGTAGCTGTAGAAGCTTGTATGCTGGTGAAAGCGTGGGAGACCTGTATCTGTCAAAGAAGCGGTTTGCTCGAGGAAGCTAGGCTGATGTAGTTTTGACTTTTGAGAAAGGTAGGGAAGAAGGAGAGCAAAGGAAGCGGAAGGCAAATGTTTTATGGTGTGAGGCTCCAAGTGTCGAGGGTCGTCCATTCACGAGCCATTGAAAGTGACACAATCGGCTTGGAACAGCGGGTCCGCTTCCTTTGTTCCGTAACAATAAAGCATTGTGGAGAGAGCTCAAAGGCACGTCAAAGGGCTGCAGCCTAGGTCGCATTCACTTGAATGACTCCCCGCTGGCAGCAGGAGTACGTGTTGATCGCGTTTTCGGGTGCACAAAAGCGCTGGATGGACCAAGGCATTTCGTTGGTCTGGTTTCACGAAGACCAAGCAATACCAAGCTTTCTGCTCGTGAACGGAGCTGCAAGGCACACGGAGTAGCAAGCCGTCTGCAGGCCGATGGATGTTGTTTGAGCCGACCGAGACATGGTCGTTATTAGTATTGTGCAGAAGGATGCGGAGGCCGAAAGGCCCCGAAGAGAGAGAGACTAGTCCAAGACAAGGAAAAGAGTCCCGAACAGTCAAGTCTTCACGGCGTGCAGGTGCGGTGAAGAAGGCCGAATAATGTGAAACAGCAGTGCGACTTTTTACGCGCTGAGCTCCACCAGATCGGTAGACAGGCAAGGCCATAGAGAGCGCGCTTCTAGGGCGGCGATCACGCGTCTCGGCGAGAGGCCCCAAAGCCTCGTGTGGAGTGTCTTGATATTGTGACGCGTGCCCGATGTGATGTGTGCATTGTTGTAGCGTGTGTGAGATGAGATGTGTGTTGTGATGCTGTCGTAGACGCGTGCGGCGTGAGGTTGACGGTCAGGTCAGGTCTTGGTTTGAGGCTGCAAGGGACGGAGCTCCATATATACCAGATTGTCAATGGAGGTTTGGCTTTACTTCAGTCTATTGTCGCTTCCTATTGTTGCGCCTTCCTTACTATATCGCAAACTTCACTTAGACTCGCTATAACTTCGCGCCTAGACTCGCTATATTGTTCTTCCTATACCCTTATCGATAGCGACTACGACTGCGATAGCGACAGCGATAGCGACAGCGACAGCAGCGTTACTACTACTACTACCGTTTCGAGCTATAACTAGTATTTCGCGCGACCTTATTCTTATAGCTGCTATAGGTGCTTTAGCACCCGATTTAGCACCTATATTACTAGTAGGAGGACTATATTTATCGTAAGCTAAGAGGCGTATCGCTATAGACTCGCTACTAACTCGCTCTAGCCTTCGACGTCCTACGACTATAAACACGAAAGATTTCTAGTACTATAGCGAGCAGATATAGCAAGACCTCCTCGACGACACCGCAAATCTATAAAAGAAGAAGGTAGCATTAAACAGACTGCGTAAATACTCGGCTGCGGGTATTATTATAGAGACTAAGCAAGGAAAGCTAGCACTATCGCTATATTACTTCTATACTCGCTACGATAACGGCTATAAGTGTCGCGTACTAGATATCGAAGGAGAGAGAGTCTACGCTTATTACAAGTATTAGGGCAAGAGTAGCTATACTGCTAGCGAGATTAAGGTTAAAGAAGAGGATAGAAATAGCGAGCTAGCCGCGATATAGGCGCGAGTCGAGGCTATAGAGGCAAAGAATACTATATTAGAGGCAAAGAATACTATATTAGAGGCAAAGATTAAGGTATTAGAAGCTAAGTTCGATAAGTTAGAAGGATATTGCCTTTCGTAGTTCAAATAGCTTAAGAATAAGGCTATTATTAAGTCTAAGGATATATATACGATATAGAAGGAGCTATAGCCAAATAGCGATCGCGAGCTACTAGTAGATAATATTTGAGGAGCGAGTCTATAGCGAGTTCTATAGCGAGTCTACTACGAGTCTACATTTCTATTTCCTTTCTTCTTCGATCGTGTCTCTATAGATAATAGATCAACTAGCTTCTAAGCACGCTTTAGCTTCTAACTCTTCTATCCGCTCTAACTATCTTGCTAACTATCTTACTAGCTATCTTACTAACTATGTTGCTAGCTATGTTGCTAGCTATCTTGCTAGCTATCTTGCTAGCTATCTTACTAGCTATCTTGCTAGTCCTTAGCTTCGCTCGACTCTTTTAGAATAGGCGTAACTCGCGGTAGCCTCGCGGTGTCCTCGCCGCTTAGGTTAATAAACTTAGGCGGCTTTTTTGTATCGATTACCTTCTCCTTCTATAGCTTCTCTTACTTAATCTCTATAGATGGAACAACCCCGTCCTAACTCGCTATAGCACTCGCGCTACTACTCGCAGTAGGAGTACTTAGCCGGTGCTTCCGCTTTAGTTGCCTTTATTGCTGCGGCTTCCGCTATTGTTAGATACAGATTTTAAGGTAATAGATTAGTAGCTGCTTTATTGCTTTCCCTCCTATTTGCGGTTTAAAGAGCATAAGAGCCTCTTTAACTAGTCCTAGGCCGAGTGCTTTAGAAGCGACTTTCTCTAGTAACAAGCGCTTATTATCGAAATTAGTATAGAAGAAGTAGTCCGTATAGTCGTCGACCTAATAGACGCTACCTTACGGTAGGTCCTTAGCGTCAATCCGACTAAGAACCTAGTCTATAAGTAACATGTTAGCTTCTTCGAAGTCTTTGTTAGACTAGATATTAGTAATAGAAGTCTATAGGACTGGCGGATTATATTCCTATAGGTCGACTCTACCCCTACGAGAAACCTCTACTCGCTAGCTGAAAACTGAATAGCGGCAGGTAAATAATACCTTTGTTAGCTCCTTTAATAGTTGTATAGGTGTTAGTAGACGTTGCGAGAGGCTCCGAGATCCAGCATTTGGTCGAGAAGTTAGCTTATACTGCTAAATAGCAGCATTGCGTATAGTATTCGCCGCCTTAGGTAGAGAAGGGAACGTATTAAAGCCTCGTACCGTACTCGCAGTTGAACTCGTAGTAGTAGCAGCGGCAGCAGCTGCGGCTGCTACTAACGGCTCGCGTATAAATCGCTCGGTTAGTGGATTAGGGTTCTTAAGACTACATTGGTTATAGAATGCGTATACTTTTAATAGTGTTGCATAGTTAGCGCCGGTAACAGTATAAAAGGTACCCTAGACAGGCATTATTAGCAGTAGAACTAAGGTAGAACTATAGCAGTAGTATAGAGGTAGAACAAGATAGGAATTGAAAGATTAAGAAGGAAATAGAACTAAAATAAGCGACTCGCGGCCGGCTCGCGGCCGGCTCGCAAATCCCTTATTTCAGATTAGTATATATTATTTGCAAACTCAATTAATCTAGCCCCGGTATTCGCCCTACCTAACGTCCAATTACGAGCTGCTAATGGCTTGTCCAACTCTATTAGTTTAGGCCCTAACCCTATAGCTATATACTCGGCAATTAGCTGTCGAAGAAGTAAGTATACCTAGCGGTGAACTCGCTCTCTATCGCTATTATTCTCGCTACTACTAACTAGATACGAGAAGCCGCGAGTCTATAATGCTATCTAACACTAAGTAAGCGTAGCCTCGGGCAGGTAGGCTTTAAGATCTAGGAATTAGCGAGTCTATTAGCGAGTCTATAGCGAGTCTATAGCGAGTACTATAGAATCTAATATATACCGAATCCTTAAAGGTCTTGCTCTATATTATTAAGTACGCTATTAGGCACAGGAATACCTTAATGAGAATGCCCGCTTAGCTCTAGATAATAGTGTAGAATATACGGAATACCTAGTACGACGTATAGTCGATTAGCCTGCTTCCTAATCCGATAGCTGTTCTAGAGGTAAACAAATTCGAGGACTTTATAGCGTATAATTGGTATATAGACTATAAGGAAGGCAATCCGATCGGCTAGCAATTCAGCATCGTATAGTAACTCGCGTAGCAACTCGTAAAAATAGCCCCTCTAGCTATTCAATGCGGGTGCTTGCTAGCGCTACTATGCCTCGATCCGCTAGTTTATCTTGCTCGTACCGTATTTGAAGCAGTCTTCGAAAGCTAGTAGTTCTAGTTCTAGTTCCGGATCCGGGTTACTACGAGTCGCAAGGCGAGTCGCAAGGCGAGTCGTATAGTAAGCGTCCGCGGCTAGAATCGTTTCCGCCCTACGGTCTAATCGGATAATCTGTAGCATTACACTACTATTCTTAATCGTTACAATATATTAAGCGAGTACGGATACAGCTATACGGCTAGTAATCCCTACGTAGACCTAGATAATATAACGCGAGTAGACATTAATAGCTGCGTAGATCTGTATCCCCTAATGCTCGAATTTATAGTAAGCATCTATTAATATTGCGTAGCTAGGGCCTAGTATAACAATCGCTCTATAGTACTCTCGCGCCCGCTCGCGGCGGACTCGCAACCCTTTAGGATTTAGTAAGTAAGCTATACGATATAGCCGATCTCTGCTAATAATGTTATATTTAGACCTAATATAGGTGTATAGGTGCCGTCGGCCGAAGGACTCTACCGTAGACTTCTTAAGCTCTTCCTATAAGACCTCTACTATCTCCTCTTCTGCTTCTATCTATCTATCTCGCGATAATGCCTTCTTTAATTTAAGCTCTTAACGTATCCGTTGATATCTCCGCTAGCTAATATCAAATCCATCTATCTTTAGTACTTCAACCGCTTCTTTATTAGTTAAGCGTAAAGCGGAGAAGGTATATACGACTCGGATCTTTAGTACCTCGACATTATTGACTCGGTTATAGTAAGCGTAATAGCTATAATTAACCCCCTATTCCTTAAGCCTCCGATAAAGCGTAGAAAGAGCTATCTAGTAACTAGTCTCTTATATAAGGTGCTATAGGATTTCGCCTTATATAGTACCGCTATTGACTTGTGAGGTTATCTAAGCCCTCTATAGCGAGAGATCGATACGTAGAGGCATTTTGCGAGTCAATAGCGAGTATAGTGCGAGGGCAAATATAGAAAGTTGGTCGTAGAGGTGGGCTAGTGGAGGAGGCGGTGAGAACCTCCATTGACAATCTGGTATGTATGGGCCTCCCTACAAGGCAGAAACTTTTCGGCCATTCCCGTCGCTACTGAGCTTGAGCCTCTGTCACTCCACGAAAGGCGAACGCGTCGTCTCGAGCGCTTCGACTGCGACTGCGACTGCGACTGCGACTGCGACTGCGAAATCGCTCCCCTTGCATGTTGCGCAACGCATAGTCCTCATGATAACACCTCAACCACCGTCGCACTTGCTCCGCGATTCTGACGATGCCGGGATCGCCATAGTGATCCGTCCACTCCTTCTCGACCCTTTGCCATCACGCGAATAACCAGCGACGTCTACAAGCACGGCCAGACACGATATTTCAGCATGTCGGCTGTCAATGCCACTCGTCTGAACGCTCCGCAGGCGTTTGTCTCGAGCTATGCGCCGCGCATTCGCACATATGGCAACTCGCTCCTGACGCCCGTTGTACCGCAGACAATCCTCCCCCCAGTGCGCACCACAAAACGAGGAACGACAGCAATCAACTATGCCGAAGAGTTCGACGACGATAGTATCGATGATTCCGATGCTCCTTCCCGACGAGCGACCGGCCTGCGCACAGCTCAGCAGCGTAATCTGCCCGATCCTATGGTTGAGAAGGCGAAGGAGCTGGGGAAAGAGGTCTACGCGCCTGTAGACGTGCAAGGAATATGGCGAGACTGGATGGGCAAGCCGAAGCGGACACTCACAGAGCGCCAAATGCATGTCCAGTCCGCGCTGCCCACCAATTTGATCCCCATCAAGATCGATCTGGATGTGGCACCATTCCGACCAGAAGCTGCCCTCCCAACGCCGAGTAATGCTAAGGATTTTGGAATTGATGAGAATCTGCCTGCGTACAAAGCGCCAGAGCCGACGCCGCCATATCGATTGAAGGACATCTTCCTCTGGAATCTTCATGAAGCACTGATTACACCCGATATGTTCGCCAAGACCTTTGTTGACGAGCTCGACTTTCCTGTCATGCGAAAGCAGGCCATGATCAACGAGATCGCGCAGTCAATTCGAATGCAACTGGAGGAGCATTCGTCGGTAGCACTACATCCACTTTTCCAGCCAGAGACAGCCAATCCGCCAGCACCAACATCAAACGCGCCCACGCCATCGATGCGACCAGCAGTGTCTCGCGAAGACTCTTCCACTCCCATGCACATGGACACACCAAGCAACCGCTTCCTGGAGCTTGCGCGCACCAATGGTGACCACGTCTCTTCCGAAGCCCCTACGCCAGCAGCCAATGGGACGAGCACGCCTGCGATAGGTGCAACAGCGCATCCGCTTCCTAAAGACCCGTTGACATCGTCCGCGCTCAATCCAGCCGACTCGCACAGATGCGTGATCACGCTGTCTATAAATCTGCAAAATAGACTGTATACTGACAAATTCGAGTGGTCTCTGCTTCATCCTCCTGGATTTCCGGAAATCTTTGCAAAGCAGACTTGCGCAGATATTGGCCTTCCAGGCGAATGGGTACCCATGATGGCGCATGCGATCTATGAGGCAAGCTTACGACTGAAGAAAGACATGATCGACAACAATGGTACACTTGCTGGAGTTGTTGGCAGCGGCGTTGATGGCTGGGGTGTTGTTGAGAATGAAGCCTGCGAGTACCACGGTACAGCAGAGTCCGCTCTTGGCGTCGGTGCAGGCTGGCGATTCGACGAAGACGGGCTGGGTGCAGACTGGGAGCCAAAGATTGAAGTGCTAAGTAAGGAAGAGATCGAGAAGCGGGAGGGTGACCGAGAGAGGCAGATCCGGCGACAACGACGAGAGACCGCACGATTCACAACGACCTACAACCTGCCAACGCAGCAAAGCAGCACATATGGCGACTACTTCTCAGGTGGTCTCGGCGTATCGCAGGCCAATGGCGGCGGCGAAGACGAGCGAATGGGTCGCGGTGAGCGGTCCAAGAAGAAGCGCCGGTTCCGAAGCTTGTCGCCAGTTGGCCGCGAGACCCCAGAAGCAGCTGGTTTTGGCGGCACTTCTTACAATTTGTCGGAAGGCGAGCGGCAGTACTGGACCTGCTCTCACTGCAATGTCTGGGGTGCAGCAATCTGGGGTGTTCGCGATGGACCTGCTGGTCCGCGGACACTATGCAACAACTGCGGCCTGCTATACGAGCGTGACAAGCGATTACCGCCATGGAACTATCGTCTCTTTGCTCACGAGAAGAATCAAGGATCACGGGAGGCACATATACCCCAATACGCCCAAGCTCCCCCGCGTCAACCGTCACATCTGCAATCGGACATCGCCTCCTTCCCAATGTCGACACCGGTCCAGCCCACACCGATCCGACCGCAACAGAGCGACCTCAATCCTTCTTCGCATCTGTATACTGGAGCGTCTTCCGGTGGCCAAGGGCAAATTTCTGCCACAACCATGGCAGATATTATCAACTATGCGGAACCTGGCGAGGACCTTGACTGGACTAAGATCACGGAGCCACGTGAGCGGAAACGTCTGCAAAACATCATCAATGGACGCAAGTACCGCGAGCGCAGGTTAGCAGCAGAGGGCCATTCGGGCAGTGGTGGCAACTATCCTGGCGCTGCTGGGGTAGGCTCATCTTTGTCGACAGGCTATGGGCACAAGCAGTCTATGGGCCAAGGTGGAGGAACTCCAGGCCCTGGCCAGTGAAGCCATGCCTTTGCGGATGTCCTTACTGGCCTGCAGAGCAACCATTATGAGCTGTCAGGTCAATGAGCATATTCATTTCTTGTACAATCTGGGACTTTAGCGCGGCGCTTCGGCATAGGGTAGAGATCAGGGCTTAGAAGCCGTGAGCATTATCTGGAAGCATCATGTTCGATCAGCGATATCAGTAGCTCGTGGCAAACGACGTTTATGGAGGCATTGATTCGTTCGTGCTTGTTCCTCCATCCACTTACCCCAAAGGAGGATGTGCTAATGTGTGGGTAGTTCCTCAAAAGCAACTGCAGGCCGTCATAAGACTTGCAATCTCTGTTCGAGGCTCCTCTGCAGACGTGGATAAATCAATGAGGACTTCACAGTATTCTCGAAAGAATCGTCTTCCCTTTCGGACCTGTACAAGCATAGCATGACATACCGGCTGGAGAATGGTCTTGACAATGCGACTTCGAGATGTCTACGGGCTCCCCTGACTGCACGATTCTCCGGCTGTTTTCCAACCCCATTGTGAAGACAGCAAGAATACGGGACTCCCGAATTAGCCGGGTACAGACTTTCATGCGATAAGGGATCCAAGCCTCAGAGTTCGATAGTAAGTACATGGATTGGGAGGAGGGGCGTGAACACGGCGGTGTTATACCGCATAGTGGGATTTTTGATCCGGATTACGTGGGTGGGCCGCCGAGGGAGAGTGTTGAGTTTGGGATTTTGGCCGGGAGGGAGGATTAGCATCGTGAGTGAGACCGGAGTCATGGTTGTTGAGTGAGGGAATGGGTTGTGCTATGAATCTTGTGTTTCGTGGTATTTGTGAATAGAGCTATCCTCCCATTCGAACAAACCGCTCAGTGCTTCGCTCGCATCAACGTTCATAATCATCTCGCATCAACAGTAGACCTTTCATAGAAGAACTCCCGCAATTGGATTGCCACCTTACTCCTCAGCCGTGTCGAGCTTTTCTTTCTTCACCGATTGACCCTCACAAGCAGGAGCGTCATCCTCAGCTTTTCTCTTCGCCCCGGCTACGGCGTCGGTAGCTTGATTCTTGGGTCGCAACCCGACGTTGCCAATGACGTTCCTGTCACCTACGACACTGACTCCACAGTTTATCGTTAGATCTACTTTCAGAGGTCTTCTCATCTTCGAGCTTTGAGCTGCTTCGGAGTTCGCATGGGTGTTTGCTGCATTGATTTGATTCACAGCATGGAGAAGGAGGGTTGAGAATTTGGTAGCGTCTTGTAGGACAGATGGTGAGGTGGGGATCAGGTTGTTGGAGCCTTTGATGCTGGTCGTGGCATTTACTGTGAGCTTCACGGGTAGCTCTTCTTCGCTGTCAGAATCCATGTCGTCGTCTTCCTCGGAGTAGGGTGGTGGAGGAGCTTCTGGGGTTGGATTTGGTTGTTGTTGACGGGCGCGTTCGGCCAGAATCTTTTGCGTGAGATGCGTGATTGATGAGGAGTCCATTGCGATATCGTGTCTCTTTGGTGTCGCGACACGTGAGTCCTGATGAGTGTGGATGAGTGTGCCGGGGACGTTGATGGATGGTTCGAGGCGGTGGCTTGATCTGGAAGTCGCGACTTGGCTGTTTGCTGACTCGCGAAGTAGGAACAGCAACGCGTCTTCTAGGTGTGGTAGATGGGTGACGGCGAATTTGGCGAGTTGTTCGAGAAGCAGAAAGATGATTTTGCTTATGTGTGAGGCTGGGAGTGAATGGAGTTCTCGAGAGAGCGTTATTGATGGAGGAGGGTGGAGTGGGAAAATGATCGAAAGCTGAGAGAAGGCATACTTATGTGAGAGTCAGCAGATGCTGCATGGCGTGCGAGAGGCCTAGCTATTGTGGCCTCCTCTCGAGCAAGGTTACACATCGACAATAGGAAGCAGCGGCTATTGTAGATGAGCCTTGAGCCTAGCCATCCACATTTGCGGGCAGCCGCACGACGCCGCCGCGCCCTTCGGCATTTTGACTGAGACCAGGCATCGTGAAACTCGCAGAGGGTCATCTGCGCCCTCTCTTCCAATCGTCAGGCGTGTTTGGAGGCCATCGGGTGGCCGCCGTACCACATGCATGGACAGCGAGGTTGCGAGGTGGAGTTGGTATTGTTCTTTTTCGGGCTTCAATAGGGAATAGAGTTGCAGCGACTCGGCAGCTCCCGGCCTCTTTGCCAAGACTTCAAGACTTTCGAGTGGCCGGAGGACACATGCTCGCCGTGAGCATGGAAGATGTGCATGTCAAAGCTGTCCAGCCTTTCGCCACATTCAGCAGCTTGTTATGTAATGTGACGGTTGGCAAATTGGTAGGTGATGGCAAAGTGAAGTTGAAGCACATCTGTCACAAGCAATGCCGAGATTCCTCCGAGGTGAAGCTGGAAAGTGGAGACTTGAGCGCGCGCTTTCAAAGACCATCGAATCTCAACTCGACCTCGTCAACCTCGCCGGCCACAGACATACCATTCCAAGCACTTGCACTCGACTCCACCTCCTGCCACTCCCTCGATCTGAGCGACGCCATTCGACTTCCTTCCGCCCACGCACCCGCCATAGCTGAAAGCATAGCGAATTTCGGCGCAAACTTCTTCTGAAAGCGGCGATATGGATGCTTACGACTATGGCGGCATAGACCCCGAAGACACAGGGCCAAAGGTCACCATCAGAGATGTGAGTAGAGGATGTGCGCGACATGTCGAGAGTGGAAACTAATGAGCCAGACAAATGCGACGACCATCAAATTTCGCCTGTCCAACACATCGCTCGCTTTCGCTAACTCGCTACGGCGCGTGATGCTCGCAGAAGTGCCCACAATCGCCATCGATCTCGTCGAAATCGAGAACAACACGTCGGTACTCGCAGACGAATTCCTCGCACATCGACTCGGCCTGATCCCGCTCAGCACGAAAGGTGTTGACGAAATGATCGATTTCCGTGACTGCACCTGTGACGAGTACTGCGACAACTGCAGTGTGGTTCTGAGACTCAATGCCGTCAATCGAAGTAGCGACCAGAACCTCAAGGTCTTTGCGCGCGACCTGTTCGTGGAGTCGGCAGCACCGGGAGGATACAACCGCACAAACGGCGTTAATGGCAATTCCGTCGACGAACTTCCGCCACGGGGACATCCCATCATCATGGACCCTGCAGGCCATGGGCCTCTGATCTGCCAGCTGCGAAGAGGTCAGGAGCTGCGCATAAAGTGTGTGGCGAAGAAGGGCATCGCCAAGGAGCATGCGAAGTGGGCCCCAACAGCTGCGATAGCATTCGAGTATGACCCGTGGAATAAGCTACGACACACGACGCTGTGGTACGAGACAGACCCAAAAGCCGAGTGGCCAGAACCTGCGAAGAACGGAGAATGGGAAGAGCCGCCTCAAGAAGGAGAGCCTTTCAACTACGACGCCGAGCCGAACCAGTTCTACATCGACCTTGAGGGTACAGGAGTCATGCCACCAGATCAGATCCTGCATTCCGGCATTAGAGTGCTGCAGAACAAGTTCGCATCTATCATCAAAGAGCTCGATGCAGGAGCAGACGACGGACAGCAAAATGGATTTGGCGGTTTCAGTCCGGGGCAAGACATGGCGAATGGAGGCCAAACGCAATACGGTGGGCAGAGTGCGTATGGCGCAGGTACTGCTTATGGCGGTGGTTACGGAGATGGTGGCCAAACACCAGGATATGGTGCTACCAGCGTGTATGGGCAACATACGCCCTACGGACAACGTCCATACTAGGCGGCGTTTGCTGCGGAATGAGTGGAAGAGGAACGAGCTGTACCATTATTTGAGACTTCAGCGATGGCGTTGGTACGGTAAGCATGTGAGCTGGGAAGCTCAATCAACAAAACCAGGTGAGAGATATGAATGAGAAGATGCATTGAAGCGGTGCTGCGAAGCCCGTCTGACGCAGATTCGATCAAGTCACCATTTCTTCGTCGTTACCGTTCTGGTGAGCCTTACTTCCTTTACTCTGGCTGTGATCGAAACATGAAGGCTCGTTCACACAGGTTTCGCCATTGACAAGTTGATGACTTGACCATCATCAACTGACAGCAGATCTTGTATGCGTCTCGATCGGGTCCGACTCCGTTCGCCATCATTTCAGCCTCACACCAGCAGCATGTCTCACTATGCTGATATTCCTCGCAGTTTCCAGTTTCTGCAGCTGCTGTGCAGAGACATGTAGAGCTGTTCAAAACGAGGCGAGGAGGACGCGTGCAACGAATTCGAATGAGCATGTACCGCCACAAGCACAACCACCACAGACGGCAGATCAATCTGCAGAGAGGATTCACCGAGATCCGTGTATCTATCGTGGTTGATCGGGAATTCCCAGTAGGTGTGGAGAAGGGATAGAGAAGGGACAACGGAGCGCGCTGAAGGGTGAAGTGATTGGGTCAGATGGTCGTCTTTTTTTGAACATTGGCGACTTTCTAATGGGGGAAGGAGGCTAATCGAGATTAAATGGTTCAGCTCCTATTCCGCAAAGATCGAAGTCGCTAGTACAATTCCGAACCCTCTCAACATTGCTCCTGTCCGTCTGCACGCCTTGGGACCAGGGCGACTGTCGTGATGATGAAAGGAAAGAAATGTGTCGATCAAGAAGCCGGAGAATTTCTGCTCGACTATTGCAAAAGTCAGGATATTTCAGCACCCGAACAGAACATTGTCCGGTTAAGCATGAGATTCGTGGTCATGCGGTTGATGACGTGGAAGGTGTTGAGCTTGTAGTACTCTGGAAGCAGCTCGGTTCTGAGCAGACGACAGGTCTTAGTGATCGCAGGCTGGTCTCGCTTGATGATGCAGCATTCTTTTTCGCATCGCTGATTTCCGTCATCATCGTTTTTGCGCGCCTCGGTGGGCTCCTTTACTCTGAGGTCCTGGTTGATGAGAATGACGTCCGAGTAAGTAACGGCGAATTTGCCAATCTTAACCCACAGCTCGTCTGGCAAGTCGAGGAGTCGGAAAGGCTGTTGGATGTTAGCTATTCGGACATTGATTTCGATGTGCACGGTGTATGATGTACCTGAGATGGTGCCACGCTGGTCACAGCAGCGGCAGCAGGAGGTGGAAGAGGAGGAGGAGGAGGAGGAGGAGGTGGTGGTGGTTGGGCGGTCGAGTGAAGAGCTGCTCCAGGGAACAGCGAGTGCGCGCACTGCAGTAGGTGCCCGCTGCTGACCATGTCGGCAATGTATGTGTTGTTTAGGGTGCTCATATTGAAAGAGGGCATTCGAAAGGAGAGCGGTGAGGTCGATAGTCTGTCGAGGATCCTGGATGGATATTTGTCAGTGTAAATGGTGGTTGCGCTTGCATGAACGATGTCGTTTGGTGGTGGCGAGGAGCGCGGTTTTATGCCTACAGCTTCGGAATCGCTCGTGAAAATTGGTGAACTTAAGTTCACTCAGGATGTGTGCAAGTGCTGGTGCTTCACATGCACGACGTCCACTGTTGCGGCACGTGCGTATTGTTCGTCGAAATCTCACATGCATCTCTGCGAATGGAAAGGTCTGATCTGCGGCATCGGAAGATTTCTGGTCTCGTGAGGACATTCCCACCATAAATTGATACCTATGGATTGCCATCGAGATGAATCCTGGTCTACTATGGATGCCGTCTTACCCAACAAATGCTCTTCAAAAGTCAAACTCTCCTCGCAATCGATCCAGATCCATATCCGGTCCAACCATGGCCGAAAGGTCTCGCCTCTGCATCTGCGTAAATACCCTTCTCAATGTGTCATAAAGATTCGTGCTTTGGTTCTGCTGAAGCACCGCATCTACATCCCGCTCATCAATATCATTGCCATGCCCGTCTTTCATCAGCTCAGCGGCTTTCGCCCGACCTTCCTGCTCTAGAACTCTGTGCATCGAAAGCGCACCCAATAGGTGAGAAGCGGCTTCCTCTAGTACTCCAAGGTTAATGCAAGATACGCCGAGGTTGTAACGTGCGCGCACGAAATTAGGTCGCAGCTCGAGAGCTCGTGAGTATGCTTCGATGGCTTCCTCTGATCGGTTGCTGTTCGCGAGGGTTGCTCCAAGTCGGTTCCAGAGCAGATGTTCTTCGCCTTCTCGTTTCATTGATCCATGCTGGTGGCTGTTAAGAGCAGCTGTGAAGCAGTCCACCGCTTTGTCGTAGTCCTCACTGCCGTAGAAGAGCACACCAAGACCGACTTGTACATCAACATCAACCTCTGCACCTTCAGGATTAAGCTGAGCGGCCTCCAGAAAGTAATTTGTGACCTTCTCGTGCAGCAAGTGCCTATCAGTAAACCCAAGCTCCTCCTCCTCTCCCAGGCCTCTGGGAGTGACGCCAAGCTGAGGGTACTTCGCTGCTACCCATCGCTCGAGGGTCCTATAAGCAAGGCTGTCATAGCCTTCGTTCGTGTATGATACAGCAAGACCCATCAATGCTTCCTGATTGCTCGGGTCCAGCTTGATGGCTTGTTCTAAAGCTCTAATAGCTGGCGACTCCTTCTCGTTTTGAGCTTGCGCTTGACCCAGCGCGACCCATGCATCTACAAAGCTCTGATCTTTTTGCACTGCAGCCTCAAACGCCAAGGCCGCCAGACTGAGATTGCCACCTTCGCGCATGATCTTCATCCCTTCCTGGTATGCGTTCGGGTGCTCTTTGAAGACATTGTTCTCTTCGAACATGTACGTGCCGGACTCGGGAGCTGTGGCATAGTCACCAAACTCGCCCCTAAAAGGATCAAAGTTGTGATTCAAACCATCAAAGTCCTTCCACTGATCGTACTCGTCACCGAAGTGATTTGCAAGTTGTTCATCGGCGAGCATGTCCCTGTGAGCGTTAGCTTCCTGCCTAACGCCTTCCATTATGGACTCATAATCGCCCCAGCCTGTCTCTGACCTGCTCTTTGGTGAGCAGGTGAGCATAGAGGGGGTGTTTGTATGGCCACTTACCGGTCGACCTGGTTCAATTCTCTCTCCATAGCCTCGTTGGCTTCCCTGTCTAGCTGATCAAGATCTGCCTCCTTTTCTGCAGTAGACAACTCTTCAAACTGCTTTTCCCAGTCGGTATCGCTCAGCTCTTGCACACGTCCTTTGCCCTTGCCTTCGTACTGCTGCTGAGGCTGCTGGTTCCACATTTGCGGCTGATTGAATATCATCGGTCTCTGCATGCCAAAGGAGTTGCCATACATAGGCTGTCTGTATGCAGACTGGTAGGAGTTCGTCGGGCTTGCCGTTCGGGCCGTGGGAGTCATGTGCGATTGTCGGAATTGTTGGAAGTCTGCTGGGCTGAAAGCGGCATTTCTCTGCTGCTGAAGGAATTCTTCTGGCGCAAAATGAGGCCCTTTCTGAGCGAACTCGCTTGCCCATCCGTTGCCAGCGCCAGCGCCGCCGCCGCCGCCGCCTCCACCTACACGCTCAAGGTGCTCTGCTTCGCGTCGCATCTGCTCCATGTGGAAAGGGTCATTTGGCAGCATCTCGCCCATTCGCGGCCCTTGCTGAGCAAAATCTTGAAAGGCTGCATCTTCTGGGAGTTGTGGCGCGCTACGAAAGCCATTTAATTGCTGTGGTTGTCGCGATGCAAGGCGATCTCGCTGGAGTGATGTATCGGCGGATGTTTGCTTCTGGAACTGGGCCAGCGGGTTTGCACCGGTACTGCATTCTGGACCACCGAGAAAAGACATGACGCCTGCTATGCTATGCTATGCTGCCTTTTGGTACAATAGAGAGTGCGCTTGCTGATTACGTACGGTGGTGGTGGTGTGGGTTGTCGGAAGGCTTCAGTAGTGGGGTTGCGGTTCAGAGGAGAAGAGAGGGGATCTGGTGTCGTCGCTTTGGCAGGGAACAAGGAAGTTGCAATGACTGCAATACTACACACAGTATGCAGCGATGGTGATGAAGCAAAAATACCGGTAATGGAGAAGATGTTGCCTTTCACAACTTCGTCGGGAAAGCAGCAGGTGCATAGAGATGTTATTGTGTCAGGATGGAACGTCAGTTGCCGGCCGAGGCAAATGGCAAAATCGGCATCACAAGCCACAAGCCGACAGTACTGAAGCGAGAACATTGGCAAAAGTGATTTCCAGCAGAGGGGAGTCGTCAATATTCACAGCCTCAGCTGTCGACGCCGGCTCTATGCTATGCTATACTACACCTGTTAAATACAGCGGCCAAGTGCAGATCTGTGCGCCATGTTCACCCTATCGGTGGCCACGCGCCAACAACTTCTGCCTGCGCTCACTCTGCGCATGCTGCCTTATCCCCTCCATCGCGTGCCTGTGCATTCGTCGTACTGCCTCTGCCTCGGCGCTCTGCTTGCCACTTGAGACTCGTGCTGCATTATCCTACACACCTTGCCCTGCTCTGTGGTTGCCTCTACTCGTCTTTGGCTGGGCTGGCTGGGGTAGACGTTGAGTAGTCCACACGCAATTGCCGGCCATACACCACCTTCTGCTCGAGCAACTCTTTAGCCTTGGTTGCACTCGCCTCGTCGACGAAATCAGCGTGAGCAAAACCACGTGGCTGTCCGCTTCGGCGATCGATGGCGACTCTCACGTCGAGCACGTTGCGAATCTGTCGGAAGAGGTCTGGGGCATAGATGTCAGTTCAAAATCAAAACGTCTTCTGAGAACGTCCGTAACATACCATTTAGGTCGCGATCGCTCATCTGGTAAGACATGTTACCGATGAACAATGTCTTGCTCGGCTTGGTATTCACATTGCGCTGAGCCTTGTTTCGCTCCCGAGGGACGTGGTATTGCACAGACATGCGTCTGCCCTCGAAGACCTTCTGGTCCAACTCTCGGATAGCTCTGTCCGCGTCATCCCGATTTGCGAACTCAATAAAACCAAAACCCTTGCTCCTTCCGTTGGTGTCTGTGACAATGCGGCTGTTGGTGACTTCGCCAAATCGTCCGAATTCAGCCTCGAGTTGTGGCGCGGTGACCTCGAAGAACAGGTTGCCAATGTAGATAATCTTGCTTGGCTCGCGGGGCTTGGCACCAGATGATGGTGAAGGGAACTGGCTGGCTGCTGCAGCAACGGTACTTTGGGCGGTCTCAGCGACAGAAGACAGTGCTTCTTTGGTAGAGTCAATGGCGTGTTCGACTTCCTGTGAAGCTTCTTGTGCGGCGCTCTCTGCTGGTGCAGGGGCAGATTCTTCTTGAGCAGCGTCTGCAACATCTGGCGTCGCCACAGACTCCTCCTTTACCTCCGATGCGCTTGGTTCTGCAGTGACGGTCTCACCGCCTGTTGCTTCTGCAGGACTCTCCTGCTTTTGCTCGTCCTCAGCAAGCCATTTCCGCGACTGGTGAAATGATCGATACAATGCTGGCTTTGGGAACTGGAAGCTCGACGTGATCGGTCGAAGTGCCGACAGTTGTCGAGTTGGCTGGAATTGGACCGCGCGAACGGCGACGCGACGCAGTGCGAACATTGTGGCCTGATGAAAGAGAAGGGAGGAGATGAGTAGATGCAAAATGGCAAAAGAAGTTGAGATTGCGATGATCATCAATTGGAGGCGAGGAACTTTTGGAGCTAGTGCTAGTACTGGCCTTGGCAACACGGAGGTGCTGACTTGTCTTTCCCGCCGCCTATCACCTCACCTCACCTCAGCACATTCTGCGAGCCTTCTCGAATACGAATCTTGACAGTCTCCGTCCTGTCCTGAAATGCGGATGAGACATGTGTGATATATGCGTTCTACTTAACTCAATGGAATCACAAGGTGATAGCAAGTCCGTCACAACTAAGAACGAATGGCTGGGACTAGCATTCGAATCAATAATGAGAGCACTGATATCGATTTGGAAGATAGTCGCTGTACCAGAGATCATATTTGCGCTCTTTTATCATTGCGTCCGTTCGAAAGTCCGTCAACAGCACGCCGGGGCACAGAGCTATAGATCCGCGTGGAGACACTCTGCGTCAATTTCATGTGAGATATGGATGTCAATCGCATTGGGGCCTGCCAATCTCGAAGTGCGGTGTTCAGGTTGCATAGAATCTCTGCACGATTTCTCACTGCGTTATTAGCATTCGTACGGAACTACGGTGAGAGTGTCCAAGTCTTCGGCCAAGACGACCGTCCCCGATTCCCGAACGCTCTCTGTGGATTCTAGTGTGGCATAGCTCCCTCTCGACATATATACAGGCTTCAAGCAGGCTGCTCTGTGCTGCTCAGTGCGTAGGTTGGCATATGTTGCCCGTGCTCGATCGTCCTTCGCATCTCAATCCAAGGTCTCCCTCCTGATCAGTCCATCTTCAAGGCCTCAGGACACGAAGACCGTCTCGCGAAGGTGCTGTGGCGCGCTTGAAGCTCTGTGAAATATTGTCAGCCACTGATTCCTCGCTCTATTCGAGCTGCACATGTATCGCTGGTTCGACTGCAGTACAACAGTCTTGCAGAAGCTGAGAAGAGGAAGTTTGATGTCAACATACACTGTCGCATTCTTCCCAAGCTCTTCCTGCACCAAAGCCCAGACCTGCCCAGACTGGGAATGCTCTCCTCTTGAACAACAGAACCGAGAAGATTACGCCGAATGATGCGCCCAAGCCGGATCGGATCAGGAGTGTGCTAAGGCAGTGATCCCACTGTCACCACGTATTAGCCAACTACTCAAGCTGCATGTGCTGCTCGATGGGTTTCGGGGAGAAGGTACCTTCTCGTTCAAAAGGGCTTCGCTCATCGGTCGGTTCGGAGCTTTGGGCGCAGGTGCAGCGATGCTGCTGGAGGATGTCGAGTCGGCCATTGTAGCTGTGGGCGGTCTGACACCTTTGAGAGGATGGTGCGAAAGCGTTGTGAGGCCTGGGTAACAGAGCTCGTCCAGCGTTCAGCGCGGCATTGGCGATGGCTGCTCGCAAGTCGGTTCCGTGGCTCCGAAAAGCGGAAGCGAAAGCGAAAGCGAAAACTTGAAAGTCAGCATCGAGAAAAAGTTATGGAACAGCACCTGGCAACATTCGTGCCATTCGACTCGGAAGGCAGCTGGCAACATGGGGGCACCGACACCCACGACCTCCGACGCCACGTCTCTGGATCGTCTGAAAGCTCTTCATGGCATCGACAATCTGCCCTCGCAACTGGACGAGGCTCGGAAGCTATGCAATCACAGCTCTCGCGCGGAAATGATCCTGCGATGGCTGGTGGGAAAACTGAAAACGTCCAGCGATGCAAGACAAAAGAAGACGTCGTGGGGTCTGCTTGCATCGTGCATCCGTATGCTATCTGCACAACGATTGTCAGCCTTACTTGGATCTGGTAGCTTCATGGAGATTGTCAAGACTGCCACCACAGAGCCAAAGCTGAGCATCGACACGATATGCGCAATCACAGACTTATGGCGGCTTCTTTTCGAACGAGGTCAAGCTTCTGGTGGAGCGCCGACTCTGTCGCTCCTTAGCACAAAGAGCGTGACTGCGGCGGCAATTTGGGGAAATTGGATGGGTCATTTGAGGCAACATTGTGAAGAAGATGCGACATTTGCGAACATGATCATTGCGCGGTCACTACTGCATCTTGGAGTTCAGATCTGGAGTCTTCGAAAGCGCCAGCCCTCGGACCACGAATTGTTCAACTCACATTGTCTTCTGCCTGGATTACTGCTCCTCAGACTCTTATCGGCCGGCGTTGATGATATAGTAGCTAGTCGAAAGCGCAAGCACTGCGGGAACCACTCCGATCCGGAGAATTCTTCTATCCATGCTTTGCAAACCAATATCGCTAGGCATGCAATTCTTCCCGCGCGAGCCACATTCTTTGATAAGGACCAGAAGAAGCCACACCGCTCTCGGCGGAAGGATGTGGCCGATAACAGCGTCGATCTAGACGACACTCTAAACTCGATTGGACAGGCCTTGGTTCGAGGTCCGTCCAATAAAGCCATCGAGACCGTGCCTTTGCTTTTCGATCTGGCACTCCGAGCCGTGCCTACGCCCACACCTAGGCACAGAATACAGGAACGACCGTGGTTAGAGAACGTGTTTCTGACCTTGCGATCGCTTCTGGAAAATGGTAGCGAAGGCGATCGCCATCGTGTTACTGCAGATATGGTCAGACTCATCCGCGCTCGTGGAGTCTCACTTTCTCCGAAGTCGGTATCACAGCTGGCGAGTGAGTGCCTGGATAAGCCAGTCGTAGATGGCTCCGAGCCCGAACAGCGGTCCGCTTGGGAGCTTTTGTCGCAGCTCATTGCATTGGACTCGAGTGTCTTCGCAAATCGTCCATTGGCTGAGCGAATCTCGACCAGCGTGCCATCTGTAAGGACTTCGGTGGACACCGACTTTTACAGATCGAGCATATGTCTTCCCGTCATGAGGGCGTTTGCACAACGTCGTGACCTCAATACATTTATGGAGCTTTGGCATGAAAGACTAAAGCATCCAGCGCACTCAGATGATGCTTGGTCGCTATGGGCCGGGCTCGTTCCACCATTTGCAGACCTCCTTTGCGACTCGCGGACTGCTGACCAGATACTTGCCGACATCGATCAATATTCGCAAGGTCTGAGCACAGCTACACTGTTCGAATCGGAGGCTTTGAATGATCTGCGCGCTGATGCTATCATACTCGATGGCATACTCCGAGGACTTCGAAATGATGACTTGTTGGATCGAGCTTGGCAAAGGATGGACGTGCTCCTGCAAAAGCTCCTTGCAGTTACAAGTATCCAGGAAGGAGCCTCGCCAGGCTTCTACGTTAGTCTTTGGCAGCTCCTTGCCTCTCTCTTCGAGTCTTGGTTTCCTTCCATGGCTCATGCTATCGGGGACTCAGCGAAGATTGCAGAAGCCGGATCCGGAATTCTGAGCAGTGAGCCTTTCAAACTTGCAGTTCATCAGTGCAAGATGCTCTCCGTGTCCACAAAGCCTGCTCAACATCTCGTTGCTTGCGTTTGCGCTCGACTTGGGCACTACAGGGAACATGGCGAATTGTTCAAGGTCTGCAGGAAATCTGCTGCAGCGTTGTGCATGCAGCCAGCCTCTTCTCTGTGTGCGCTTGCCAAATATCCGGATGTGTTCATGCTGCTTGATCATGAGAGCGTCGTATCTGTGCTTGACACCGCAAGCAAGACATCGGGTGAGAGCCTCTCTTTGATGTCCTTGCTGCCTCCTGGATTGCTAGGCATGTTCGTAGACAGCAAAATTTCGTCTATGAGGACCATGACTGAGAAGAAAGCCAAGTCTAAAAGGACTAGCGATTCTGGTTTCGGCACTCAGCAAGTATTCTTGGATCTCTTGTTCAGTATACCATTGGAAACGCTTACTGCAAGGCAACGTGGCGACGTTCTGGACGCACTATCGAGGTTTCCACCAGAGACATCCGGACATATATCACGACTCGAAAAGCGATTTGCAGCCATCCTGACGCTACTCCGATATCCTTCCGAGGGCTCAGAGCTACTGACTGATCCTTCCATGGTGTGGTCTCTCGGACATTTCTTTGCAGTTTCGGACACAGCTTCCTGGGAATCCCAATCTGAACAGATCGCCGCATTCAATGCTATGTCTTTGCTGTGCAAGATCGTAGAGGCCATCATCAACCTCTGGCTGAAATCAAAGGCGCAAAATCGTGAGAAGCTTTTGGAAATATCTTCTCGCGCTCGACAAGCTCTGATGACTTGTCTCAAACATTCCCATCCCAATATCACTCTGATGCTGGCTGGATCTGTGATTGGTACTCTGGAGACCGCTGACAACACGTTCCTACAAGACTTTGCTCATCGTGATCCACAAGTGTCGCAAATACTTACTCAGATGACGCATGGCACATTAGCACAAGATGGCGCCAGACTCGTCCTCGAAGTCTTACTGAAAATCCCACACTCAATAATCGGAGACAGCCCTCTGGGTTCGTCTCCCGGTTTTGTTGCCGACATTTTAAGGAAAACCCTCGAGGATGAGACGATCTCTTCCTCAACTCTCCAATTCGCTGTTGACGCCAGAGCAGCTCAATTTTCCTGTCGATATGAAGAAGTTGATGGCATTGATCTGCTTCATGCGATTGAGAATGTTCTTAAGCGGGACCTGTCAGGTCAAGATCACTTTGCAGTACTGCAAGCGTTCGAGACCCGACTGCAGTCAGAGAGCTCATCCTTCCGATCCAGTATCATTGACGAGTTTCTGAAGGACGGACCGTCCTTCTCTGCCCAAGCTCTAGAATTACAACGATGCGCGATCACTGCGCTCTCTAAAGAAGACTTCGAACCTGCGCGAGAGCTTGCCGCAGTCGACATTCTGCATCACGTCTTGCGACAAGCATCATCCGGAGCAACGAGACATGAGCGCCAACTAAGCTTGCAAACACTCAAGCATATCCTCAAGGAGAAGCGATTCATGGTCAACCAATTCGGCGTGGAGCAGACCATCTCCACATTGCACTCAAGATCGATCGAGGATACGGCATTCGTGTCAATGTTGTGGCTTGACATCTGCCAAATCCTAGCCGTGCTCCTCACACAATTCCTCGGGCGTCTCCAAGGCCGCTACCATCTCCTCGTTACCCTTTTCCAACAACTCATTACAACACTCTTTTCCTCCGCAGACTCAACCTCCCGACAATCTACAGCCCTCTCCCGCCTACTCCAAACCTTCTGCAATCCCCCGCACATCCCAAGGAAACGTAACGCAAACAATCTTATCGACGAATCGCGAAAAGCCAAAGCCTACGCAGGACAATTCGTTCAATACACTCTACATCATTACTGTTCACAAATTCTGACGAATCCACCTTCCGATGATGCGGTCAGAGAAGCGCTGGTACCGGGCATCTGGGCTATGATTGAAGCGATCGAGACGAACAATTTTGAGAACGGGATCAAGAATTTGAGCGCGGCGATGAACAATAGTGAGAGAGCAGTGTTGAGATCTGTTTATGAGGAGTGGCAGAGGAGAGGGAAATGGGAGGGTACATAGGTGAGGTCTGGATGGATTGGCCTGTCGACCTGAGTCAGTGCTGTGCATATTGCCTACATGTACACAGCTACCGGGGTCACCTGCAGTTGCCTATCTTCCTTAGCTCCGTGTTGGCTTGCGTAGGATAAGAAGCCGGGGGACAGACTAATAATAAAAGCAAAGCTCTCTCGCTCACCGGGTTATTCGAAGTCTGTGCTCTGTTACAACCTGGTTGTCATCATCGTCAGATCACACGCATCGTAGGTCTCATCATAGATGCCATTAATACCTCATCACGAATCCGTCTGAACAACATACTTATCCATCGCTCAAACCTTTCTTTTGCTCTTTGACTCCTGCTCTCGTAGCCCACCAGAGGTATTGAGAATCGATCTGCACTCAACTGTACCACAGCAGGACTGACTGACATCGAAGGAATATGCAGCAGCAGCACTGAAACCCTCCGAACATGTGCGAATCCGTAGCGGGAACTCTCCACGCATGCGGGCATTCGAGGACAAGAACTCTAGTGGAAAGATGCTCAGCACGCACGAAGTGTCCGAGGCCTGAGAAAAAGAGATTCGACACATTATGTACCGCTTGTCGAGGTGACACAGGTGTTGAGAATAGTACGGCATGGATGGAGAGCCTCGGAGGTGGAAAGCCGGAGTGGTGGCCGAGTTCTGTGGCATATAGGAAGCAGTCATTGGTAGAGGATCGAAGGCCAAGCACGGCTGATAGCGAGGAGAGTGTTTCGAGCAATGCGTCTTGAGGGGATGATGGAAGGTATTAGCATTGTAATAACGAAGCATTAGCATTGTAATAGCGTATTGCCTGGTGGAGAAAGGGGTTTGCTCTAGTTGAAATCACAGGTTGAGATCATGAGATGGCACCTTGGCAAGGTATTTATCGCAGGCTGTCGCTCAATTGTATCGTGGGCGTGGGGAGTAATTCATAGGTGTTTCAAAATTCATCTTTGCGACGTGCCAGCTACGCAAACGTTCTTTTCTACTATGCTTTCCTTTGGAGGCTGCTCAGGCCTGAATGCACTTACTCAAGTTATTCTGCCCTCAACCGCTCATCTCCCGCTGCGGCGCCTTAGTCGGTATCTGAAGCGTGTCGTACAGTACACTGTGGTCATGCTGCTGACGTCCGGTGATGCTGAGCTTACACTTCCGGCGCGAGCATGGAGCTTCTGCAGGTCGACTTGTTTATCCCGCCCGAAAGTCCGTGTGAGACCGGCCTGACTGTTCAGCGGCCAATTCGACTGCATTTGTAGGATGGGCGCTCTGGCCGTGCAAATGCGGGATGCAGTCAATTATCACACGCCGTACCACGGTGGCTTCCTTCCGGATGTGCACCTCCATTCCGCGATGCATGGGTAAAATGTTTTTGTCTCGCTTCTTTGCAACTTGCTCACTCTTGCGACAATTCTGCAACAGCGAAGTAGCCCTTGTTTTCCACTACGCCACGGTTTCTCACCACAGCGGTGTATTTGATGACCCATTGAGGCTGAACATCGCCGACAAGAATGTCGGAAGTGGTGCCGTTGATAGCCTCTTCGCCGTGCAAGCTCTTACGCTTGTCACCGGCCTTGCTAGGTGGCGCCAGCACGCCAGCTCCAGATGGGCCAGGCCCAAGCAGTTCACGAGTTGTGCCTCGGGGTAGAATGTTGGAGCAATCATTGTGCACCAACAACTCCACGCTCTTGCTTTTCGCAAGTGCCATCAAGTCCTTCGGCACTGAGCAGCAATCACGAAGATTGATCTGATCCACGTCTGGCTTCGCATTCACCTTCTCCAGGAAAGTTTCAAGTCGCTCCTTCCCAAACTCAGCAACGCCAAGTCTGGCGACGACGCCTTGCTCCTTCAAACCTTCCAACGTCTTCCAAGCCTCGATTTGGCCTTCCAATGGCTCCGGGTCTGCTTCAACAGGACCTCGGGTAGAGATCTTGTCCGGGCAGTCTTCCTCCTCGTCGAAATATATGCCAGGAAAGCAGACTATTAGCAGATCGATCGACTCTACGTGGAGTTCCTTCTTGACCAAGTCTATCGCCTCTTTCGTTTGTACATGGCGGGTATTTCTCGAGGCTCCAGGCAGAAAGAACAGTTTGGCTGTGATATCGTAGTTTTCTCGCTCCTCCTGCAGAGCACTGTGCTCGAAGTCCAGAGCGGGAATCTCTAATGCGTCGTCTGTCTTCCTCATCCATGACGTGTAGCTCGGCCTGGAAGCATTGCCGTCGGATCCGGCATTTCCATTGCCATTTGCTTGTGGCGCATCGGGAGTTCTATGGTCGGCGAAGTTCGCTCGCAAGGACGAAACCAGTTCGGTATTTGACTTGCTGACGGGTCCTCGGCGGACGATTGAGGACCCGCCCATGATGTTTCTGCCATCACGGTAAGCAGCTATGGCGACAACATTTGAGATCGTGGTGAGGTACGCACGAGGTGGAGAGTAGCAACTTCATGGTTGATTATGAATTTGTCAGAAGACGGCGAAAGCGCTTTGTCCAGCAGTTGGCCGGCGTGGAATGGACAGACGCAAAGCGGAAGTGAGTGAGGAAAGTCTAGCGGCAAGAAGTAATGAGAAATACTGTCGTAGGGCGCACCGCTGAAGCTCTTGGATACACACTGCTACATTGGGGCGGCGTGATTGCAGCTGGCAGCGTAAGAAGATTTCTAATAGACAATCCCATCACACGGATCACAGTTGCGCTCGCAGGCACAAAAGCGGAGTGAAAGCGCGAAGGCTTGCTTCTTCGGCCCGGCCTGACTTTTCGCCTTTTCGCTCCCTAGCGTGGGGCCTTTTTCCGCACAATACCTGCACCTGCACCTGCGCCTACACTCCAAACTTCCATTCTGCCAAATCATGGCCATCAGGTGTGTCGTGTGTCCTGCACTTGCGGGCTCATCCATCCCCATAGCCACCCCCGAATGGCTGCTGACGCTGGCTGAGATATCTCATCCTGCTGTCCCGGCAGGGCAAAGTGGTAGGTTCAGCGCCCATCGACGCTGCTGCTGCAGGACAGCTATACTAACCGCTCATCTCCCAGCGACTTGCGAAATGGTTCACCACCCTCTCGCCCAAAGATAAGGCCAAGATCATCAAAGACGTCTCCCAGCTGGTTCTGGCGAGGCGCGCTCGCATGTGCAATTTTCTCGAATACAAAGGTATCGCCGTCACCCCTCGTCTTATTGTCGCCGCACACAGCACACCCTTGCTGCGGCGTGAAAATCTTCTCGACTTGCCCTTCTGACCCGCTCGTCACCACAGACACGAAAGTAGTGTATCGCCGGTATGCCTCGCTCTTCTTCATCGCCGCCACCGACCCGACAGACAACGAGTTAATCACGCTCGAAATTGTTCACCGCTACGTCGAGCAGATGGACAAATACTACGGCAACGTCTGCGAGCTCGATATTATTTTCAACTTCCAGAAAGCCTACTTCATACTCGACGAGCTCCTGTTGGCCGGTGAGATGCAAGAGAGCAGCAAAAAGAACGTGCTGCGAGTGATTGGCGCTCAAGACAGTCTCGAAGACATGGAGGTAGGTGCCGCTTCGGATATGCTCCTTGCGCCCGCTTCTCCTGTCCACAAAATCACCATGATGACCCTCATCTTGTATCACCACCCGCTGATGCCTTGTCCGTTAGGTCGAGGACGATGCTGTCACAAAGATTGGCTGAACCAGACTCACATTGTACATATGTATTATCATCCTCCTAGAATCTCTCAGAGGCACACTCCTGGCTAACACGCGTTCGCCGTTCAGATCGATACGGAGATGAGCAGAGAGCTCGAGAAGCAGCTCAAAAATGCCGGACTTTTATAGCTGCCTAGTACTGTGTTCTGAAGCATTTGCTGAGGAAGCGGGAAACAGCACGCTTCCAATGCATGGCGTTGTTGGCGTCTATTGGAGTACAATTGCAGAGATACCCCATGGCACGATGGCTGTTGTTTTTGAAGCCTGCCATTCATAGGTATAGCACCTTTCCGTGCGTCAGCACGACAGGCGAGAAGCCTGGGAATTGAAATGACCACTTTACCATCCATTATGATGAGTATCAAATGCCTGTTGTTTTGGAAGGCTGATACCTCATGAACTTTGCTTCAATGCTCACATCATTCACCGAGCGCATATCGTTGGCATCTATTGGAGAACCTTGCAAAGGTAGGTACAACCACATCCTTCTCCCCGAAACTGTCAAACGTTTGCTGAACCTCTGTGTCCCCACGAAGCTTGACGGAAGCTATCATGTTGCTTCCCATGACCACTCATCGCGGCACGTGCGGTACGTCGTCAAGCTGAAGCCGTGACTACTGTACTTATTACGAGCTCGATGTCTCAGGAGAATCGGGAGACCGAGCTGTACTGTCCACAAAGACAAAGCACGCTTTTGATCGGCGAACTCTATTGGTCTATCCTTCGGCCTGCGCAAACAGCTCCAGCTTTCACACGTGACTTGAGCGGAGACAGCCGGTGGCCTCGCCTGACACCTCGCGACTTCGCAACAACCAAGTTGCTCTCCGTCATCAACAACGACAGCGACATTCTCACGACACATGGCATCTACGACCAGTTTCGCCGCCTGCTAGACGCTTCTGCGCGTCTAGCTATACGTCAAGCGACAACCCGGCTTCCGACGGAGGGAAGTACCCAGGCACACTACAACCCCAACAATCGCATCTCCGCACAAATCACGCCGCGACGGCATCGGCGATATCAATCAAACGCAGCATTTTCATATTCGCGAAGAAGCCATTCTCGCCCGGTGGAAGGGAACATTGAAAGACAAAACCAATACGCAAGTGGTAGGAGTCAGCCGATGGGCTTAAGGTCGCCGAAATGAAGGTGCGTGGAAATGATACAGCGTCGTGAATCCGCTCGACGGAACTGGTGTATGCGCTCTGTGAGATTTGTTTGAGAGACGCAACATCAGATCACCTGCAAGGCTGCATTCGGCTTGAGCAGGTTTCCGTTGGGCGCATTCGTAGCAGCTGGTCCCCGAAATATAATATAGCTGCGATTTGCTGACATTTTGCAGTATCTCAATATACCGGACATCTACCCGGTTTTGAATGCGCTGAATTTCTCGACGCCAGATTGTCACGTCGTTGGAGGATGCGACATCTATTCTATTAAGGCTACCAGAGACGATAAGAAATTTTACGAGACCATCGAGAACAGCCTGGAATCACAATATGCGTCACTTGTAAGACTGAGCGCGTCTCTCAGTCCGCCGTATCGGACTCGGAGTGAAGATGGCAGGCGCAGCGACGGTGCTGGCAGTCGAAGACAGAGCCGCAGCCGTACCGCGGAGCCGGTGCCAGAGATTGATCTCTCACGCGCCTCACCGTTCGGATCTCTAAGTCAGACTACTTCGCGGAGAGCTTTTGCTTACATGATAGCTACGCTAAATGCGTCGCATCCGGACTACGATTTCTCGCATATACTACGGCCTTCTGATTTCCGCAAGGAGCGCAGTCTGCGTAGCATTATGCACAAGATAGACACCACGCTCCAGCACTTGCGGCCCCGGCAGACTTCGGCTATGCATCATCTGTCTCCGCCGTCGTCTTTATCGAGCTCGGCACCAGGCACTAGCCTGATGAGCGAGGTCTGGAATCAAAACATGTGGAAGCTCCTTGATAAGGAGATGAATCTTCGTCAATGCGAAAGATACTCCTACGTCCCGGATGATGATCCGTTCGACGGCGACGAAGGAGCCATATGGAGTATGCACTATTTCTTCTTCAGCAAGGAGAGGAAGCGTGTGTGCTACCTCTACCTTCGTGGCTTCAGCGTGATATCTCATTCGCCCGTCCAAGCGGCGCTCAGCGTCCAGAAGCCGAAGCCGGTCCACAGGAAAGTGTCCAGCATATCTGTTGGCGAGGGTGCTGGAAAACGTGCTAGCTTCTGGCTTAGCTCAGATCTTCTATCTAGAAGTATAGATACCGTGAGCTATGGCGAAGACGACGACGACGAGATGGTGATCGTTGAACCTGGCGACGATGAAGTCGAAGTGCCCTACATGGACCTTGATGAGATTCGAAGCGACATCGTAAACGGAAGATATGAGGACTATGTCATCGACGAGGAGTCGGACGAGTACAATAACTACGACGACACTATTGATGAGATGTGGCGCGAGCCGCACCGTGTCAGAGCCGTCAGCGAAGAGATTGGTGCGGCTATGGAGGTTGAAGCTTGAAGTCAACGACCCTTCAAGAATGAATATACACATTGAAGCGCAGAAATGAATCATGGGCGGCGTTATGGGATTTGTATATGTCGGATGAACGGTGGCATACTGGCGTTTCTGTAAGGTGTACGGATGTGAGAATGGGCTGCAAGGCGCCTGTTGTACTTTGGTGAGCATGGCCCTCGAGTGCTGGTGGCGCGGCTGCTCAGGGCGTTCAGTGTTTGGGACGAGTGATACCTCTCTTGCGGTTTGCTTCTTACGGCCTCTAATTCTTCCTGCGAAGTTCGTACTTGAGAACACAAGATGTTTCTCTGTTCAACGCAATGCTTCTCTCTTTTCTGGGCGTGCTCTTGCACATGACCGAGATCCTGCGGGCAAGCAAGCAAGCAGGCCCTTGGCTGTTCCCTATCTCGAGACCAGACGAGAATGTTAGCGATTCCTGCTCGAACACCCTTTGTTGTTACTGGTCTGAGTGGGGATAGGGCTGTTCCCTTGGCTGGCTTCCCCTCCCCACTCCCTGTCTGGCGGTGAACTGGTCTGATCGCGCTCTCGTTAATCGTTAAACCACAGTGAGTTATGCCCTGCTCTAACAGGTGCCGACATGTGCCTGATCAGCACGTCTTGTCCTTGGTGCCGGCTGTTCCCCATATTCTGAGCTTCACAATACACAGTTGTCTCACTCATAGATCGTGTGACCCGGCCACGCAGCCTCGAGATCGACAGTTCCTGACCAGATCTCACCTAGTGCTCGAACACAATCGAAAATCACGCAAACCACGCGGTATCCATAATACCTGGAGCCAGCGAGAGAATAAGCTTTCCTTAGTCCTCCATCAGCTCCGGCTACCAGTATTTGATGAACATGCCTCTCCCATGCTCACCTGTTAGCAACTCCACCTCTACATCCGCTACCGAGTCTGACGATCATTCCGACGACAGTCTCGCGACTCCTCGTGCAGGACCCAGCGATCCCGCTCAGAGATCTCAGGCGAATCTCAGCAAACCATTGATTCCACTGCCTTTCCCCACTGGATCTGCATCGTGTGATACTGTCAAGGACTCAGACGATAGGGCCGGAGGAGATATCAGAGAGAGACAGAGATCTGTCACGTTCTTACCTGGCACAATTGGAGCTTTGTCTAAGCGGGATAGCACTTATTCGACACATAGTTCCGTCATGGCCGCTTCACCTGGACGATTGAGTCCGAGGAATTCCTTTCGAACTCGAAGTGTTTCTGGAAGAGGTGATTCGGAAGAGGGCTTTGGTGGTGAGAGTAGTGCAGATGAGAACACTGCGATTATGAGAAAAGCGGCGGCGAGGATGAATGGGTACGGAGCTGTTATTCAAGAGGCGGAACATAATCTGGTTGATGATATCAGGCCAGATCCTTTGCCTGGCCAGGGCATACCCAGAAAGAGGAAGAGTGGATCGACATTAAGATCGAGGGGAAGCTTGAGAGAAACTGGTGCGAGTACATCGAATGCGAATAATGCTCGGACACAACATGCTCAGCAAGAGGAGGAACACGAAAGTTGGTGGCGATCTTTGGTTGACAAATATGGTAGCGTGGAATTGGAGAATAAGGGGAGTGTTGCTCGCGACCATTTGGCTTTGGAACGGACATTTCTCGCCTGGCTACGAACCTCACTGTCTTTCGCGAGTATCGGTATCGCAGTCACGCAACTCTTCCGGCTCAACACGTCGATCGTATCGGATGCCGAACAGTCTGGGCAATCTGCTACCGCGCGTCTTCGGGCAGTGGGAAAGCCGCTTGGTGCTACCTTCCTGGGCATCTCGATTCTGATTCTGCTGCTGGGTTTCCATCGGTACTTTGAGAGCCAGCATTATGTGATCAGAGGCAAATTTCCTGCGAGTCGAGGAACGATTGTTATCGTCTCTGCTGTTACTACGGCTTTGATCATCGCGAGTTTGGTTGTGGTTGTTGCTGTTGCGCCGAGGGCTTTTGAGAGGTGAATAGGATGCTATGGTTATACGGGTTGTGTGTTGCTGCAGATGGTCCTGCAATGTCACGCCAAGGAGCTCACTGCACCTTAAGTGGTCTTGCCTACTACAGCCTCAACACATTTCACGCCTACAAGCTCACGCATCCTGGTGTGGAGAAGCATCGCTGGCTGAAGGCAATCGGATTTCAGAGCGCAGCCAACCTCGATTCTCTCTACGTCACGACCAATTTGGACGGAATACTTAAAGCTGCAGCGGTATAAGTCCAAAAGGACGAAGCGCTGCGGCGAGTCCTGGATCAAGGACGGAGAACAAGTTGCGGATCATCAAGGACCGATGCAGCGGCATCGGCTGGACTGTGGGCTCGGATTCTACTTGATGAAGGTGCATTCTGCACGTCAACCATCAGCACAACGAAAATCATCCCGAAATCGATGAGGATGAAGCTCCACCGAAGAAGAAAACCAGGCCAGCGCCAAAATTTCGGACAAGGACAACAAAGTCAGCTCAAGTTCTGCACAACGCAATCCTGCTCGCTCTTCGAATTTGGTTTGCTCGACTCTGCATTGTGGATGGCTCAGATCCGGGACAGCAGTCTGCGCGAGCTTTTGCGACATGATGGCTGTTCTACTGAAATCAACCTGCGACTCGAGGTCGGCTTGCGAGGGCTGATACGATACTGAGCTTTTTGCAACAATTCGAAAGCTCTCTCATTGCTTGCTTTGCAAACTCATCGACAAGACCTTCAATGGACTTATCAGAAGAATCGACCAAAGCGTTGGTTCATATCGCAATAGTCAGAGGCAATTGCTTGATTCGTCTACATAGGTACTCTTCTGTGCATCGGCTTCATCTCTGTGTCACACTTTTGCTCTTCACAGTATCTACAATAGCGTTTGAGTTGGCTTCTAAAGAACATGTCGGTACTGCATGCCCCTTCTTAAAAGCATTGAATCTCTGGGTCACAATGTTGAGATCCGTGTTGACGTGCGTGGATGGCGTGAGATGTCTCGTTGCTGCCAGGTTTCGGGACAGATCCTTGCAAGCGCGTCATAACATGTGAAAGCAAGGGCAACTTGCATTGCCCCTTCGAACGTGATTCCTAACATCTGTGTCTCAATCACACAATCACCAACAGTGAAATCACAAAATGCCATCAGAAGCTTTCTACACGACCAATTTGCCCTCTGGCTTGCGAATAGCCCAGGTTGCTGGCTTGACAGTCTCCGGTTTCCTTGCCGGTACGAGAACATCAACATATACTCTTTTCACCACATGCTAACAGATGGTATCCAGGCAAGACCTTCGCCGCAAGCACCGTGACTCCAGCTCTCCTCAAGGCTCCCGCACCTCTCCTAGCAAAGCAATGGAAGACCATCTTCGACGCCGACAAGCTCATCTTCCCCGTGACTTGCATCTTCAGCGCAGGTGTGTTTGGCTACATCGGCTACCGTGAAGACAAATGGACTCTACCCGCGACTCTCTACACAGCTTCTGCCTCGCTTTTGCTGTCTCTGGTGCCGTATACTTTCCTGCTTAGCGAGCCGATCGTCCAGAAGCTGCAGAGGAAGGCGCAGTCTCTGGCTAGTGTTGCGATCACGGATGCTCAGGCTGAGAGTGGTTTGAAGCACGAAGAGACCACGCACGCTTTGGTCGACAAGTGAGTCCACATCAATGATCTGGTTTGACGCAGCTGTCGTGCTAACGGAGACTACTAGGTGGGCCACGATCAATCTTGGCAGAGCGGTGATCTCTGCTGCTTCCACTGCTATCGCGATCTGGGCTGCTGTTGACCGGACTGAGGTTGTACCAGCCACGGCTCGTTTGGCAACAGGTGCCAACCGCTTGGGCTGAAAACTGGGCATTGAATGAAGATGATAAGGCAATGATGCCAGAAGAACGGCACGAGAGTGATCCCTTATGAGGCCTTTCAGCATGCAGCATCCTCACACGGCAGTAAAAGTGACGTTCGAGGCGATAAGAGTCACTGTACGGAGTATGTATGAGAATAATGAAACGAAGGCATGAAGATTCTCAATACAGACGAAGCCTCGATCGTACGACGGTACGCGTGCCGACACTGCGGAGGAGTGTGTCGTCACCTTGCATGGTACCTCGTTGTTGCCCTGCCAGCCACCGCACGCGTTTTTTCTTGACGCATGCATGCTACGAAGCATGAACAGTAGTGTGACATCCGACGACGTGGCACACTGTCGGTGAGGCTTCTGCTGCATCGTCTCCTCTAGGCGCATGAACTGCAGTCCAGTGCGGAGTGTCGTGCACAGGAGGCGAACAAATGAGAAGAACTCGGCGTGGTTGTTGGCACTGACTTCGTTCTGCGCAAATTGAACCGTTCCGGCCTTGTTCCCCGGCAGCCTCCCTATTGGCGCGGGGCGGGGCGGGCATGGAAGCGTTCAGTGTTGTGACAACGACCCATGTGCGCGTGGGCATGGCTCGCCGCGTCTCGCCATCCCTATTTTCGCGATAGATATTCTAGCAGGCAGTCCTGCAAGTTTGTAGAACGGTCGTGCCACTCCACTCACGGTCAGAAAGAGTGAAGGGACGGAGACTGGAGTCGAGGGAATCGTTATTGCCCCATAAAAGCGTGTTCGGCAGTAGTGAGTCTGCTGAAACAGAGGGGACCTCACGCACAGACTATTATTGTGGACGAGCCGCCGTCCGTCCGCTGCAACGACCCGACCCACGTTGTGTGGACAAGGAAGCCTGCGCGAACTTCTGAGAGCAGAGGAAAGCTTCCCGACAACACTCCTCTCCACCTCTCCACCTCTCCACCTCTCCACCTCTCCACCCTCCGCAACGACAACGACAGTACCGGCACTTGGCGCACGCGTTCGACGCCTTTCTTTCCACTTTGCTGCCTTCGTTCTCTTTTCGCTAGGCGCGTGCATGCTTCACCAGCCGCTGCCAGCGTAGCACAGATCAACGCAAGGCGAATCCAATCGAGTCTACTTGCGACGTTGACAACTCCTGCGGTACGAAGGGGACAGGAAACGGCGAACGGCGAACGGCGAACCACTTATTGGATGGACTTGCCAAGACGACGACGACGACGACGTGCGAACAACAACTTTCATCCCGACCACGACCGATAGTGAGCGTCAACAAACTACACCGTTCGCCTCCTGGTTGCCCGTGTGAGCTCGCAGGTCGGGGGTAGGCATGGCTTCCCACGAGGCGCCTCCTCCACCGCCGCCTCCACACGGGCAAAACCCCAGACCGCCGGGCGCTGGTCTGCCCAATGGAAACTACGACATCTTCATTATACCGCCACACTCGTCCGGTTCCGGTTTCCTGTATCTTCCATCCCTACAACCGCACCGGAATAGCTTTCTCGCAGGAGTGGCATGTACCCTGCTGGCAGTCGGCGTCTACACGCTGATCACACCAGTGATCAAGCAGTGGGCAGCTGTTGTCGCCCAGGGTGGTGGAGGACTCGGCGTCGTCGTGCTGGTCCTTGCCGTCGGCGTTGCAGCATGGGCATTTGGCAAGACTCAAGGTGAGAGTGGTAGCGGATCGAAATTCAAGTTTAGCGGGAATGGAGGACCTGGTCCTGGTGCGAAAGGACAGCATCAGCATCAGTATTCCGGACCACCACCTGATTGGCAAGCGCCTCCACCACAACAACCTCCTCCTAATCCTCAACCAGACCCAGAACATCAACCCCCACCGCCTCCACCGCCTCCTCGACCTGAACCACAGCCTCAATATTCCGCTCCACCGCCACCCAAGCCAAGTGCCGCCCAGAGCGGTTGGGAGAAAGCAAGGGAGGAGACACGAAAGCGTGAAGAAGCGCGCAAGCGGGAAGAAGAGCTTAGGAAGAAACGCGAGGAGGCGCAAAAGGCGCGAGAAGAGGCAGAGAGGGCTGCAAAGGCCAAAGCAGAGAAAGAGAAGTGGGAGCAGGCACGTGCCAGAGAGAAGGAGACCAGAGAGCGAGAAGCACGAGAGCGCATCGCGCGAGAGCGTCTTGAGAAGGAAAAAGCGCAGCGCGAGAAGGAGAAGACCGAACGTGAGCTGAAAGAGAAGGTCGAGAAGGAGAAGGTGGAATGGGAGAAGAAACGTCAGGCAGAGAGAGAAAGGGCGGAGAAGGAGAAGATGGAACGCATAAGAGCAGCTGCAGCGGCCAGTGTAAAGTCCAGTCCAACCAAGCCCGCAAAATCTCAGGCGGGAACGGAAGCTGGTCACTCGTACCGACCATACGACACACCGAAGAGGACGGTCTATACCGCTTCATCAGCCTCATCAATCTCTGGTCTCAGCGAAACTAGCTACGCACCTAGTCAGAGTACTGCTCGGACCACACCACCTCCTTCACATCGAGGACCCTACTCGACGAAGGATCCTGATAAAATCCAGATCAAAGCTGTCTACCTCTTCAGCGACAGCTTCCCCAACAAACCGATATCTCAATTGGTCGCGAATCAGCCTCCTGTAAGCGATGGTCTGATCCTGCACATCAAGACTGAAGGTCTGTTCATCGACGATGATGTTCGTGGCGTCCCACAACGAGAATGGGATGTCAAGGCCTGGACGTTGAAGCTCGTCGAAGATGGCGCGACCAAAACCCTTGCTGGAAAGCCTCTGCACGTCCTCAGAGCCACGACCAGAGACACCGAGAACAAGAAGTACACCTTTGTGCTTGATGAGAGTGAGGCCTGGAAGGTGGCAATCGGTCTGCAGAGATTAAAGAAAGGAAGTCAAGTCAGATCCTTGGGAATGAATGGTATGAAGGATACTGAGATTAAGAATGTGTTGTTGGGATTGGGGTGGCTTTGAGAGCTGTTTTTGTTTTGCACTGGAATGCTGCGGTTGAGCGACGAGATATCCAATGACGCGATGCATTAGCGACTGGCGTTTCGACAGACGGAAAATGCCGATTGATGGGTGTTGTCGTGGCTCTCATGAATTGATGGATTAGTGTAGTTCATAACCCATTTGTACAGATTCCTGTACATACAAAGCCGGAAATGGCAGTCAGTTTTGAAAGATCAGCCTTGCTTGGATTGGCAAACATTCGTATTTGTTGACTTTCTTTGACGATGAACGATGCAGCAAACGACGGACTTCTACAGCTTTCGGTATCTCTGCATTCGATGCTCGAGACTGGACTACTGTCTACAATGTGCCAACCATCGCTCGATCTGTATAGCGGAGCTGTGTATCGTGCGTGGTGCGTGGTGCGTCCATCAGCGTGCGGGTCGAGAGATTAGAGAAGCTGATACATCAGTTTTAGATTAGGTGTGGCATTGACGCGTTGATCACGCTGGGTATCTCGTTATAAAAATTGGTGCAAAGAAGGTGCAATGGCTAGCTTTTCATGAGCTTTCCACGCGATATGATGTCTCCATGCTGATGATCATCCGGTGCGAGTCATCAGATCTTCTCGCCGGATTGGGGTCGGTCGTGGATCTGTTTTGTCCTCGTGCGGAATCTCCTCGAATGTCAACGTGGTACTCGCTTCGTTCCGGGCGTAGCCTCAGACGACCCTCTTTGGTGCTCAACCCTGCTTCTGACTCGTTTCGCGAGACATGTGATTTGTTCATCGATCGGAGCGGCATGCTTCCCGTGTGTGATCTCGGGTCGCTTGCCGATGCTGTCGTGTTTCCGTACATGGTCATCAGACCTCTGGACATGAAAGCCCATAAAAAGCTCCTTAGGCATGGAAATGAGGCTGAGATTAGCGAGAAGGCTAGAAGGACTTCTTGCCAAGCCAGAACCGGCGAGATGTCGATGCTGTCTCGACCGTCGTGGAGGAAGTTGAAGTATGAGGCTGTTGTGGTGATCGAGAACGCAATTACGACCAGCCTGAAGCTGTAGACGAAGATCACGATGCGCTTCTTGGAGGCTTTGAGCTGGTTCTTGCCGATAAACCAGATCGGCATAGCTAGGATGATGAGCTCGGTGAGGCCGTCGAATAAGGTGATGATAGCCCATCTCGCAGTCTGAACAATCAATTAGCATGTGTGTAGCGTAGAGAAGGTATGACAACGGCCTTGCTCACGTTGGCATTGCAAACCGCGTCGGTCCTTGGCGCAAGTGTTTCAGTGGGTTGACAGCCGGCAGAGCTTAGCAAGATGGCTAGCACGCCGTAGAGGATGGCGAAGCCATACGAGGCGCCGAAGAAGATGTTCTCCCTTCACACTGCATTGGCAAATGATCCTTCGTAGTGAGATTGCAGTTTGCCCACCTGTAGAAATCTCCCGCGAATATGCGCCGAGTAAAGATGAGCATTGACAGCTTGGCTAAGCAATGCGCCAGGAAGTATGGGATTCGTGATCCGAAGTACAGCTATGACCATCAGTCAGCGAGTAACTGAACATGCGCACAGTCGCCATGCAGACGCCTCGAGCTTATACTTAAGTGGTGAACCGGTCTTACGCTGGCTGCATTGTCCAACTCCGAGCTCGAGAGAACGAGTGAAGAAAGTCCCACTCCATCTATTAACCCCTGGAACAGCAATCCCCAATGCACAATGGCCGCCAAATAGCCAGAGCTCAAAACCACATCATCCCACCATAGGAGGTCCCATTTTCCAGTAAATCTTGCTGCCAGACATAGCAAGCTATATATCATCGCCAGCAGGCTCGCAACCCATATCCAAGGCCTGTGATCGGTTTCCGTGGTGGTAGCGAAGCCATTGTAGTCATACATCGTCGCGGCGCGTCCGTGGGCAGCATGGAAGAGGAAGAACACCAAAGAGATAAGCCAGGCGAGCTGTCAGCCAGCTGGCGAGGATTCTTTTTTAAGTACCACCTTTGAAGCAGCCCACCTACAAAAGAAATCTGAGGATGATGATGATGATGGAAGAAGATAGATGTACCTGCCTTTGATCGCTGCAAGACGCAGGAGGGCTTGCGCCAGGCGTACACCCTAATGAAAAAAAATCTTCGATTCTTCTTGGTCTTGATTAGCTCCATCGCGCGCCGTTACTATTCTTTCGGTCTCGAATGTGCGGAAACTTTGATGGACGGAGCTCGAAAAAGGTCGAGCCGTGCCATGTGAAGAACGCTGGACTGGACGAATGAGAGAAGAGAGCCGACTGCTATTCTATAAATGGGCCTACGGTGCTCGCTACCGATTTTCTTAATACTTTCTAGATAGATTCGAGATAAATTTTCAATTCCGGCAAGTTTGAAACAGATTTTAAATATATCGTAGTAAATAGGTCTATATAAATTTATCTCTAGTATCTTCTCCTATTTTAGTTAGATTTTTAAATAGATTCTAGATAGTTTAGGGTATATTGCAAATATGCTTAGGATACTAAATTGCTAGAAACTTTTCTTTAGAGTCTACGATAGTTTTTTTTTAAAAAAAAACTATAGGAATTATTAATATAGGTTTAGGTATAAAGTAAATTTTTAATAGTTCTAGAATAATAGTTAACTATAGACCGGCTCGTAAAATAGTATTAGTTTAAAAATAAGTCTAAGTTAAGAATAATGCAGCATTAATACAGCTTTAGGATAACTTCGAGATGTCTCTAGCCTCTAAACTGCACCGAACCCTATCGGCCCGGAAGTCCCCGTACACACGAAGTGACGTCCACTGGAGGTCTTGAACTGCAAGTGAGGTGAAATGGCTACACGGACTCCATTATTATTATTCTGCCCGAGCTCTATGGTTGTTCCGTAGCACAAGCCGGTCCCCCACGCGCTGGACCACGTTCAATCTACCGTCCATTGCGACTGCTGGAACGGTTACATACTCCTTCCTACGCAAAGTTCGGGACTACTCCTCTCGGTTTCGTGTCCGAGTGACTTTGCGCTACTCAAAAACAGATACGGACCGCGGTCGTCGTGAGCCGCACGATTCAAAGATCGGCAAGACGCCAAGTGGCCCTACCAAGATGCAGTGCAGCTTGCGAAGACCGGATCAGAGCTTGCAAAGATGGTCTCAAAGACAGTTGCAGTGTCGCGAGGCGACTCTCACCAGGACAGCGGGCAGTCTGCCTCAACGCCGCAACAGATAGGCAGACGTCTTGACTGAGAGATCCCCGAGTTGTTGGCCCTGCCACGCGCAGCAGCATCCCTTACGAGCGTGGCAGGACTGCCGTGCGTGCAGAGCCCGTGGGAAGCGGCTCGTTGATCGTCGAAGCCGGCCTACGTCCTTCTGGAAGGATGATTTGATGTTACTGTTCCTCGAGAGCTCGCTTCCTCTTCTGACACTTCTCTTTGCATTTCCCTTCTTTTCATTCCGCGGCTGCATAGCATTGCATGCTACATCGCGCGCCTATTCAAGATGCAGGAACTTCCGCTGGACAGCTGTGCGAAGGACAAGAACGCTGGAGTGCACGGTGTGGGCTTCGATCAGGATAGTGATGTTCGGCAAGTGGCAGGAAGAAACTATGATCCCCAGAACGGTGAGACGCCCACGTGCACTTCACGTGCAGATCGCATTTCTGACAGGACGATGGTACAGATCAGAAGGATATGAGACGTCTGGGGAAGAAGCAGGAGCTCAAACGTCGATTCAGATTCTTCTCGATCGTTGGATTTGTGGTCGTTCTTGGTCTCACTTGGGAATTCTCCCTGACAACCCTGGTCTTCTCGCTTTCGAATGGTGGCACTGCCGGCTCGATATGGCTTGTCCTCGTGGTCTGCTTTGGAATGTTCTTCGTCATGCTGTCGATGGCTGAGTGCGCGTCGATGGCGCCGACGTCTGGTGGGACAATCCATGACGGAATTGTACATACAACTGTTGCTGACTTGTCAATTCTCCCATTGCAGGTGGTCAGTATCATTGGGTCTCCGAATTCGCTCCTGCGCATCTACAACGGCCTCTGAGTTATGCCGTCGGATGGCTCTGTGCTTTAGGATGGCAATGTTCTATGCCGACAGTCGCATACGTGGGAGCCCAGCAAGTGCTTGCTCTTATCGCCGTCTGTGATTCGAGCTATGTCATCCAGGGTTGGCACGGCGCGCTCATGACCATGGCCTTCGCACTCGCCTCAATCTCGTTCAACACATTCGCCATCGGAAAGCTACCGATTCTTGAAGGATTGGCTGTCGCCCTACACGTCTTTGGATTCGTTGCATTCATGGTGATTATGTGGGTTATGGGACCAAGAGCAAACGCCGAAGTCACCTTCACCAACTTCAGAGATGACAATGATTGGGGAAACCTTGGTCTGGCAACTCTGGTCGGAATCGTGGGACCGGCGACTACGTATCTCGGTGCTGATTCTGCTGTCCATCTTGCTGAGGAGCTCAAGGACGCCAGCTGTGTCTTGCCGCGAGCAATGTTCTCTGCTGCGATCATCAACTACATCACCGGATTCGTCACCACCGTGACATTCATGTTCAACCTAGATAACCTCGAGGACATCCTAGTGTCTTCCACTGGACAGCCATGGGTTGCAGTCATGTACAACATTACTGGATCCAAGGCAGCTACCATCGTCCTGGTTATCATCATGACGGTGATGTACTTCTTCTGTGGTGTCAACCAAGTCACGACCAGCTCTCGTCAGGTGTTCGCATTTGCACGAGACAAGGGACTGCCTTTCCACCGATTTCTGTCCAAGGTTCGACCTGACAGTGGTGTCCCTGCTAACTCGGTGTACGTTACTCTGGTATTCACCTGCCTGGTCGCTCTGATCATCATCGGCTCTGTCACGGCTTTCAACATCATTTTGTCGGTCTCCGCCACCGGTCTTTTCACCAGCTACATCATCGTCATCTCGACAGTACTGGCAAAGCGCTTCCGCGGCGAGAAATTTCCGGCCTCGCAATTCAATCTGGGCAAGTTCGGCTATGTCGCCAACATAATCGGTATCTGCTTCTTGGCTGTAGCATGGCTGTTCCTGTTTTTCCCACCACTTCCACACCCAGATCCTGCCACCATGAACTGGGCTGTGCTGGTATATGGCGTTGTGGTAGGTGATTTGTCTATATCTGATCATCGATCATTGCTAATCATATCCCAGATCATCTTTGCATTGGTATACTATCTCATTCACGGTCGACATGAGTATGACGGACCTGTCGAATACGTCCGCAAAGATATGTAAATATATAGAATAGCTGCGTCTAATCAACTAGCATCCATCATATGCAGAGCATTGTTGTTGCGTCGCCGATTCATTCCACGTAACGAAGTCGCGTCAGTTTGCGTAGCGAAACCGTGTCATTTCAGTTAGCGGAGCCTTGTCAGCCTGCACCACTGCATCTCTAAAGACCTGCGGCCTGGGTCTGGTGTTAACTTAGCGAAAGTTGGCCTCTCATCCAACACCGCGGTCCGCCTGGTACTGTTTGAGCTTGGGCCCTCTCGCGCTAGTAGAGCCCGGCAAAACTCTCGAAGATTGACTTCTGGGATCTTCAAGCTGAGATGAACTGCCTCCGTTCAACGACATCTGCTGGGGCCAAGAAAGATGGCAGCATTGACTGATCTAATTCAGGCCATTGCACCGGACGACGATGAAGAGCCGGAGGACATCTTTGCGAGCGCCCCGGGACTCATCTTCCCGGACGACACGCGGGATATGCATGGCGACGATCGGAGCGTGCTTGTCTACAAGAGCCAGCGCTTTGGGGACATCGAGTTGAGAACCGCAAACCCGGAGCAAGAGGCGGATCGGCAGCTCTTTGCGCATTATCTGTGGAATGCGGGCATCAAAATGGCTGAGCTGATCAGCAATGAACCTGACGCCAGGTGGACTGTCAAGGGCGAGCGAGTCCTCGAATTAGGTGCAGGTGGGATAGCATGCTTTCGAAAAGAATGTAGGTGAAAGAGCTGGCTGATTCTTGCTAATGTTGCAGGCGTCGGCTTGAACGGGATAGTGGCCATATTGGCAGGTGCGCGAGAGGTATAGCATGCTGAGCACGATAGAACATGTCAGATGCTTATTTGGTCTAGGTCGTCATGTCTGATTATCCCGCGGAGACAGTACTGAACAGCATCAGGCGCAATGTGGAGGCAGCTATTCCGCAACGTGCGCCCAGCTCATATACGATCCAAGGGTATATATGGGGGGATGTGGCGTCAAAGTTCGCGACAGACAATGCACACTCCTTTACGTGTATCATTGCAGCGGATTGCTATTGGATGCCTCATGAGCATGAAAACTTGGCTCGCAGCATGATTCATATGCTGCATCCGTCGCCAGATGCTAGAGTTCTAGCAATTGCGGGTTTCCATACTGGCCGTCTAAAGCTGGCAAACTTCTTCGATGTAGCCGTCTCCCAGGGTCTGGAGGTAGAAGAGATATATGAGGAAGATGTTAACGGCAGCCGGAGAGAGTGGGTTAGGGAACGCGACGGTGGTAGAGAAGATCCCACTGCTCGCAAGAAATGGCTTGTCATTGCGTTGCTCAAGCGAAGGCAACCATGAGTTCAAGCGCGGCACCCTAGATGAACTTTTTGGAGGCAGTGGAGCGTTGTTGGGATGCTGTAATACAATACGGGCCCAATCCATCGCTCTGGTTTGACCCCGGTTGGTAGCGCCTATTCCGCCTTGAGGGAAGGTCGGACTCTGCGGCGATATGAGACCAAGGGAAGGGAACCTTATAGCACTGAGGGCACTGGCAGGGCCTTGAAAGGATGTAACAAAACTGGTACAGGGGCACCTGTTCGACACAATACTGTTGTGCTCGCTCAAGCAAGCAGGAACGACTTGTACACTGCCACGAATGACGACGCTGCGAACAGCTTAGGACATTCGCTGCCTGCAGCCTACGTGCACGCCGTTGGGAATTGTAGCACAACCTGATGTTTGCTGTGCGGGTGCTTGCAGGGCTTACGCAGACGGTGATTTACGGCTCGAGGTCCAGACTCGCTAGAGCTAGAATGACTATCATTGAATACCGGCGTACCAGAACATCTCAGCGGTCAGCTTCCTCTCTGCGGTCGAGAATCTTACGTTCTATACCGCTTCCGGCCATGAGTTGTCCAGCAGGCCAGATGTCCTACGAAAGCAAAGATGCGATCTTATTGCAAGATTGCGACAACCTTGTTCGCAAGGTCTCTCGAAATTGTATGTTCATGTGGTCTTGTGAGGACCCACATGCTAAACCGGAAATCCAGGCCGAGACGCCAGAAATGCATTTCAGCTACTGAAAGGCAGCATGGACTACTTTCGCGATATTCTCGAGACAGTCGTCGATTTGCTGAGATCACATCCTGAGATGATAGTACCATTAGGACCTCTAGTGATGTCTCGAATGTTACTTGAACGCCTGGACGTTGCGATTGTTTCCTATACGTGCTTGCCTGGCGCGCGCCTTGACGAGACAGCTATCGGGAAATTCAGGACGGACATTGAAAGTGTGACCGAAGATCTGCAATCAGCATACAAGGCTATGGCTGAGAAAATGCAGTATGCCGCTCAGACGGACAGCAGCTCAGACCTATCAAGCAGCGAAATCCTCCAGAAAACAGACTTTCATCCAATGTCAGCATGCAGCACAGGAACCACATGCACCGACAGTGCCTGTTCGGAGGCAAAATCAACTGCTTACGATGCTGAAAGCACCTCAACGTCTTCATTGTACGCGGCGACAATCCCGGCGATACGGGTTATCAGTGAAGAGAAGGAAGTGTCACTGCCCACATTTTTCAGGAAGTGTCCTCGAAACGAAGCCTGTTCTTCCAGCTTGAAGAGCATTAGCACGGCGGGTAGCTGGCATTCAATTCCTACTAGTCCAGACCCGCTTTCCCTACCGTTTATCGATGCTTGCAAGCAGATTCTAGCTACAGATGATGATGACTTTCCAGAAAGCCCACTGGCTCACTCTCCAACTTCTTCATCAAATTGGTCATTCAGGGACGCCAGATCACAGATCGATTCAGACTCAGACGCGGATCGGGATAAGACGGAAGAAGAAGCACATGATGGAGAATCGCGCGATGTCCTCAATACCGATACGCCGGACAGCAACCAAGTGGCCGTACAGCCAACAGCAGAAGCACCTGCTTGCAGCACTGGCGCAGAATTGGAAAAGAATGTATCGACTTCTGGTTCCAGTACTGATCAAGCAAGTACTGGCCAAGCAAGTACTGACCAAGCATCAACCAGCACGAGTGCGAAATGGTAAGTGACAAAGAGCATGGGACGGTCACTGAATCATGCCTGTTGATACCGCTACAGTGATTGCACGCCGCCGCTCATACCTCCGTCGCCTGCAGCTCTACCACGAAAACGAACAGCGCCTGAAGCTGGGGATGACCAAACGCCTTCGACATCTAGTAGTCGTGATGGATCTATGCACTCGACAACGGATAGCTTGGTCGAGCCCCGTACCACGAAGCTGCGAGATGAGCAGGCTGTATCGCTAGCAACAATTGTCGTAGCTTCAGCCGGCCATCGCACTATGCTGGACGGAGGGAAGCTTGAAGATCCATTGGGCGATGTTACTTCATTGTCTTGTACTAGAAATAGTGCTTGTGACCATGCGGTCGCTACGGGGAGCGAGCACTCGAGCAAACCGCACTCGAGCAGCCCACGGCCATCATCTTGTCAAGACGAAGGCGAGTCGCCGATCCGCGACCTGACTGAATGTCGATCCAGAAAATTAGCCTTTCGCGAGATCAAAAATTCTTGGCTGAGGCGTAAAAAGACCAGTGCCAATAACATTGCTCAAGTTCGCGAAGGTCCGAAGAGACATCTCGATGAAGCCGCTGTACACTTGCAGAAGATCAGCCATGAAACGCAGGATGAGCAGACAGCTCCACGCAAGGCTGACACACGACAACGAAAGTCATTGGCTGAACAGCATGTGGCCTGGATTTCAAAAGATGGCCTGAGGGTTCAGCCGAGCACGCTTCCAAGAAGAAAGGATGTGCCATATTTGATAGACTATGAGCGAGTTCAAGCAATTGCTCATCTTTGGAATCGACGCGACTGGGACAGGGCCGAGCTGTACCTGCTCGAGCATCTTCGAGCCATGCAAGATCTCCACGACGCAAATCGTATCCGCAGAGTCAAGCACCTACTTGCAATCTGTTCGAGCTTCCGAGGCCAATGGGACGATGCCATCGAACGATTGATCACCGTGCTGAGGAAACCTATTCAAAGAATCGCCGACCTAGACGATGGCGATCGTGCCGCTGCATACTGGCTTGGAGATCTCTATGCCATGCAGAATCGCAGATCCGATGCCGCGCTAGCATACGCCATCGCTGCTCAGATTCCTTCAAGGAGCGAAAAGAAAGTGTCTGGGATGCCTTCACGCCGTATGCTCCTGGCTGAGCAAGATGCAGTGCAACTCGACACACCGCAGCTGGGTTCTGCAAAAGTGTATCAATCTTCAATAACACACCACGATTCTAAGGGATTGCTCGATGAGTCCATCATCTCACAAGAGGCAATCAAAGCCTGTCTGGACAAAAATGCACACATCGACACCAATCTAGGAAGCATGCACGACTCCATCAAACTCGCCCGCCACGGCTCTCGCGCGAGCTGCCTGGAAGTGGAAAGCAGCAATCACGTCGACAGCTTACCCCCAGAATATCTCCAAGGCTTTGCGTTTGAGATTAGCGTTACCTCATTTGATCCAAAATCGTCATGGCCATTACCTTACGACCCGTTCTTCTCAATCGCCAACGTCCAGCGAGGCAGACTTCTCACATACGAAGGCTGCGATATGCATAAGATCTTCTCGAGCAGTCCTGATGCAATCAATACGCTACCACGCCGTCTCACCAGATCTTCCGTCGCCCACGCCGATCTCTTCTGGCTAATCAAAACAACTCGAAAGTGTCTCAAGAACCTCCAGATCGGGTATTCAGAAGTCGTAAACGTTCATGGTTCCTGGTGGGTATGTCGCTACTCATTCATGAATCATAAGATCGCCACAACCCATTACTTCTCCATCGCTCTTTTCAGATTCCACCTGAGGTCCGGGCATTTTGGCGTGGATGTGGTGGAGAATGCTGAGATGTGTAGTGCCCGACTTTTTCATCCGCTCGAAGGTTGTCTCAAAGGCGTGTATTATTTGGAGCCAAGAAGGGTGAGAGGGTTGATTCTGGAAGCTTTGAAGGAGGAGGCTAGAATTCTGGCTGCGAAGCCGAGTCGGCTGGACGGGATTTAAATGTCAATGTAGCCGATTGTGCATGCTTGAGGGGATAGTAGGATGGAATTTACTCGCAGGCGAGGAAGCTAGGCCGGTGTACTTGAACAAGGTATTGTGGACTGAGCAGTAAGGATATCAATATTGGAAGCATGGAATGAGCCCTTGTTAATGCTAGAGACTGCGAGCGAAGCTTTGTAGTTTTTTTTTTGTATTATTTTATCTTTATTTTATTTTTTACTCCATTTTTTATTTATTTTTTTTATCTATCTCCTATTTATCTTTTATCTATCTCCGATTTATCTTTTATTTATCTTTTATTTATCTTTTATTTATCTTTTATTTATCTTTTATTTATCTTTTATTTATCTTTTATTTATCTTTTATTTATCTTTTATTTATCTTTTATTTATCTTTTATTTATCTTTTATTTATCTTTTATTTATCTTTTATTTATCTTTTATTTATCTTTTATTTATCTTTTATTTATCTTTTATTTATCTTTTATTTATCTTTTATTTATCTTTTATTTATCTTTTATTTATCTTTTATTTATCTTTTATTTATCTTTTATTTATCTTTTATTTATCTTTTATTTATCTTTTATTTATCTTTTATAATTTATTTATCTTTTATTTATCTTTTGCTTGTCTTTTACCTACTAGTATTTTTTGCGTATCTTTTACTTATCTTTTACTTATCTTTCACTTATCTTTCACTTATCTTTCACTTATCTTTCACTTATCTTTCACTTATCTTTCACTTATCTTTCACTTATCTTTCACTTATCTTTCACTTATCTTTCACTTATCTTTCACTTATCTTTCACTTATTGTTGTTCAAAATGTGGAACATGAGATGGCTGTTTGAAAGAAGTTGGGCTCTCTGAAAAGTGAAGTGACTGGCTGCGAAAGCAAGGGCTGGCACCAGCGCACTGCCATTTCCATAGGTACGAAAAGAACTCGGCGGAGTTGGAGGCGGCGGGAATCGGACGCCGTTTGGGAACATTGTCCAACGTTCTGTGGCAATGAAGACCGCGTCTTGAACGAATTGCTCTCGAGACTACGTCCCTGAGGTGTCTTGATGAGATGGTCCCGAATAAATTTGTGATAGAAGAAGGTGACATGAGGTTGAAGTTCTCAATAGAACAAGTCTTGAGCTGAGTGAGAACGGTGCCAATCGAATTCTCATCTAGGATTTTTTTTGTGGATACGACACGAAGTATGATGATTGCGGACTATTTGAATGAATGCCAATTGAAATTCAATCGATGTTCTTATGTGATCGAGAGGCGTTACGTCGCAAAATATCGAGAGTGCGAGGCATGACTCCGCCGAGTAGGAGCAGCCAAGGTCACCGTGTGAGACACAGTAGGCTGATTTCACACTTGGCATTTGGAGTGACAGCCTTCTTGATCATCATTCATCAAGTATGATGACATGAACTGATCTCTTGAAGGTCATAGCTCGGTTCTCAAAGAATGGTTCTACTGTATATGAGCCTGATCTGCTTCGAAAGGCATATGCTTGCCACCAGTTTCACGAACGGCGCTATCATCGCTCAACTCGGCTCTTTTGACTTGAGGGCGATCAATTGGAGGGTTTTCATCAAATTTCTGGCTCACATCCGCGATCGGCTGTGACACAGTCGTCCAACATCTCTTCGGTATCGTGAGTAGAAGCCAGATGAGGGCAGCGCATAATCTTAGCGCGACGAATTTACTCACACCAATGCCTACAGCAGCTCCAACTGCGAGACCATGCGACGATTCATTGCCGCTCGTTGCTAACATGTTACTATTCGAGATGCCGCCGCTGGTCGGCGTGCTCGACCATGAAGTCAAGGCTGGAATAGCTGGGGCGCTGGTGGAGCTTTGCGAAGTAGATCGTCCAAACAGTATCCGCAGCCGTAACTCCAGCAGTTCCTGGAGCACATTCTTGCAGCTTGGATAGTCCAGTAGACTCGTGGAATAATCTGCCAAGTCAGAAGCAGGCTCACAGCGGGTGACAAGAAAGACTGTGCGACGATTCCTCAGCGATTGCTCAGCCTCCTTCCCTCTCCGCCCTGCGCCGTTCCTTGGCCTCCTTCTTCGCCTTTCGACTCTCTGCCATCCTCTTGTTCACCTTTCGCTCCATCTCGTGCTCCTCCTGCATAAGCTTCAACTCCTTCTCGATTCGCTCATTCTTTTCCTTGGCCTCCTGCCGCGCCCGGAGTCTTTCCTGCAGCAGTTCCTTATTCTCGTCAATCTCTCTCTGAATGGCAGCGCGCATATCCTCTGACGTGGTAACATGCCTATTTCTGTCAAAGAAGTCCTCTGCAAAGGTGTCCATGTCCGGGTCTAGCCCTGGCCCGCCTTCTAGATAGCCCCCAGGATGCGTGAGCTTAATTCCAGGCACAGGACTGGCGAATTGACGCCGTGGGTCATCGAGCGGCAGTGGCAGTTCCTCTTCGCTGATGCTAGGGAGGCTTTCAATAGATATGTCCTGGGCACGTACCGAAACGCCTTCCACTGGAATATCTGCACTGCCTTCTGGTATGACGCGTATGCCATCCTGATTTGATGGTCCGTTGAGAACAGGTTGCATGAGCGAATCTTCGAAGTCGGCATGGTATTTGAGATCGTGCGGTACATAGCTGGCATATGCGCCATTCGGTTGTTCTTCCTGCGGTGGGGTGGGAGCACCTGCTGTAGGCGCGTTGCCTGTGCTCATGCTCATGCTGAACGTGTATTTCTAGCGTCTGCTGCCGACTTCCGCTCCGGCTGGTCGAGTTGTGGGTAGAAGCGGGCTACAATGCTCGCACTCCAGCTAATGCCAAGGAGCAAGCAGAAGACGAAGAAGAAGACGGCGATCGAATATGTTTCCATCATTCGGCTGTCCCTCCTTTTCGTTTCGTTTCCCCGAAAGCTTTGGCTTTGGCGTGCTGCGGAGGAATGTGCGAACGGATGGTCCAAGCTTTCAGACCCCGTGGTATGCGACACGAAGGATCCACCATCACATGCACGACGCGACGACACGACACGAGACACGATCCCAAATGATTGCTAGCCACTACAGTACAGTCGCGTGCGAATGCCATCGTCGCCCTCAAACCAGCGCGATTAATACGGTTGCCCGCCAAAAATTCATAGCATCCTCGCCGCTCCTGAAGATCGAACCACGATAACAACTGTCAACCACCACCACCACCATGGCCTCGACGGCCATCACGTTACCGGCTGTCGACCAAGACTTCCGCTCCCTCAGTCGACAGCCGCCCAGCGACCCCGATATCCAAGCAACGCTCTCCGACTTCCTCGCCTACACCGAGCACTTTCCCTCGCATTTGACGCGTGCCCTGACCCTGGTCCACGAGCAACGCGCCAAAGCAGAAGCCGCCATCAGGTCTGTACATGAGAATGCCACAGCCTACAGCACGCTTCCCAGCATCAAGCATGCCCGTCCAGACCCTGTCAAGTTGCGACGCGACATCAGCCTGGCGCTGGAAGAGGCCGAATCCGCATGTCGCATGTCTGTTGAGGAAGCTGTGAGACTAGACGATGAATGTCAGAGAGAAGCCAAGCGTCTGGACATCGTGGCAGAGAAACTCAAGGCACAGCCAAAGCCACCATCACGCGATCCTACGCCAGAACAGCAGGCGCTCACCTCTCCGAATCTGAAGCGGGAGCGCCGCATGAGCACGCGAGCCGACGATGGCAAGATACCAGAGAAGCAGTCACGCCGTGTTCAGGATAAGGCAGCAAGTAAGCTGAAGGGGAGGAAGATCATGGTGCCGGGTGAGGTGCTGCCTCCGCCAGACCCTAATGCGCCTGCAAGTGAGTCGGTCTGGAGTTCACCACGACCTTCTCCACCATTACTAGAAGAGCCTGCTCCAGAGACCGTGGAAAGGAAGAAGGGCGCAACACCTCGCCCCAGATCACGTACTCCGAAGCCACCCAGATCGGAGAAGGAGAAGAAGGAAGGTGCACGTAAGGAGGATAGAGATGCGGACAGGAAGACTCCAAAGCCTCGCGGGCCACGCGCACCTGGTCAGCCTGGCACTAATGCTCATTCCTCTGTAGCGGGAATTAGCACTTCCAATGCCTTGTTAGCACTGAAAGAACCGCCTGCCGACGCTGCCAAAGGAAGCAAATGGTTGCCCTGGGTCAAGCTCACGGAATGGGAAATGGCCAAACTGCGTAAACGCATGAAGAAAAACGCAATCTGGGTACCGAGTCAAACGATGGTGCGACGAGAGCTGAAGAACCTGGGCCGAGGCATTGCCGGCAAAGAGGCAGCAAGAGCAGAGGCAGAGGCTGGTGGGACGGAGTTCGTGGATGAGCATAACGAGACCGATCCAACCAAAGTTGAAGTTAGTGGCGAAGAAGCGGCCCAGATGACTGCTATGCTGGGACCACCACAGGTCTATGCTGACGATGACGACGCCGATGCCGAGCTTATCAATCGAGGCATGAGACTGAATGAGGCAAAGAAGTTGAAGAGGCAGCGCTTGTTAGAAGAACAAGCACTCCAAGCACAGCTAGCTAGAGAGCAAGGTGTGGACCCTCCATCTGATGGCAAAACGAATACTGCCTCGCCCGAAGGCCAGAAGAAGCGCAAGCGAGAGATGACACCTGCAGCGGGCCCTTCGAAGACGGCAGATCCTGTTTCACCAGGAGCTCGACCTCAGCTGAAGAAAATTAAGATCAACCCACCTTCGCGCAGCGAGACTACTTCGAAGGTCCCTTTGGCTTCCGCTGGCGCGTCATACTCCCCCAAAGCGACATCTCAGCGCAATCGCCGGGCAGCGACGCCGCCAGCTACCAAGAAGCCCACTCTCACTCTGAAGCTCAGCAAGGCAGTCTCTGAGGAGCCTCCCAATAGGCGTGCGAGTCTTCGAAGGAGTAGCAATGCGAGTCTGCCAAGTGGCAGCCACCCCTCTACCAACACACCCACTTCGCCGAAGAGTGCTACTCTCAAAGACCAGTCTACGACTAAGAGCGGCCGACGCACGAGGCGACCTGCTCCAGGCGTCATCACTACTAATGATGACGAAAGCGCCAAGGTTGGTGTTTCGCAGCGCAAGGCTGCACCGCGAAAGCGCAGCCAGAATGTCAAGAAGGACTCTGCTGCTCCGCCAGATCCTCTCGTCACTCTTGAGCCGGACGAGGTGATCGATCCAGACGAGCCACGATACTGTATATGTGGCGATGTGAGCTGGGGCACTATGATTGCCTGCGATAATGACGACTGCGAGAAAGAATGGTTTCACCTAGATTGCGTGGCATTGACAGATCTGCCTCCTCGGCGGACAAAGTGGTACTGTCCAGACTGTCGCAAGAAGCTAAAGCAGGGCCAGAGTACGAATGGTCTGGTCGGTAGAAACGTTGGAACAGGAGCTCGGTAGGAAACACTTCGATGGCATTGATATTCTAATATCCAGACTGGAGCATGGAGAAGCATGCCAGAATTGCTTTGTAATGAATCACGGCTAGTGGATGATGGCACGGGTCCGTGGACACTGGCATGTGCATCGCACTGCATTAGCTCAGCTGTGACTTCACGGTGAGCAGGGCGCAGAAAGACACTTATGCATGATACCATGAGATTTTTGAAAGCTTCGCGTCATAATGTTCCGAGACGAGTACGCATGTAACTCCTCAAGACTTGCCCAGCATCAACTGACCAGCGTCGGTCTGGTCACCGGCAACTCTGCCTCAATTACGAGTAGCTAGATCTATCCGCTCTGCGTTTGATGCTCGATGCAAGAGTACGGTCTGTGACATGCCGAGCACGGCTGAAGCCGCTGCACAATAGAGTCACTTTGGTCTAATCATAGGGAGGTACATCACGTCGCTAGGTATAACTATGTTCATAGACGGCTCTAGGAATCGGAACAGCATAGCAATAGTGAGCGCTAGCTTACGCTTGCCTGTTAACAAGATCCTGTATTCAAAGGGACCAGCGTGATCCTAAGAAGAGCTGACGTCGGGGTTCAGCTGCACGGGACCAGCCGCCCGCCCGGGGTGCCGCCGGGGGGGGGGGCGGTCAAGATAATCTCAAGCCATAAATCTCAGGCTGATGCATGACTTCGCTCCTCATGCCCAATCCATGCGGCGATAGTATCGCCGATTGCGTGCTGAAGACATTCGAGGCATTGCCGGCAAAATCCAAGCCTCGTGTACAAGAGAATGGCCGCCGTGAGTGGGTACCTCTGGCTGGCATTGTGCTCAGTAAAGGTGACCGCGATCTTCAGATGCTATGGCTACGGCTACGGCTACGGCTACTGTCGCAGTACTAATCGTAGCTAAGGCCATGACAGTACACAGTCTCTCACCTGCGCCTCTTTAGCGACTGGTATGAAATGCTTACCGCAAGACAAAATCGCGCTTGCGAATGGCAATATTCTCCACGACTCTCACGCCGAGATACTTGCGATACGTAGCTTCAATCGCTTCCTTCTTGACGAGTGTGCGGAGCTCGCGAGAAATGGCTTCGGCACTGAGCATACTAGTGCCTGGATAAAATGGCGCTGCGAAGGAGAGAAACAAGCACAACATCAACTACCTTTCGCACTCCAGGAAGATGTCAAGATCCATATGTACACTTCTCAAACTCCTTGCGGTGACGCGAGTATGGAGCTCACAATGTCATCCCAAGAGGATTCTACGCCTTGGGCTGTAAGACAGGAGGGTGAGATGCTGGGTAGAGGTAATTTTGACCAGCTTGGTGTTGTGAGGAGAAAGCCGGCACGACCTGATGCGCCGCAGACATTGAGTAAGAGCTGTTCGGATAAGTTGGCCTTGAAGGAATGTACAGGATTATTGAGCGGGGTCGTGAGCTGTCTAATAGATGTGAGGGGAACATGGTTGAGTACGCTGGTCGTGCCGAACGAAGAGTGGAAGTTGGGAAAGGTAGGTATGGAGAGGGCTTGGGGTAGGAATGGTCAGTCAAGAGAAACATTCATGATGTTCAAAACTGGTCACTGACACCTGATAGGTCGAATGGCGCCGCTTGCCGCGAACGAGGTCCAAGAAAGATGGCAACGGCGTGGCTATCAATTTCGCCCATTCGGAATACGAACTACATCTCGGATCTTCACCTTCGCCAAGCCTCTCAACTCTGACCCAAATGTGTTACCAAGCAACCTCGCTGCTCTATGGACCCCACTCAGGCAAGAGACGCTTATCAATGGTGTTCTGCAAGGTCGCAAGCAACTCGATCCCAAAGGTGCAAGTTGCGTGAGCAGAAGGCTGCTTTGGAAGAGTGCTCTGGACGTAGCACTCATGGTCGGCGTGAGTGTCCTGGGCAAGAGGACTTATGCTGAAATGAAAAGTAGTCATGAGTTGGAGGTGAGGGAGAGCATCAAGAAAGATGTTGTAGAGTTAGCTTTGAAGCCTTGGGTCAAGAACGAGGGCGATGAAGACTTCGCATTATGAAATGCTATGGAAACGGCCACGAAGCACAAGTAAACACGTAGCTCCGCCTCGAGAAGCTGCTAAATGGGAGATCTTCTGCTCTTCAGCCACGGAGTCCATGTCCGTTCCCGCAAGCAACACCGCCAGAAGAAAGCGTTGATACAAGCTGTGAACACTTTCTGGAAAATATCTTATCAAGCGCAAAGCACGGCCTTGCTGAGTGTCATTGCAAGAAGCGTTGAGACAATTCGAGACATTCGACAGCCTTGACTTCACAGTACACGTGCTGCACTCCTGAGCACCTCAAATGAGCAACAGGGCACACTCGCGAACTTGATCACGACATTCCGGGTATCCGCCACTATTGTGCAATCATTTTGTCACACACCGTACTTGGCAGAAAACGTGAGAGCACGCGGTCTCGCAAGATATGTCAAGAGTGTCAATGCAGATGGAGCAATCATGACTTGATTGCTGAATTCGGCGTGCCCACACGCGGCGTTTGTGTTCGCGAGCCGGCACTACGACAACAACGAGAGACCACAAGGAACTAGCGCATCTCGATTTGAACAATGTCTAAAACGATTATTTCACGAAGGAACCAAAAGATACCAGCAAGGCATCGTTCCACGCTTTACTCACACCTTCTGGAACAACGCCAAGTCCTTCACCCATAAAGGCAACTCATGACACTTAATTACGGACTAAGAACCCCTCTCGCGGGCCTCTATCTCAATTGAGATCTTCTTTTCATCAAATCAGGCCTATCCATCGCCAAATTGATCTCCAGATCCTACGTTCTGGATCGATGGCGAGCTGTTGACTGCATCTTCTTGTGTCTTGCGCTGTTGTCTCGGAGATTGACTGAACCGGCTCGACTTCCTCCGGGGCCTCTTGTATAACGACCTCGTCTGCAAAGATATGGGCCTGAGCTTGCACATTGCCTTCGTTCTTGGTATCATCGCTGTCATCACCGTCACCGTCCTCGTCCTCGTCCTCGTCCTCGTCAGTCTCGCTGTCCAGGGGGACCAACCAGTCAGTTTCGGTATCCGAATCATATGAAGACGAGATGCTGGCAGATCTCGCTGGAGATGATGCTCGACTGCCCCCGAATGTGGCAGAAGATGCCTGGCTCAGATCCTCAACGCTACTATCAGAGAGCTGGAGGTTGGGATTGTCGACATCTAGTGGCTGCCGTGCAGTTTGAACAATGTCCAAGGTAACGGACTCCCAATCTTCGTTATCGTCATCTCCATCGTCATATTCCTCATCACTGGAGGTCTCAGGCGTAGCAGATCGACTTCGCATCACCGCTGCCATAATGATTTCATACCAGCGTTCCACGATTGTCTCTGCTTGAGCTGGGTGGTTATGTTTACGATTCTTGCAAATCGCCATCGGAACAACAAGTCTTAGCTGAACCATCAAATCATTTGTGCAGTTGGCAACTTCCGGCAGAGTGTCCAGGATGCGTCTGGTTGCTGTTTTATCTGAATTTGCGATCGGATTTCAACATCGGCGACCTTTCGATGGAGCGTAACCGACGCAAGTGAAGGCGAATGCATCGGCGTTCATGATCCCGAGCAATTCCCAGGCTGACCATTCGTTCACGGCCGACGAATTGTTTAATGACATGACTTCTGATTGGATTAATCGATTACAGTCGCACGCGGAGTGATCACTCATTAGCATTAGCAGCCATATATATGTGAGTTGCGGCACAGATTTCTGCCAACTCAGCCACCGCCAGGTTCGAAGTTTACGGACGACAGGCGGCATTCAAGGCATGGACGTAGCACACGAAGCCTCCAGCACCGCCTCTCATGGTATGCTTGCTGTCTGCCCTGGAGCATCTACGTGTCAGCTCAACATTTTCACAGGCTGGGAGACGTCGTCAATAAATGTGAGGGCCTTGGAAGCACCCTGCGAAGCAAAACGGTGTTTCAGACGGTCATTGCTTTGCCAATTCCATCGTCTGCTGCGATTCACTGTCGAGTCTATTCGTGAACTTCATGCGCATCAAGGACCAGGAGTAAAGGTCTTAAGAAGCAAGAGTCTTGGGTGCGCAGTCTGACCCAATGTGCAAAAGTCTCCAAGCGCCGGCCTGTGCCTCGCTGCTGCATGTGCCAAGACTTGCATCGGCCAGTAAGTTGACAAGTGTCGACAGGGAAGACAGGCTATCAGGCTATCTATCGGTGAGTTCTTGCAGACCATTAACTATGATTAGACAGTGTCTATTTCTTCCACTGTGCTCAGCCACTTTTCATCAAAGAGGCTGACCCAGCTCCCTCAGCGGGACCAGAATTCTTGCTTGGCGGGACTTTCTTCGCCATCCAGCTGCGGTCGTTACCTTCGCTCTCTGGTGATACTCTGGCCTCCTCATTTCCGGTGATGATGGTGCAGGAATTCGACTCGCTTCGGCAATCCCTCCTCAGCGTCGCACAGCGTTGCCCAGTCCGGGGTCTCCTGATCTCGTAAATTCACCAGCGACAGTAAATTCGACAGCAGACAGCCACCACCGGGTGAGCCGTCTTGACATCGTGGTATCGGTACTATTCCATCATTGATGCTGAGTCGGACGTAAGGCTCGTACATCTGCTCTTCGCAATGTTCATGATTGGGGTAAAGCTCGTTGGTCCAGCATTGGGGCGGCGATGATGGGCAGACATAGCGCTCGAGGACGACGCGGGCTCCCATAGGCTATAAAGTGTCAGCGGGCATCATAATCAGAGAAACCACGTTTACCCACCGTCACATCTGACAAGCGCCAAGTACGATCATGCTTTACACGATCGATTGGAAGGTCTTCTGGCTCTTCAAAGAGTTGTAACGCGCTTAGGAGATTGAGAATATCGCCGTCATGATTGCTAGAAGTGTCGATCAGTTCCAGGGCTCTTTCTCTTCGCGCAGTAACCCAGGCACTCACAAAGAGAAGAATAGATTTCCAGCCTCTGAACCTCGTAGCATGAGCTCGGCGGTCGCCTTGAGCCAGAGCATGCCTCCAGGTGCAGCAAACGGATTTCCAGGACCGGCACGGTAGTAGTGGAGTAGATCGCGAGCGTATTCGAAGCTCTCCCACTCATCACGAGCAAAGACATCGCACCACTTTGAGTCGCCTTTGACCAACGTTTCGAAAGCACAATACTCCTGCATGGAGTAGATTTCCGATTCATCAAACAAGAAACCTGGGCTGTCCGCCGCGAATCGACCTCTGATCTTTAGCAGATAGCTGGACCGGAATGCTTTCAACTGTCTATTTCCGAATTCACGACCTCGTTCATTGCGGTTCTTGATCCAGTTTGGACAAGCTCGACCTGGAGTCAGTGTGTTTGCCCCTTGATCCACACTCTCTGGGATGATGTGCAACGACGCTGTGTCGTTCCACTCCAGGCCGAAGAAACCTGCGGCAAAGTAACGAGCTGTGTCGATGCATCTGGGCGAGTCGCTAGCCCAGAATGATGTCTGCCGCTGGTCGAGAGCACGATCGAGAAGAGCTTTATACCTTGTTCTAAAGGTAGTGCCTGCCTTGAAAGCTTGGAGTGTGCCCGCGAAAGGGCCAGTCGATGTGAGCTGTTCGAATTGCTCGTTGGGGAACGGAGCGTAGAAATCCGCTCTACTGGCTGCAGCTATGGCTTCGGGCAGTGTCTCATTGGTGTTCTGGAGACGGTGGTAAAGTTCGAGCATGCCTTGGATGAATTGGTCAGCATCTTACTGATAGTTCAGTTGACACTCGGCGACAGCCTACGACATACGGATACCAGAAAGCATTGTGGGATCTGCCTCGTTGATTAGCAGCGGGTTATCAATGATCATGATGTTTGCAGCACATGCATCGTTCGGCGTGCCTTGACATCATGTGAACTTGGTCAACGACACAGCCTGGAGGGACATCGTTGACGTCTGTTCCGGCGCCGAAAGTCTGCGCTTTCCATGGCGAAATGCCGCCAAAATGATTTCGCACATGCGATTCGCTTCTGAGCAAAGTCAGCAATAGCTTCACGCAGGCGTTGAAGGCCGTACCTCGAACCAGCACCCGGTTTGCTTGCAGGAAGTCTCAATGACGAAGCATCGAAGGGCGAAAATAAGACCGCCAAAGCGCCGATCAAGGCTGATACCAGGGCAAGCAGCCAGGCCATCTCCTGTTGCAACAGCGAGAGCTTCAGAATCTCAGGAAGCGAAGCGGGAAGGAGAAAAGAAAAGAGAGCGACTTATGAGGCACATATCAGTGTGCATTCACAGCTCAATGCGGCGACAATCCCATGTCCAGCGACCGGAGCATTCTCATCCATCGTGTGTGGTGAAGAGAGAGAGAGAGAGCGAGAGCGAGCGAAGGGTTGAAGTTGCAACGCACAACGTGATCGGCAAGGATATTGCCAAATCGGGTATAGCGTTCACGACCCCTTTCTTGTCTGCAGGGCGAAGCACTTCTAGCAGGGTCATGAAAACATCTCCAGCCATGTCGGGAACGCTTCTGAGCTGAGACCACCGCAAACCCAACGTTCCATACCTTCTCGCCGAAAGTAAGCAGCGTGCTCTACGACGTTCGGAAGCCCAAGCACTACGACAAGGGACAATGACATTGTCCACCAGTCTTTCATTCTCATTGTCCCCTCGGCCTTCTGATAAAGGATCTTTCAACCCACTCAAAGAAATCTTGGTGGGCCAGGACAATGGTAGGCGGATCGAAATCTCCAACGGCTGTATAAATGTCGAGAAGGACTCTTCAGAGATGGGCCAGAGTCGTATCATCAGCATCTCACAGATCTTACAGGAAGCAGGACTTCCCTCCAAGCTCTGTCTGAGAAGAAGGTGATTGACGCCCGGACTTCAAAGCCACATCGCAATTGACACATATCATATACGGCAGTTGTGGCCTCAGACGATCTGATCGCGGCTCTCAAACATCCCTCGCACGGTATGTCGAAGTCGAATTTCTCTCAAGCGCCTCTGATGGCGCTCAGGACCGGCCTCGTGAGCATCGCAACTGGTTTGCGAACAGCTTCGAAATCCAACCTCGACATCGTCGATCTCACAACCTCGATTGTCTGGAGGAACGCGGTCTCCGTCATCCGACAAACCAGCCCTCTGGCCGCCTTCATTATCAACACATTCGGCCCCTTCGCTGTACTCGCGTTTGGCTTTTACAAATATGTCTTCAAAGGCATGAACGTCATTGCCGCTCTGTACAGTCTGTACTCTCGCTTCTTTGCCAGCATCAAGGTCCCCCCATCCCATTATTTGAACAACCAAGTCACCTGTTGGCTGGCGAAGCGCAGTACTGGGCCTGCTGACAGTCGCACATTGACCTTGAATAGCACACGTTGCTACGATCCAAATGCAAGTGCCAGCGATCGAAACGCTTTGAAATATCTATCGGCTAAGATGTCCTCATGGTATAAGTTCGATGGTCGCTGGTTCAGATTCGATCGCGCACAGCCTCAACTGGAGTGCCTTCCGGATAACCAGTCCAATCGAAAAATACTTTCGACCATAGAGCCAGAGATCACTATCTCCTGCTTCTCGATGTCAGGGAGTACTCAGCCTATCAAAGATCTCCTGAAGCACATTCAAGACTCCTTCAAGCCAGAAGCACAGACGCTGATCTTCCGGGTCGCCAAAAATGGGAATGGTTGGAGTGATCCAGTTTTCCGAGCCGCCCGCAGCATGGACTCCTTGACCATGGAACCTGCAAAGAAAGCAGACATCATTGGCGATATTGCCACTTACCTCGATCCTAAGTCCAAAGCATACTATCTCGACCGTGGCATACCATACCGCCGAGGTTATCTGCTTTTTGGTCCACCAGGAACGGGAAAGACTTCTTTCTCTACTGCACTCGCTGGCCACTTCGACTTACCGCTCTATGTATTGTCGTTCACCAATCCGAAGCTTACCGACAGTCTTCTCGATTCACTCTTCGAGGACCTTCCGCCACGTTCTATTATCGTGATGGAGGACGTCGATAGCGCAGGAATTCGGCGAGAGGTCATGACCGACACAAGCAAATCCGAGGACAAGAAGGAAGGTCAAGGCCAACTGACACTCAGTGGCTTGCTAAATGCGATCGACGGTCCGGCCTCCGTTGAGGGTCGTGTCCTGATACTGACATCTAACAGCCCAGATTCTCTGGATCCCGCACTTATCAGACCCGGTCGATGCGATAAAAAGATCCTGATGGGCCATGCTTCGAGACAAGTCGCAGCACTTCTGTTCAAGAAGACATTCACGAATGTCGATGGCAAGCCTGCTGACGGCATTGACAACTTGGACACTTTGTCTGAGACTTTCGCAGCAAATATTCCCGACGACTCTCTCACTCCGGCCGAGATACAGAACTTCTTACTGACACATCGCGACTCTCCTCTCAAGGCGATCGAACTAGCTGGAGAGTGGAGCGCTGGTGTACTCGCGCTTAAGGCTAATGGTTCCAATGTTGCAGCATTCAGTGGCAATATCGAACCATCTTCCGAATCAGGAGTACTTCCAGTTAGCAGCGATGCCAGCTAAGGTGCCAAAGCCACCGACAATGGTGCCGACTCCGACAATGTTGGTAAGTGCGAACAGTGACCGGCCTGATACGATGACATGGATAGGCTGCGAAGCTTGACAAGACTGCATCGATATTGACCGCATAGGTAAGTATACGAATTCGAAATTCCAGAATCTTTCACATTCTCCGCTTCTGTCTCTTCCTTCTTCTTGATAATGATTCTCCGCGTAACGTCAGCTTGCCAATCACATACCGGAAGCTCTAACATCTGTCAGCATTTACTGTGTTCTTGGCCTTTTCTGGCCAAGTATAATATCTCCCGGCTCTCCAAGACCAGCGCCAAGCTGAAGCTTTCGGGCACCGATGGAGCACATGTCGCACAAGACCTGCTTGTCGTGCTCACCGCCCATGACGTGTCAACAAAGATAGGGAATTTGGGGGGGGAATCGAAAAAGATTGTTGCGCACTGTGAGCTGCTAGCTTCTTCAGAACCCAGGACTTGTGATGTTGTAGCGGGGGCGAGTGCGTATGCAGAGTGAAGTCAAGCAGCCCTCGTCACAGTCAGTGTTGTTGCATCAGATGCAGGCCAGAAGTGAGGTTGAGCAGGGCGAGTCATCGCCATACCCCGCGCTAAGCTCAATTTTGCAGTCCGTGCGTGCCACCCACAAGCCCTCAAATAGCAGAAATCTCGCGCCAACCAACGACTTCCGGCTCTTCGTCAACATACCACGAATCAAGTATTCGTATCTGTGTAAGAACGCATCGTCTGCCATCCACCGCAGCACTGCGATCACTGACCATTCATTGCAGTAATCTCTCTCCCTTCAAGGACTTTCCACACTACCACACACCAGCCTTCACCAGTACCGCAGCCATGGGGTATGACTACCCTCAACCGCCCGCATCAACGAAAGAGCAGTGACTGACAGCGGCGCAGTAAGGAGAAGACTCATATCAATGTCGTCGTTATCGGCCACGTCGACTCCGGCAAGTCGACCACCACCGGACGTAAGCGCTCTCCAAATTGCGACCATGCGACGACGGACAATGAGCTCACAATAAGACAGACTTGATCTACAAGTGCGGTGGTATCGACAAGCGTACCATCGAGAAGTTTGAGAAGGTAAGCTATCGCCATCACTTTCTGGCAGCCGCCGCTCGACCACAACACCTTTTTCCCGCTCTGATCATCGTTGCGCTGGCGACGAGGGGCAAAATTTGGTGGGATGCGAGAATTTCGACTCGGCTCCACAGCCAATGACGTCATCTCAAGCCCCAAGTCCATTTTCCTCCAACCCTTTGGGCATCGACAGCAACGTCATTCTCTGAGCGATGGCATTGACTGCGGTGTCTCTGACGTCATGAACAATTTGCTGACGACATGCATTCCAGGAAGCCGCCGAGCTCGGCAAGGGTTCCTTCAAGTACGCTTGGGTGCTCGACAAGCTGAAGGCCGAGCGTGAGCGTGGTATCACCATTGATATCGCCCTCTGGAAGTTCGAGACTCCGAAATACTACGGCTAGTAATTTCCGGTCCTCTCAACGCCCAAACCCCATACTGACCTTTCTGCTTGTATAGTCACCGTCATTGACGCCCCAGGTCACCGTGATTTCATCAAGAACATGATCACTGGTACCTCCCAGGCCGACTGCGCTATTCTCATCATTGCTGCCGGTACTGGTGAGTTCGAGGCTGGTATCTCCAAGGATGGCCAGACTCGTGAGCACGCTCTGCTCGCCTACACTCTTGGTGTCAAGCAGCTCATCGTCGCCATCAACAAGATGGACACCACCAAGTGGTCTGAGGACCGTTACAACGAGATCATCAAGGAGACGTCCAACTTCATCAAGAAGGTCGGCTACAACCCAAAGACCGTCCCATTCGTCCCCATCTCTGGTTTCAACGGTGACAACATGATCGATGCCTCCCCCAACTGCCCATGGTACAAGGGCTGGGAGAAGGAGACCAAGACCAAGTCTACCGGTAAGACTCTCCTCGAGGCCATCGACAGCATCGACCCACCATCGCGTCCATCCGACAAGCCACTCCGTCTCCCACTTCAGGATGTCTACAAGATTGGTGGTATTGGCACGGTTCCAGTCGGTCGTGTCGAGACCGGTGTCATCAAGGCCGGTATGGTCGTCACCTTCGCCCCAGCTGGTGTCACCACTGAAGTCAAGTCCGTCGAGATGCACCACGAGCAGCTCTCCGAGGGTCTCCCAGGCGACAACGTCGGTTTCAACGTCAAGAACGTCTCCGTCAAGGAGATCCGTCGTGGAAACGTCGCTGGTGACTCCAAGAACGACCCACCAAAGGGCTGCGAGTCTTTCAACGCCCAGGTCATCGTCCTCAACCACCCAGGTCAGGTCGGTGCCGGTTACGCTCCAGTCCTCGACTGCCACACCGCCCACATTGCCTGCAAGTTCTCCGAGCTCCTCGAGAAGATCGACCGTCGTTCTGGCAAGTCCATCGAAGCCTCTCCAAAGTTCATCAAGTCTGGCGACGCTGCCATCGTCAAGATGATTCCATCCAAGCCCATGTGTGTTGAGGCCTTCACCGAGTACCCACCACTCGGTCGCTTTGCTGTCCGTGATATGCGCCAGACAGTAGCAGTTGGGTATCAAAAAATTTTTATCCTCCCATCAAGACAAGGGCTAACCTTTTCGCAGCGTTATCAAGAGCGTTCAGAAATCGGACAAGGGTAAGCTACTCTCCTGTTCTAATCCCAGAATTCTGCTAACTTTTCCATCAGGTGGTGCCGGCAAGGTCACCAAGGCCGCCCAGAAGGCGTCCAAGAAGTAAACGACTTCTTCACGACACAGCACTCTGGCTTTTCTTCACGATGCATGAAATGGTGTGATGGGTCTTGGGGTTGCTCACGGCGACCTATTCCGATTCAGATAGCGTGGTGGAATGAAAGTTTCAATACCCTCTATCTTCTCTCGTCTTCTCTGGCCGCCTCAATGGAGCTTTATTTCTCTCATTGCTCATGTAAATTTTCTCTGTTGACGGGTCGGCTCTCATGCAGCAGATTCCCTAAGCTGACCACATCGTGCAATTGCACTCCCCCAACGCGCCGATTCAGCTCCACTTCCGCCGTCACGTGCACTTCGCGCATCTCGCATTTCCACACCTGACAAGTCTTGCGACTCATCATCAACCTTTCCTTTCAACAACATCGACCATAGTCACCCATCATCAGCTGCGAAGACATACCATATCACGTCACTATCATCAACTTCTTCACACATTCCGCGCCTCAACTTTGCGGCAACATGATGGAGCCAGTAAGTGCTGCGCCTAACCTTGGTCTTTCGCCTATAAGTCATGAACTGACCAATTAAACAGCCTTCAAAACGGCGCAAGCTCAATCCACAAGTCGCCAACAGTCTCTCTGGGCTGACCGGCGAATTGCAAAACGATGTATATATACTCAAACCCTGGTCTTTGGACATTGTCTATTTCAACATCTTCTCCTCGCTGATTGGGAACGTGAGCAAGGCAACCCTGTCGCCACCTACCGCATTGCGGACGGCGGCCTCGAGCTCGACTATTCCATCTTCCGTACGCCAGATTACATCGAGACGTGGGAGAATCCTGACAACGTGCACGATCTTCCCGACTACAACAATCCAGCCGCTGAACGCCGCCTCGTTCGATCGTGCGCGCGTAGAGCCCTTACCGGCGACGGCCGCCTTCTAGACTTCTTGTCGTTGGATACGAAGTTCGGAGCCATTTTCCCGCGATTGGCAACGTTCTGGTGCGCGTATCTGCACAACGCACCAAAGCCTATTGACGACTGGCCTTCGACTGACTACCGGTTTTTGATGCGAACTGCTGCTTGCAGAGTTTGCACGTGTGGGCGGTCGAGAGATATGGGCGTATACCCGAGGGAATCTTGACCTCTTGAGGGCGTTCAGTCGCGAGCGAGAGACGCGTTCCGATTCCACCGAAATAGGCGTCATATTCAGACTGATACGGGTCTGAACAATAGGCATCCTCGGATAGGCACGGAGCGCATCGTCGAACCGGGCGTCACCGCCACCATAGGGATCGCTCCTCGTCCCAGTCTGCTTCCAAGGAACTGCTTGACTACCGCCATAGACCCAGCCAGATTCGATTGATCGAGTGTTCTTGGCTGACTATGGTCTGGTCCTAGGTGTTCGCACTTCCCGCAGCTCACCAGGACGTTGTTCATGCACTGTCCTTCGAGCGCTCCGTATCTTAGTTGTGTGTCAGACACCCTGGCTTTCCACTCACGGCCTTCTATCGTCGCGGAGAGCGGAGTGGCCTTCGTGACTTTCAACGGTGCAGTTTGGAACGATGGGCTCTCAGTGGACGTCCCCTCTGGGCCACATCTGAACAGTACGCCTCATTGACGAGATGATATTGCGAAGTCGCGGGACATTTCTGCGTTCTGCGCCGAGCAGCTCCGCGTGCGATACTACATCTACGCTCGTTACCTCGCAGACCGACGCTATTAGGTGCCAGGCCTACGCGGAGCGGCCAAGGAACAAAGCAGCCTGATAATACGGCAGACTCCCGTCGCCTCCAGCAGCTCAATGATGTCAATCGTTCTCGCGAGGGTTTCAGTTGTGGTTTAAGCAGGCTTCCTGCGGCAGCTCTGCGTACGGCCCTATAGCTACGCTCGTCACCTCGCAGACCAACGCTGTAGACTGCTGGACCTACGCGGAGCGGCTGAAGAACACAGCAGAGTCGCTGCTCTGCTTAATGTCGTCACAGAATACGACACATACGGCCTGGAAGGCCACTTGAACTATGGGAATGGAGTCCACGACTCTAATGATAGCCAATGGCCTGCAAGAACTCACCGATAGCCTGTCTTCCCTGTCGACAGTTGTCAGTTCACTGGCCGATGTAAGTCTTAGCACATGCAGCAGTGAGGCACAGGCCGCGCTGCATTTATCTCCAACGCCGGCTCATTGCCTGGTCTGATAGCTTGCCACGCATACTTGTCCACTCATTCACGGCTTTCGGTCCTCGCTCTAGATCAGCCTTAGCTGCCCACAGCGGCAAGAAACTGCCGAAATCCTCCAACAGGCGCTCTTCCCGGTCTGCGTCCAGGAGTCTCTCACCAATTACTGCCTGCTGCAGCCAGGTGACAGCGTCTGCAGGGAGGTCTTCATGTCGAGATATACCCGTCATAGAAGAGTATACTGGCACACACAGTCTACCCAACCGAATAGCAGTATCCGGCAACGCACGCCGCACGTCGATGCTCAGGCGAAGCCATATCCGATCTTGAACTTCCGGTGCAACTCGTCCATATCCACGACGCTGGAGAGGGCTGAGAACGACGTGGCTAATATGGAGATGCTTCAATTGTGTGAATTTAGCAATGAAAGCCGCAAGATCTGGCGAGTTTGTTGCAATATTCTTCAAGTTTAGAGTGAGAATAGTGTCTGATGCACTGATCCAGCAGTCTAGTCCTTCTTGGAGCCATCTCGAATTCCGTGGCAGGAGGCTCATTTTCTCGGCACTCGCTAGCGTTAGGCGCTGAAGGGCTGTTCTTCCCATAGCCTCCTGGGTGAAGTAGGAAGAGCCATACACCTTCAATAGTGCGGGAGAGACCAGTACCCCGCCAGCCCAGCAGATCTTGAGAGTGACATCCTGGAATACCAGGGGAGCGAGAACCTTGCGAAGCTGCTTGCATGTGACACTGCTGGTGATGACGCTCTGCTTGCTCGGATATAAGTCCTCGTCCCGATTCCAGTCCAGGTATCCGAAGATCTGATCCAGTAGTTCGGTGGGCAGGCCTAGAAGTGACATGTCTAGTGGACCACACCCAAGGGCGCAGAGCATAAGAGGATCGGATGCTGGGCTGTCTCGCAGGACCCAGACGTAAATTGCAAAGAAAAGGCGCCTGGGGTGGCGGACCTACATCCTGCAGCTCATCCAATCAAAGTCGAGCAGCGGCGCCACAGCATTGTCTCGCTGCCTTGTGTACATTTTCTGCTACTATATCGAGGAACGCTTCGGCATCTTGGACCTCACAGGCACGTCGTGAAGTTGAATTGGCAATCACGGACCCAACCGCCTGCACAGGTGCCATTCCATTGCCGTTCCTTGTTCGGGTTTATGCCGAGGGGAAGCGCATACATCATGTTCTTGAACCGAGATGCTTGACATGCACGTCAAGAGAAAGAACGGACGTACGTACGGACGACATCAAGACTCCAGAAGTAACTTCTGAGGGTAAGAAATGTGCGAGATACTGCTCAAGTCGGTCAGTTCGTCTCTCATAAATAGATCCTAGCATAGCTAGCTAGCAGCGTAATTCCATCTATGTTCAAGCGCCCATAGTCTCATCACACAAAAACACCCCAAATTCCGAGCTCATAGATCATTACGTTAAGGAGACGCAGCGCTGTCACCCCAGCCTAAAACCAAAACACATACGCATCCAAATCGCAGATCCGCTAGCAGTAGTCTCGAACAGTTCCATTCCAGATCCAAATGGGTGATGATGGTGATGATGAGAAAGAGCCACCAAAACAAGGTATGTACAAACCAGTATTGGGATCATCTGCGTGGTTGCGCAAATATCCACGCACTCTATCGGGGGGCTTCGTGTATCGGGTATCGAGCAAGAAACAGAGAAGGGCCGGATATCATTCTAAATGGGCGCTCGGAGAGCGCGGTCGTCAAATAAGAGGATTCCCAGTAGTAAAGCGCTGACGAGAATTCATCAAGGTCGTGGTCCAGCATTTAGGTGGCAGGAAAGACGATAGACGTGGGGTTCGAGGAGCTTACAAGCTCATGGTGAGCCACTCCCACTCCTGTGGTCCTGTCATCATGGACGGCGGGATTCCAGGCGGTGGTCCGTTCGATTGTCCGTTTCCTGCTTGATTTCCTACAGGGCCGCCACCTGCAGGAACCATCGGAGCGTGCATCGAGGGCACGTTTGGTTTCATGGCAGTGGTGTTAGAAGCAAATTGAGGAGTTTGCGAGTCATCTCTGTATGCTTTGCTTCCAGGATTGCTGATCACATCGTCTGCGTCCATCATTTCAGCGTCTCCCTGATTCAGTGTATTGCTGGCGCGGCTCTGCCTTCGTGCGCGCCTTGGTGCAACTTGTCGAGTTGGTGCGCTCTGTGGTGCTTGTGTCACAGGCTTAGGTGGACCAGGTGCGATAGGCACGACCGTCTTGACGGGCTTCTCAGCTGGTCCAGAGCTGGTGGGTGTGTTGGCAGGAGAGCCTCCTCCAGACTTAGGCGAATCCGACTCGTTCGCAACGTTCTTGCCCGACGATGCTTGACCCGAGCCAGGTTGCGCGACAGAGTTCTTCCGACTGGCAGCTTTCTTCGATCTCGAGGTACCGACGGGGACAGAGTTGCCACTTCCTCGATTTCGCTTCTTGATAACATCTGTCTTCAGACTAAGCGGTCTCACGACGCCGTGCAGCTTCAGAAAAAGACCACACGCGTTGCACAACGGATGTCCTTCCGGATTCCTTCGCCATAGAGGTGTAGTCTGCGTAAAGCAATTGGTGCACGTGGTTGGTACCCCGCTGTTGTCGCCGCCAAGTCTGGGACTGCCAGGTCGTGAAGGAACGGCAGAGTTGAAGCCAGACTCGGGCGGTGACGAAGGGGATGACTGTGTCCGGATGGAGAACATGCCAGTCGCCATACCCACAGTGTTTGGTGTGGATGTCGTGCGAGGTATTTTGCGAGTTCTTGGATCGCCTCCTCGATTGCGGATCTCGCTCACTGAAGCCGCCGACCCATGTCCTCTGTTTATTCCGCCGTGGTCCCAGCCTTGCGGTGACGGAACCATTTCAGCACCTCCGATCTGCACGCCCTTCCTGCTCGAACCACCAAATCGCGCACTCGACGAGCCAAACTGGTTTGACATGTGATAGCTACCGTGCAAATCAAAATTTGCGTCTTCAGGCGAGAGACCGTGCGGCATCATGAAGTTGCCATCCGAGAACGTTTGGTCGTCGTCTTCCTCGTCACCATCTCCACCGAATGAGAACATGCCCTCAGGTCTAGACATGGGCATACTTGAAGGCTGGAAGTGTTGATGCATGATATTAGTAGTATCCAGATGGCCAGGCATTTGGAAGGTAGGTTGCTGAAACCCGTGTGACGGTGCACTTGCTGAGATTGCGCTAAACATGGAGTCGCTGCTGGGATTGAACATAAACTGCGGCTGTGAATTATTATGTTGGGCTTGCTGATGGTGCTGCTGGAATGTCGGGACTGAGTGAGTGGGATGCAGTTGGTTGCCAAAGAACATCTGCTCGCCTTCTGGGATGGGCTGTGGAGTGGAGGCGGTAGACGGATATGCGGAACCAGAAGGTGACTGAAAAGTTGATGCACTCTGCGGTGGTGGCATAGCTGTGCTGTAGAGATGATTGAAGCCTCTCGTAGACATCATGGGCGAGCCTACAGGAGAGAATGTGAAGTTCTGCGTCATTGGTCCGGCCGAATCCAAAATCGGGTCATTGTCGAGGTTGAAGGTGTCCAGGTCGAAGGGTATGGGTGGGTGCTGTGCTTGGGGAGCAGCAGTGACGTGCGAGTCAAGAGAGTAATCATGAAGGCCAGTAGCATGGTCGCAAGCCTCCATGGTGCTATTGTTGACCGGCGGCACTTGCGGGGATGCTTCAGCTCGTCGCTTGGGAGGCTAGCAAAGTTAGTATGGTATAGTATATGCGAAGACGATTTGACACACCCTTCGCTCGTCAATGCTTGTCTTACGCACGTGCTTCTGTACGTATCCGAACTCAAAGTGCTGGCGGTCCTGGGCCAGCGGTGGGACGGAGGGTGCAGACGCTCGCGCAAGGGACAACTCCTCGGCCTGAATGCGCTGGTGCTGCTTGATCGGAATGGCGGAGAGAGAAGTGGATGTGGAGGAGGGCTCTGCTTCGGCCAGACTTCCTGATGGTGTGGGTGATACGCCTGCGGGTGTACCTATCGATGATGGGACGAGGAATTCGTCCAGGTTCATGGGATCTTCATGCGCAGTCTTGGACTGGTTTTGGCTCGCTTGCTCAGAGGATTTGCGAAGCTGCGCAATACCACTGGGCGCGTTTTGAGCACGGAGAGGGAGGTCAGTGAGTCGTCTGATGCCAAAACGTTAGCCGCAAGCCCGCACGCATACATGCACACAGATATCAAATGACATACCCTTGCCTTTCGAGTTCTTTCCTACGCAGGTTCATGGACATCATACGCCAGCTGAGGTTCTCGAGGCGTTCAGAGTTGGGCAGCTGGCCCTTGGTCTTGTGATAGAGCTTCCATATCTGCGTGGCCAGTGGATCTTGCTTTTGCATTTCCTCGGGACTGTCGGCGTCGAGGGCACTCGCATCGTCCTTGAAGGGTTCAAAGAACGACTGGCGCAGGAGGCCCTTGCGGGTCTCCTTCTCGTTGGGCGACAGGTCCAGCGTTGTAGATAGAGTGTCGAGGGTGGACTGCGACGTGAGCGAGGCTAGAGCGCTGGAGGTGGCGGAGGCGGAGGTTGCCGAGCTGTCGTAGCGGGACTCGGGAAAGCATGCGTCGATGGAGTCGTCGGAGAGAGCATCAGAGTGCAAAGCGACAAGAGTGCCCCCACGCTCCTCCTCGTCTCCGTGAGACATACAGAAATGCGGCGCGGTGCGGTGCGGTGCGGTGCGGTGCGGTGCGGTGCGGTGCGTGCAATGCGCCAGGCCGCTGCTGAGCGGTGGATGATGGTGGTAGTGGTGTGGTGAGGTGGTGGTGGTCTGGCACGGCGGACAGCACGTGTGCGGTATGGATGGGATTGGTAAGAACAAAGACGAGCCCGAGCCCGAGCCGGTGCGAGCCCGAGGCAGACCGCGTGCCGGTAGTCGGATGGCAGAGGGCAGAGGGCAGAGGGCAGAGGGCAGCGCAGGGTAGGTAGTTGGTGCCAGTGCCAGTGCCAGTGCCAGAGGCGATGGTGGGAGGAGTGGTAGTAGAACTAACTTGATGGTCCCGCCGGCTGTTGCTTGAGCCCTACTGAACTAGCCAGCTAGCTAGCGCGACCGCCGAAGCTATTATTGAGAGGGCCCGGTAGCGTTCGCAATGCTTCATACAGTACAAACCGATCGCAGCTATGGATGTGCATGAGGATGTGGATGTGGATGCGAGCAGTAAAATACGGTAAGGTAATAATGCCAGCTACCCGAGCTGGAGCAGGAGCTGGCTGCGTGAATGAAAGAATGGCAAACAGGCCTATGCCTATGAACGGTACACGATTCATGAACCTCCATCCAGCATCCCACGCGTGAAGTGCAAGGTAGAGGCCAGGCAGGCTCAGGCTCAGGCTCAGGCAGCTTGCCTCACTGGCAGACTGCACTCGGCGGAATAATGCGGGAATGCATCGAAGCTCGCCTGCTGTACGACAACGTCAGTGCTAGGGGGGAGGAGCCTTAACCTGCCCACTTGCACGCGCGTACCGCACTCCAGCGACATTACCCATTCATTGCCTTCATAAGTTCATCGTCCCAAGCGTCTGCTGTTGCCCAGTGCCCACAGCTACCCGTCTACATGATGCGGACGGGTGGAGGCATCCGTGAGAATTTCACGAAGAAGCGATAATGCACAAATGGAAGTGTCTGCACTTGATGTAACTGATGTATTCAGAAGAAGGACTATCTACGGAAAGTCCAAAGATGAAGTGCGGCAGTTGCAGCCTCAGGCATCAGGCACGTAATGGACCCTGACACCTAGACATACACTCCAAGTTACCCCCTTAGTACGTGTATATCGCTATAGAATAAAGCAAACCAAATACAATAGCTATTTAGTTAGCAAAGCAAATAGGGGTATTAGGTAAGCAGAAACAGGTAAACAAACTAGACTACTCTTAGGTTATATAGATAAAGCAAACAAAGACCCTTTCTTCTTAGTATTTAGTAGCTAGTTTTATAGCGCTCTTAATAGCGGCCTTATAATCTACTAGGTTTAGTTATTTAATAAAGCGGCCGTGCTTAATCTTATTAAGCGGCTTAGTAAAGCTATCGGCTATCTAATCGTATATGCTAACCTATTAGACGATAATAGTACTATTAGCAATCTTCTCTCGAATATAGTAGATACGAGTATCTATATGCTTTATATAGCTATTAATAGTAGACTTAGTAATAGCGATAGTAGACTAATTGTCCTCGTAGAGCGTAACAGGCTTAATAGTACCCTTGTAACTAATCTCTTATAGTAACCGAGCTAAAGCAACGGCTTCCTTAGCGCTAGTTGTTAACTAAATATACTTAGCTTCTATAGACGATAGAGTAACTAAGGTCTAGCGTCCTAACTTATATAGTAGCAGTCTACTAGCGAGTGTAAAGTAGAAGCCGCCTATAGAGCGGCAAGTAACTAGATCGTTAGCCTATAAGGCATTATAGTAACTAGCTAGATTAAGCTTATCCTTACTCTATATACCTTAGAAACACAGACTACGGCTTAGAGTGCTAACTAGGTACTTAATAAGCTAAAGAAGTGCGGTATAGTATTCCTTAGTCGGGTTAGAAATGTATCGTAATAATAGGCCTATAGTGTAGCAAGCATTAGGTCGTGTAATTATAGCTAGCTATAGCGCCTCGCTAACACCTTCTTAATACTAAGTCTTAAAGGCGGTACTAGCTATATAGCCCTTAGGTACGCGTTAAATAGACGTCTTAATATAGCGAGGTACTATTAGAGTAGCTAGACCGACACGGCTACGTATACTATATTTCTTACTAAGCCTATTTAAATAGGCATCTTAAACGACGTAAATAGTACGCTAATCGCGGTTACGAATAATCCGTATACTAAGATAGTAGTGCAGGTCGCCTAGCTCTTATATATTAAAACGGTCCTTTAGCAACTAAGTAACTGCCTCTAGTGCTAATAGAGTATAGGCGATAATAATTATATTATCTACGTAGATAACAATAATAGAGCCGCTAATAACGTGCTTAAATATACAGACGTCGGACATTATTAGAATAAAGTCTAGGCTCTTTAAGTACTTCCGAAGCTCTTTATACTATAGTATTAGTAACTGCTTTAGACTATATAGGGCCTTTAGTAGCAGGCAAACCATGCCCTTACTACTACGGTCTTTAAAGCCGTATAGCTGTTTAACGTAGATCTTATGCTTATTACCGATAAGCGCATTAAGGAAGGCCGTTAGAATATCGTACTGCTTAGCCTCTAGGTCGTAATAAGCGATTAGTACAAATAGCGCTCGTAGCGTAGACGGCTTAGCTATAGCCGTATAGGTCTTATTATAGTCCTGTCCTTTAACCTATATAAAACTACGGACGACCTATCGAGCCTTAAACCGGCTTACCTTGCTATTAGCGTTACGCTTAATAGTAAATACCTATCGGCTACAGACAACCTTGCGACCTCTAGGTACTTCTAGTCGAGAAACGTATACCTACGTATAGTTGTCGATTAGCGACTTGTATTTAGCCTTATAGGCTTCCTTCTATTATAGCTAATATAGTAACTAAGTCGCCTCCTTGTAGCTCTTCGGAATAGGAATAGTATCTTCTATATCGCTCTACTTAGCAATATAGCAGGCAGCTATAAAGCCCTTTATATAGGCTATTAGTATATTAGCTAGGCTACGGCGAGTTAATCGATTAATACTAGCATCGGCTAGGTATCTACGTAATAGCTCTCGTACTAACTTATTACTTCGAGTAGTACGTATTAAACGAGCGCCTATAGCATTTAGTCGCTTAAACTCCGGTAACTAGCTAGGCTCGCTCTTCTTAGTATAAGGATTGTATACTAGTTCTTCCTCGGCTAACTAAAAGCTATCTTTATTACTTAAAGTTAGTAGTTAAACGTCTAGAAGGTTATCGTCGAGCGGTAGCGGACTAGCGACCTTATTAGGCATTTGCTAAGCAGGTCCGTCCGGAGGCTCTTCTTACTAGGCTAGAAGCTGCTAGACTATACTAGCGGCGTCGGCTAGTAACGGAGCCTCGTTGCTTATAGAATTAAACAGAGCCGGCATAATAACTTAATGTAACTAATATATTTAGAAGAAGGACTATCTACGGAAAGTCTAAAGATAAAGTGCGGCAGTTGCAGCCTTAGGCATTAGGCACGTAATAGACCCTAATACCTAGACATATACTCTAAGTTACCCCCTTAGCACGTACATATCGCTATAGAATAAAGCAAACTAAACACAATAGCTATTTAGTTAGCAAAGCAAACAGGGGTATTAGGTAAGCAGAAACAGGTAAACTAACTAGACTACTCTTAGGTTAAACAGATAAAGCAAACAAAGGCCCTTTCTTCTTAGTACTTAGTAGCTAGCTTTGCAGCGCTCTTAATAGCGGCCTTGCAATCTACTAGGTTTAGTTATTTAATAAAGCGGCCGTGCTTAATCTTGTTAAGCGGCTTAGTAAAGCTATCGGCTATCTAATTATATATGCTAACCTATTAGACGACAATAGTACTATTAGCAATCTTCTCTCGAATGTAATAAACACGAGTATCTATATGCTTCGTACGGCTATTAATAGTAGTCGATTTAGTAATAGCAATAGCGGACTAATTATCCTCGTAGAGTGTTACTAGGAGAATATAGCCCTTATAGCTAATCTCCTTTAATAAGCGAGCTAAGGCAACTACTTCCTTAGCCCCTATAGTAAGTTAAATATACTTAGCTTTAGTTAATAACAGTGTAACGAGTGTCTAGCGGCCGGACTTATATAATAGAGGTCCGCCTATAATAGTAAAGTAGAAGCCGCCTATAAAGCGGCGGGTAACTAGATCGTTAGCCTATAAGGCGTTATAGTAACTAGCAAAGTTTAGCTTATCGTTCTATATGCCTTAGAAGCGCATACCGCGGTTAAGGGTGCCTACTAGGTACTTAATTAGCTAAAGGAGTGCGGTATAATATTCTTTAGTCGGGTTAGAGATGAATCGTAACAATAGGCCCGCAGTATAGCAAGCATTAGGTCGTGTAATTATAGCTAGCTATAGCGCCTCGCTAACACCTTCTTAATACTAAGTCTTAAAGGCGGCACTAGCTATATAGATAGATAGATATTTCATTTGCCTGTTGTAGTGCCTTTCGGCCTATGCAGGTCTGTTTCTATATATTGTTTTAGGTAGGAAACCAACTTAGTTAGTAAAAACCTCCCTCCTATCCTATTTATAAGTATTAATCTTCCTCGTTTCCTTGTTTTCCTTCCTCTAGGGTGCACTAGTGTTATAGTTGTTACCCTTTGACTACCTTGCCTACTGCTCTGCCCTTCTTTCCCCCTCTTCTTCCCTCCTTCTTATCTACTCCTTAGTTTCCCTCGCTAGTACGAATTGTTATACAAATCCCTGTTTGATAATCCACTTTACTATCCTCTTTAGGTCTTCTTTGCTCTAAATTAGCTTATCGTATTCCCTTTCTATTGCTTTTAGTCTCTAATTACTTCTACTTTCTAACTATTAAGGGTAGACTAGTAGTATATACTTAGGGTTCTAAGATTGGTAGCTACATTAGTAAGCCCTGCTTTTAATTCCTAGGACGTTTCTTCTAAACAGGTAAGATCTAAGTCTAATGTGTTTAGATCTGATTTAGATAGCTAGGCTTGCCTCGGCCCTATTTAGGTCCTTATAGAGCTAGTAGTTGTATTAACCAAATTTGATTAGTGCCTTTAGGGTTCCTAGTCTAACTTATGTTTTATTCTATTCCTACTCCTATAGGTATCTAGCAATTGATTCTACTAGGCTTTGTTTCTCTCCCTTTAGCTTATCTTCCTTTAGCCTTACGTTTAGTCCCTAAAGCTCTTTCTCTAGCATTTCTCTTGTTAAGACTCTATATTGCTCTAGGTCTTTAACTTTCTAGGGAGTTATTTGTAGTCTGTCTCGCCTCCTAGTCTTAATGCACTAGGCTTTTATCTTGTCTAGTGCCTTTTAGATAGTCTGTTAGGCTAGGTATTCTATTGTCTTTGCTATATATTGGTGTCTTAGTCCCTTGAAGTATTATTTGACTAGTAGGATCCCTAATTCTATTTCTACTACCCTTGTTAGTATAGTTTTATATGCTCCTAGGATTTTCTTTAGGCTTTAGGTTTAGGATCTGCTAACTGGTTGCTTAATCCTCTTTAGTGTTTTCTCCTAGGCTGTCTATATCTATGCTCTATATAGTATTGCTAGCTTAACAATTGCTTTGTATATGACTTTGGCTTTCTCGAACGTAGCCCCCTATATAGAGGCTATAAGCCTATTAATGGATTGCATATTAGCATCTGCCCTCTGCTTTACCTTCTTTACTTATAGTCCCTAATTCAGTTTTGGATCTAGCTAGATCCCTAGTACTCTAAGCTCTGCTAATAGTTAGGTTTTAAAGCCTTAGATAGTAATTGATTGCTTTATATTATAGGTTGATTTAGCCTTACTAAAGTAGATAAGCTAGTACTTTTCTAGGGCGAATTTTGCTCTATGCCTCCTTGCCTATTTCTTATACT